AAACTAGATATCGGGAGTTCGTGTCAGATCGAGGTGGCGGCGAGAAGACATTCCCAACACCGGGCGGTGATAGCCGAGTGGGGAGTCGAGCGTCACTGGGATGATGGGCACTGTGCTCAGATGCTGCATGTTAAGGCCTGAGTCTTATGATCAAGTATCCAACACAGGATCCGAACTTTGACTGCAGCCCGAGATCGTCCTGACTTCTTACACGGTCACATTAAAAGCATTATTTATTGCCTCACAACTCCAACCGAGTCTTTCGTAGACCCTATGATAGAAACGGCTATTTCCTTTTTCATTAGGGACTCAGGCCTCCTCAGGCCCAGGGGCAGGCTAAAGTACACTAAACGTTAGACGTGGGTAATACCTAGGACCCAGTTGATAAATGTGCTCGTGCGTGTCACTCTACAATTTGTTCTGTCTAGATAAGACATTGCAAGATTCCCGGGCCTGCTGCAACTGCAAGCCCGTGTGCCGGCACAGCCCCTGGTTTCCGGGTCTCGGGACCCCGAAACGCGGCAGCTGTGCTTTATTCACAACCAACACGATCCCACATACAGAACTCGTTGAATTTTTTTACAAGTAGAATGGGCCCATCGAAGAAATCCCAGAGACGTGCTAAAGCACCATTGCCATGTACGTCGATCTTGATAACAACAAATGATGATGATTTGTTAATATTGCTAACCCTAGTGAGGTCCCGCACAACAAGATCCAAGGGTCGAGTGAGTGTCACGCATGTCATCCATGCATCCCACTCACGTTTTGTCTCGTCATTTGATTCTTGTATCCTACACAGCCTATAACAGATCCAGAACAGAATACTCAGCTTCTTACAGAGCAACTTCGCTCGCAGGGTCTCTACGCTGCACAAACAGTGGGCGATGGCAATTGCCTATTTCGGGCTCTCTGCGATCAATTCTATGGCTCGCCGTCGCAGCACCTCCAGCTGCGCCAAGATATATGTGACTGGATCGAGGGCCATGCGCAACGCTATCAACCCTTTTGTGAGGATGAACGTGGACTAAGCGCCCATTTGCGGTGCATGCGAGAACAAGGTGTGCCAGGGCTTGCCCTCCCGATTTCTTCCTGTGCAGCGTTGTGACGCGCTATAGGCACTTATGGCGGGCACCTTGAACTTTCTGCATTCGCGCACTTTGCGCGAAGGAATGTCAAGGTTATCCAGCCTGGATTGGTATACGTCATTGAGTGGAAGGCGGGTGCCGAGAGCGAGGACCAGTCATCATCTCAAGATAACGAGCGAGATGCGCGGAGGAAAAAGAGGCAGCAGCAGCGCGACGAGATGAACGATTCGCAGGAGTCAGAGGGGACAATATACGTGGCGTCAGTCATCATTTCCCCTAGTATACCTATTGGCTACGCGCTAACCTGCCTTTCTAGATATCATGACTGGGAACATTTTTCTTCGATACGAAACTTGAGAGGGCCGCACGCTGGTCTTCCCGAGGTTTGTGAACTACCCGCCGACGCAGTACCGCCTGCTGCTTCGCCCGCCAAGAAGAAAGCCGTCTCCCGGAGCAAAGCCAAATCTGATCTCAAGAGTTTTCCCAAGAATAGTCCAATCGACAATGTTAAATCGAATCGTGAAAATACACCACCAACACCTGCACATGTCCCACTCCCCATATCCCGCTCACCCTCACCCCTTTCTTCCACTGGTTCCTTGAACATCGAGGTGGACTCACTACTTCCCGTCCCCGGTCAGCCGACCGGTCCCCATCAGTCTTTTACATCGAGTATCAGAACTCATCGGTCACCAAAGCGTTCTTTCGACGAATCATCTGGATCGTCGACATCTGACGCGATTTCTAAGCGAACGCGAACGCGAACCTCACGACGCTCGCCCTCTCGCACACCCTTGAGTCAAGTCAAGGCAGATGATGACATGGATGACTCGACCCCAGACCTCTCCACCCCCGGCTCCTCCGCAGAATCCAGCCGTTCATCATCTTCTGCTTCATCTCCGCTTCCTAGTACCCCTCCCGCATGCAATACGCCGCCTCCTGAAACTCATAAACCCCTTACTCGACGCCAGCGCAAGGCACTCGGTCTTCCAAAGTCACGTACTGCGTATACGAGCGCAGGAAAGATTGTCATTCCTGGCGGGAAATTCAAGAAAGCTTCCAAAGCGGCTGACGATGAGGAATGGCAGAAGAATGGCACCGGGCGGCTTGACGTGCGCGGGTTTCGCGAGCTCAAGATCTAGCCTTCATGCATCATCAAAGTCTTCGCCACGAATCTGCACGCATATTTTTACGCCCCTCCATCTAGAACATTGGTCATATCCACGCAGTGATACCCAACACATCATAATTTGCATTCCATCATATCACTCTCCCATTCACGAATATGTTTACGACAGTCCTGGTGACCTAGTGCGGTGTTATTTCCATGTTAGTGCGCCATGTGCGAGCACTTGGAGACTTCATAGAAGTTCGGACTCCATCTGCACGACTGTATTTTAGCGAGTTGCATACGTGAGCTGAATGTTATTATTACGCTTACAGTCATTTGCGTATTGGTGTACTCTAGAGAAAGATATCACGAGACCCGCACGAGAAGCATTTTGGCAACTGGTTTTGTTAAAACGAAAACTAAGCGCATGGCATGCTCGGCAATAGACCCGCCATCCGCTACATCAGCTATTTAAATGTGTCTAGTACGAGGGCTCGGACGAAGCGATGATACAGCACTCAGTACTCATTCCTGAATAAGCACTCTTTACTGGTAATGTAATGTGACTGGCGCTTAGACATTGTCTATTGTTAGCGACTGAAAATAACATCCTCAGATGTAGTTGATGAGTCGGGCGATGAGGAGTCATCAGGTGCAGATCTTATCAGGGCGTTCCTGACGGACGCCGGGAGTAATGAAGGGCGATGTTTGCAGCAGTGTACACGTATTGGATACAGATCATGGATCCATGATGTATCTAAATAGATGCCTGAAGACTAGGAACGTGAGTGAATCAATATGTGGTGTGAATGAAGATATTCTCAATTAAGAATACACCAATGTCCAAACCACACGTGTTATACTGTACCCATGACCTACGCATCAAGGCATCAGAAGATGACCCTCGTGGTCCTCGATGCGGAATGTAATACGAGTGCTATCAGCGAGTTCACACTGCAACAGATCCCGAGAGCTCTCCCGTAAATCTTCCACAGCGTCCGCGTGCAGCAATCGGACAGTCTTGAGCTTCGAACCTGACATAGTACGAAGAGCGGCAAATAGTTGCATAAAATGGAATGTGGGTGCCTTGCGTAGCTTGGAATATAATCCCAGATATGAAATGGAAGGAGGGAGGGTGAGATTTGGGTTGATCTCCGTCCATGAACGGATGTAAATGACGAGGTCGTTCAAAGACAAACAGCATTCACTGAGCAGATCCAGCTCTTTTTGAAGACGGTCGGCTTGAAGGGAATAGTCGAGGTGCACGGTAGTAACATTCGCGCAGCTCAGCCTCACAAAATGTTTCCAAGTATGGTCAAGGAATGGAGGAGGGATGCAGTCGTAAGTAAGTTTTCTGAGAGCGGGGAAGTGGTTGGCGTCTCTATTGTCTGGCAGATAATCCCGCAAAAAGACCGACATGAGTGACAAGGACTGCAGCTTGGTCATGACGGGCACGTCGAGTCTAGCAGAAGGAGACCCGTCCCTTGCACTGGGCGAGCAAATTGGGCAGTGGAGCACACTCAAATTTGGTGCTGCAATTATCAATTTCATCAGATCCTCTCTATAAAAAGTAATCAGCAAGTGCTGTGTGCGCGATAAGGCTAAGTCAATACCTGCAGGGGCGCAAGATGGAATCAGAACAATCAAATACGCGCAATGATGGACCACAAAATTCAGCTAGTGCCATCACGACTGATTCGGGTAGCTGCCGAAGCCAGGAATCATTATCAGGAAGCATGGGCATAGATAGATTGACGATCGACAGGTTTGGGAACTGTCGAATTATGTTGGCGAGGAGGGCGTAATCAGATGCCTCACAATGGTCATCCTGTATCAAGACATCAAGTCGTCTCGTCCACCACCCTACGTGACGGGAGCGGGCTGCTCCAGAGGATCTGCCACCGAGGGCGACAAACAAAGAAGACAGGGTAGCTGGGCGAGTGACCAGAACACTCCGATAGAGAAAATTGGTGGCGAGAACGTTCCATGTCTTACAGACAAGAATAATATTCCTCTTTGTGAAAAGAGACTCTTTCAACAGTTTGTGCTCGCGTTCTTTAAGGAGGGGACGCGGAAGATCAGATGGGTTTGGGTCATCATAGCTCAGTAGACCAGGAATATCAGTGGCGAGGCTAAATATTGTAATCCAAAGTTCAGGAGGAAAGGGGGGCAGGTTGCACACAGTGGAATCGTGGGAGATTGCTAAAGTCATGGTCCAGTGAAGTTTCGCTGTAAATTTTGTTCATCACGTAAGACCGACTTGGATGCAAGATGGGCGTACCAGTAAGAACCACTGTCCACTAAGAGAGGTGCTGGCGAGGAAGATAAAATGATTGTTTAAAGGTGTCCCTGAATTCCCTGAGACTCGGAGTTTAAGATATACCCCTTGGGAAATCGGCGACACAAGTCGCCTCGCTTACAGTCTGTAACTATTGGCTACTACAAATATACCTGATACATTCTACGCGAGGTACTGGTGGAGCAGTATTCCCGACCCCGTAGTGGATGGACTCCGGAGGGTTTTGTCTGTGCCGTTCTCTACCAAATCGTGCGTGGGAAAGTCCATCCGTGGGAAATTGGTTTCAGAACTATATCTTTTTTTGAAATCTTAATTGTCTGCGTTCATCAGGATGCCCGAAGATTTGTTTAAATCAGGGAAGACAAGAACGCGAGAGACAAAAATCGAAAAGCAAGAGTAGTGGAAGAACGAAGAAAACATTGAAGCGGCAATCAGAAACAGAGAGCCGGCGGAGTCGGGAACTGGCGCGTCAGCGGCATTTTCAAGCTCAACCCGCCCCCGACACATCACGTAACATACACTGCTCGCTTGGTGCCCGCATCTTGAAAAGGCATATTATTCACACACTTTGCAAGTCAACGGCCCGAGCTGCAGATCCGTGGCTTCTGTTCAAGCATACAAATGACAGTGTCATCACATAGAAATGTTCTCAAGTTGCTAACACTGGGACTCATCTTCCACGTCGTATTCATTGCTTCTGTTTTTGACTGCTACTTCACTAGCCCAGTTGTCCACGGCATGCTTCCTCGCAGAGCTGGCTCTGGGGAAGCAAAACGGGTCGTTCTCATTGTGGGCAAGTATAGCTTCACTTTCTGTAACACCAACTGCTCATCCATCAATTCCTATTAGGAGACGGTCTACGCGCAGACCTTCTATTTGGTGTGAACGCGTTCTCTTTTATTCCTTCCTCACCAAAGATTGTAGCGCCTTATTTGCGTGATATTATTCAAACACGAGGGGCGTTTGGATTGTCGCACACTCGAGTACCAACGGAAAGTCGACCTGGGCATGTCGCAATCATCGGTATGCCACTGCCCGATACATCAGTAATATTGGGCTGACTTCACAAAATTCAAGGGGGAATGTATGAGGATGTCTCTGCTGTGACCAAGGTAAAGTGCCCATTTCTTGTTTCTCCTTGTCATCATATACTGACGAGAATCGTGAGATAGGGCTGGAAAACGAATCCAGTCAGTATTGTAGCAACAGACACCGCGAACGATATCTCATCCTTCTCCAGGTTCACTTTGACTCCATCTTCAATCAATCTAGTCACACCTTCTCCTTCGGTTCCCCAGACATATTACCAATGTTTTCCCAAGGCGCAACTCCCGGAAAAGTTGACACTTGGAGCTACGATGAGGAGGACGAAGACTTTACGAAAGGCACGAATGTCCAGAGCTACTGCAGTCATGTTATTAAATCAGACCAAATGGATAGATGCCACCGCTCTAGATACCTGGGTTTTGGACCAACTTCAGACGTTATTTCAGAACGCATCATCGAACGACTTGCTTGATTCAGAATTACGTGCTGACAAGGTGGTATTCTTTCTGCACCTCCTTGGTCTGGATACCACTGGTCACTCATATAGGCCACACTCCAAGGTGAGCATCTCCATTAGTGCGTTTTCATTGATTTACCCCGTAAAGGAATACATGAACAATATCCAAGTCGTCGATCGCATCGTCCAACAAACAGAAGAACTTTTCTCCGACTTCTACCACGACGAAGAGACAAGCTTCGTATTTACAGCTGACCACGGCATGTCTAAGATCGGCAACCATGGTGATGGCGGTGAGGTCCGCGCTGTATCAGTTTTAACAATGAGGTACTGAAGGAGTTCGCAGACCCGGACAACACGCGTACCCCACTAATTGCATGGGGGCGAGGCATTAGGGGCCCAATGCCTGACATCATTCCTTCTTCGCACGATGAGTACTCTCGGCTCTGGCAACTTGACGACTTCTTGCGACGAGACGTGGAACAAGCGGATATTGCACCCCTGATGGCTGCGCTGCTTGGTATTAACTACCCTGTAAATTCAGTAGGAATTCTCCCTGATGCAGACCCTACGCGACCTGGCTACTTACTACCGCGAGAAGGAGAGTCAGCCTTGGCCCAGCTTGCATTGGCAAATGCAGAAAGTATTTTAGAACACTACCGAGTCAAACACGGTGCGTCCCAAATGCGCCATCTGGCTTCTCTGTCCATAACTAGCTGGCTGGTAGAATCGAAGGCCGTACAAACCATTCTATACAAAGCTTTCGAGCCTTTAGAAGAAGTCACTCAAGACGGGAAGCCTTCAAGAGTATCCTGGTTGTCCAAAATAGAACGTTTGATCAGTGATGGAGGATGGTTCGAAGCCCGTCGAGAGACAGCTGAACTCATCAAGGTCACTCTACAAGGTCTTCGATATCTCGAAACGTAAGCTGCTTGACTACCGCTAGGAACAATTACTGAGAGAATGCAGCTATAACCGAGTACTTATACGGACCATCGTCGTAATAGCATATCTGGGATGGTCTGCTTATGCATCGTTGTCAATTTTTCCCCCACCAGCTCCCTTGGTTTCAGACAGGCAGCGTACCGTGGTCATACTTGCCACCACAACCATACTAGCAACATTTTGGGCACTGTTTGCTGCAGAGAGAGCTCCATGGACGTTTTATGTCTATGTGACTTTCCCCTGCTACTTCTGGCAGCAATTCGCACTGCGTGGAGTTCCAATTGTTGTACAACAATTCAAGTCGAAGGACAGACGCGGACCTTTTGTAATTAGAGTGTTGCTTCACTTGGTTATTGTGGTGGTTGTGCTCCAGTGTATGGTCGTGCGTCGATCCTTGTTCATTTTATGAAGCTTGTTTGACTTACGAATGGTTCAGGCTGCCTACACTCATCGGTCGCTGTGGAGCATTGGTTTTGTGGTTATGGGTATTTTATGGCCGTATGCATCATGGCCAAGTCACGTTCGGTCGCAACACCCGAGACTCTTACTTTCCTGGATGAGTAGCTGTCTTGTAACTAGCATATTCCCCCTACTCAGCGTTAACAAGAGAGAGGATTTGTACATGATGTGAGCGCAGTCTGACAGATTGTGCATATTGCTTATGCTCATCTATGTCTTAGCATGTGCGGAGGGGCAATGATTATTATAGTTGCCGCAGGTTGTACGCGTTTGGCGTTGAACGGTGCTCCGAAAGCCGCAAAACTATCTGAGATCACCCAGGTAGGTAGTTGTAAATGGCGCTATGTAGTCAACTCATTCGTATCCAAGGTGTTGTTTATCTTGCTCGCCATGACCATTACTGCAAGCTCAGTGAAGAGTTTACAAGCAAAGCAGGGATTGTCCATCATTAACCAATCTTCAGCATGGCTCATACTCGGTACCCTTGCTAATCAACTGACATCAGTCATTCATCTGACTTTTACACTTCTCAGCTGTATCGTCGGCATTCCCATTCATCTCTAAAGCACAGCACAGCACTCCAACCTCAAGAATCATATCGCTTTTCCTGGGCTTCGGCGTCTGTTTCGTCATTCTTTCGATCAGTGTTGAAGGCCTATTCTATGCCGCTTTCACATGCAATTTACTCTTGTGGATAGAAGTCGAAACGATCGTCCAGTCAACTCGAGCTAGGGCCGCTTCGCAGAATCAAGGATACGAGTTTCACACTGACCATATCAGAATAGCACTCTTTTTCTTGTTTTTCGTTCAGGTGGCTTTCTTTGGAACCGGCAAGTGAGTGATAGACGAGACTGGCTTTCGTGTTGCTGATGTTGATGATCGACTATGTCCAGCGTTGCTTCAATTTCGTGAGTTTCCCCGACGAACTGATCCAGCTCTGCTGCTCACCTCTCGTAGATCGTTCTACTTGGAACCTGTGTACCGTCTGGTGCCAATTTTTAATCCATTCTTGATGGCAGCGTTACTGGTGGGTTCTTCAAACATTGCTTCGCGTACCGCCAGCCTGAAATATTACCAGATATTCAAAATTGTCGCTCCATATGTGATCTTATCAGCTGTTTTTGCCACTTTAAATGCAAGACTCCACCTACCACCCTTCTCGCTATTCCTCGTGGCTCTGACACTCACTGATGGTGCGTTGTTCCTTTTGACCTGCACCGATCACTAATATCTAGATCAGGAATGACAATGACGTTTTTCTTGAACGTCACGGATACCGGTGAGCAGGCTAGCTGGTGGTCAGATCGTATCGAATTGACATATGACACAGGATCATGGTTGGAGATTGGGCAATCGATTAGCTTCTTTTGCATAACTTCTCTATTATTGGTTTGGTCAGCTGGTATCTGCACCGCTGGGGAGTACCTCATGGTAGACACATTGGTGTCCCATAGGTCTACGGACAGTCACAAGCTAGAATGAGGATGCACTTGACCCACTGCTCGTAAAATAGTGACACGCGATTAACTATTTACGACCACAGAACAAATGTGTGTTTTCGGGATTAGGGACGGGTAAATGCTGGGCACTATTAGTATTTGAGAGGATCACAGACAGTCACTCTACAGCCCAGGTTATATGCCGACGAAGACATCACGACATATTCGTCATGTCGACAGTGTGGCCGTCTTACTATCACTTTCCGCATAGCTGGGATTTGGTCCACCCCATCGGGCAGCAGATTACGCTCGGCGTCTACTGCAATTGTGGGTACTCGAAAAAAAGGACGATCAACTAATGCACCACCGTCATGGTGACTTTACAACCTGGGCCAAAGATCACTTGGACTGCGGTGCCAGGTTACTAGCAGGGCGGGCGAACCTTGCTTTTATAGGGCCAATGGCAGAGGGCGGTGTGGTTGGTGTTACCGGTGTGCATGAATTGAGACTGAAAAAAAGTGGATGACGCCGCCACAGTGCTTAGAGGTGGACATACCTACGTATCTTCAGGGATCCATATGAATGCTCCTCAGTGACTGCCCGCACGGAGGGAGAAATAGTGAAATGATGCAATTATGATTGGCTCGTCCTGGCTTCTACATAGATACATCAATGTGTGGATTATCTTATTATGCGAAAACAGTATCTGCGCGTATGGTTCATTGTAAATCTGAAAGAGAGTAACTTCATTGATGAGAATGAGATCTGCATACCTTGTAGTTTGAGTCGTTTCAACCAAAGCGGAGGTTGCTGCACGGAGCTCCACTCGATCTTGATGGCATCTGCCCCACTGTGATCGTTCGCTTTTGGTATGCTCCACGTCTCCAGCTGCGGTGGTGCTGCACCTGAGTTTTCATCTTCGTGGAATCGTATCTGCGCCTCGATCATCAACCACCAGTTAATGAACATCATGTTGATCAGTCTGCTCGACCGACGAGGCAACGACCATGACAAGGTCCCAAGGAACAGATCATGACATTTTGCAATATACTCTGTCAAGGTTTCCACGATGGTTAAAAGTACTACTACTACTAGTACTAGTAAACATGAGGTCAAGACATGTCTGGGAGCATACAGGTGGTCTGAACTTACCTGAAGTGCATCATACTACACTCGCGGATTGGCTACCGTGCGTTTCATGAACTTCGCAAGCCTGTGCTGGTCCCTAGACCATCAATTCGAAATCACTGTGTCAACACAAATTACACAATGCCCAATACCCTATGGCGTGGGAAACATCCCAATCGGATTTCATATTGGTGCCTGGCAAGACATTCGAACGGTATTTGCAACTTGCAAGAGAAGGACGACAGTGTACGCGCAGACATCTCTTGTTGTAATTCATTGTAACATTCGAAGGTGAACGTATGATATTTCCTTGTATTATATAAAATGCATGTAGGAGATTTCCGAACAATGATCATATTGCTCTCGTCTGCTTCTATTACAACACGCTCTGTAGGTCCAGCTTGATGCTTGTAGCCTTATTTCCAAGAAAGATCAGTCTAGACGCACCATTTTTGATCAGACGAGTGTAAGGTGACTGTTACATAAAAATAGAGAGCCGATTTATTCCGGAATGCACATCTTACACTGTTCCACACCTACGTAAGGGTCGTATTCTTGTCACAATCTAGGATCATTTGAGGGCCCAAGTTTACCGCTATGTGTAACTTCAGGTTGCCTGCAGGTGTCGTTTTTGGGTGCTCTATTTGCGCCTCAACCTGTTTGGAGATTCAGACAGAGCGCCGGCTCGACGATATAAGGACAACCTCGTTGCAGACTCGCACTCGGACTTCCTCCAAGCTCTTTGTACCATTGACATAGCTCAAGTCTAAGTTCCCCAGCCTTTCATATAACCACTTGATCATCACAAGCTTCTCTTGTTCAACAGACCATGTTGGACTTACTCTCCAAAGATCGAATAGTCAACGAGGCAGGCCTCAGAACCGCCTTGCGCCACCTGGACACAATTTCAAGTTCAGGAGCAACCGCATTACAAGCTACGATCAAACATATGTCGTCATCACCCCATGTTTTTGCATATATCATTTCTGGTATCTCACGAACCTCCTTCGAGCGTCATCAGCTCTGACTCTGTAACAGTTTGGGATCGCCGTGAGGCAATGATCTCACGGATCATGACAGACTTTCCAAGAATATCTCAAGAATATCCAACATCCGTTGCGAGAACGATGCTAGACAATCTGTCTATGTACTTTTTAGACTTTCCAGCTGAGCCTCTAGCGATGGATGTCTCTAGGGACATCAGCCGCCACAGAGGCTTCATCGAGGACGCTTTACCTGTACTCTGCGCGTTGAACACTATGAAATTTTCTGGTGCAGGGTCGTTTGAAGACGAGATCGATCTCTTCGACCAACCTGATGATGGATTCGTCAAGAAGAAAGTTCCTCAGAAAATGTACAAGTGTAATCGCCCGAAAGTTCATACGTCTATCGACGCATCTCTCTTCCTGAGGCTTGATGTGGGTGTGCCTCTCACGAGCGAGGCTGCCGCATCATTGTCTACTCACATTCTTATGAAGCTGAAAAATACTTTCTCGGTGAGTATATTCTTTGCTTTTTGACGTTTCCCCTGACAGCTCTCCATAAGTTCTATCTCTCGCTTCTGCGGAGGACGGAATTGGCAGGCGACATCAAAGCTTTACTCCTCCCAAACGTGGGTGAGTCTGCCAAAGATGTTGCACCTGAAGTTTCGTCAACCGAGGATGTCGAGAGCCCAACAACCCGACCCAAAGCGTACCAAATGGTGCAGCCTATGAAGGCTGCGCTTTACTTTGAGAACGCGGACGGGTTCGGAGAGTGGCGAATCCTCATATCTACGGAAGCCTACAAAAATTTGCGTGAATTACGTAAATCAGAAAAGAAGATATTCAAGATTATCGTCGGGAAGATCAAGTCTGTCTTCTGATGAAATTCGCTGTAATGATCTCATCGTTATCACAGACAGCTATCAAATGGTCATTTTTCAGATGATAATCACAAGCGACTTAACGGACCAGATGCAGGCATACCCATCTACGATGCCAAGATGACACAGGACCTACGATTAGTTGTAAGTGTAATTTCACATACATCGATTAGAACAGGAGACGACTGATCTTTTCTCGCAGTACCAGATTGATTGTGTCCCTGACCAGGATGGAAAGGTACGTCGTTTTTACATCAACATCGAGCATGATATTGAGGCTGGAGTCTTGACAGTCCGAAAGACAAGGTGAACTGTCAAGAGCAATTACATCCGTCCGTCATTAACGCTCATACGAACTCCAGTAATCAAGATATATGGCATTTATACGCATGCACAACTTGACAAAATATGGGATGCCTTGGGTAGCCATCTCGCACGCAACGGCAGAGAATATCGTAGAAGGTGAGGACCTTTTTCGGCTCTTTATGCCCTTCAGTGAATCGTTGCTTGCACAGGTGTATCTTTCGGAATAGGCCTGTCCTTTCTAAAGGCAGCGTGATCCTACTGCCTGCATCATTCCCATCAGCTGAACCCGAGCTAGAATGCTCAGGAAGCCCACTTAATCTTAGTAATAAGGACATGGACCGAGTTGAGTACTTTCAGTTGTCATTTGTACAGTCATTGATCCATGGCATAGCTTCACTCTTTACTTGTGTATGGAATTTGGCCATCCTTTTTTAAATTGGTTTCCATCTAACATTTTTCTAGTTTGGAGAAATATGTCACATTCTCGCAAGTAAGCTTATAAATACGATTCATAGGCACGCAAATATTGACTCGGTAACTTCTTGTTTTAGGCGTTCCTGCATAGTGAGCGATCATGTAGTTGGCTCGCCACCTCCTCTTATCTTTCCAAAAGGTCTTATCGCAAACCAAGACGTACAGCATGTCTTTATACTCAAGTAAGTTCTGCCCCAATGTGACGCATTTACTGATCAATGTTTGTTCAGACCTCAAGAACAAGAGATTGTCGAGTGTACCACGTCATGTTACGTCTTGGGTCGCAGTGGCACGGGGTAAGTGTCCTGCCCCTAATATAATTAGCTTATTTATCACACTCAACTAGAAAAACCACGACGATGCTGTTCAAGATTCTCGGTATTCAGCGAGCTTGGGAGATGAGTGCCGCCGACATGCCGAAGCCACGCCAAATCTTCGTCACCAAATCCAGAGTACTCGCTACGAAAGTGGAAGAGTATTTCACGAAGCTTCTCGAATCTCTGGCATTGGCAGGCTATACCCTGGAGGAACTTGCAAAAATGAAGGCACGAAGTGTCCAGGGGGGCCTTGTTGATCCCGACGACCTGCCCGAATCACAGATGAATATACCGATGAGATATAGCGGACTTAAGGATAAGCACTTTCCTCTTTTTCTAACTTTCGATCGAGTGCGTCCCAATCCGTCGCCTGGACAGTTTCCCGAGCTAATCGTTTATGTAGCTGGCGAAAATGATCGCGGCAGATATCTTGGACAAGAAAGATAGCGCAGGAGCTTTCTTCAATGTTGACAATGCCGACGCGCATGACTGCTTCGTCACCTATAACGTATTCGTAAATCAATACTGGCCTCATTTTCCACAGAATCTCAGCAAGAATCTTAGTAGTGTCCTTTTCTCTTATGATGACGATAGAGTACTAACACTACCCCGTCAGATCCGTGGTTGGTTTTTAGCGAATTCATGGGTGAGTGCTATTTGTATAGCATTGACACTGACAATTTCTGAATATACATATAGGGATCATCAAAGGTTCCGAACACGCACTGACCTGTCCTGAAGGAATTCTCGATCGCCCAACCTACCTCCTTCTTCCTCATCGTTCTAACCCTAATTTTGCGAATAAGAGGGGAATTATGTACGACATGTTCGAGTTTTATACGAAAATGAAGAGGCAGCGAGGTCATCATGATGTTGCAGACCGGTACGACCTATTCCCCTTCTCACCCAAGTAATGTCACGATATATTCCCAAACAGCACGCATGCAATACTCAAGGCCTTTCGGAGCAAGAAGTTCCCTGTCCAACAGATCGATTATCTGTATGTGTTATCACCACCAATGCATCTTGCCCCTCACCACCTGCACTAGGTATGTTGACGAAGCACAAGACAACCTTCTGATCGACGCACTCCGTAAGTGGCTACTCCATCCCTTGTTGACATAATTCTTTGAGACCTTTCTGTTATAGTTTTGAGGCAATTATGCAAGAATCCAGACGGTTTGTTCTGGGCTGGGGACACCGCACAGACAATCTCTGCAGGGAGTTCCTTCAGGTTTGATGATCTGAAAGCGTTTCTCTACCGTGTTGAGGTCAGCAGACAGCGACTTAGCTCGGGCCTGAATTGATACCTTGGAGCAGCAGCAAAATATTTCGGTCAATTCCGCTGGAGCATGTCTTCGTCAGCCTGCGATGTTTCAATTGGCGATCAACTACAGATCGCACGGTGGAATCGTCAACTGCGCAAGTTCTGTGATCGAACTCATCACAAAATTTTGGCCCAACACAATCGATAACCTTCGACCGGAAAGGGGGGTGGTTGACGGGCTAAAGCCTGTATTTTTAACTGGTGGGGATAAAGACACTGTTCGTTATGAACAGTTCTTGTTTGGGGAGAGGTAAGCAGACCTGGACTATATCCCTCTTTTCCTCCTGAGAATTCTTCCAGCGGTAGCCATATTGAGTTCGGAGCTCAGCAATGTAAAGTAATTGGTTGGAGGTTTCATTCACACACTGACAAGGTATCTAGGCATTCTCGTGCGTGACGACGCAGCCCGTCAGAAGTTACAAGACCAAGTTGGTGAAATTGCACTAATTATGTGAGTCATATTGAGACTACCCCCGCTGTGTTTTCATGTTGACATATGTATGCAGGACGCTTTATGAGAGCAAAGGCCTAGAATTCAATGACGTGAGAAAGCTAAGTTTACTATCTGATGGATGTCTGACTTCGGTCAGGTGCTGTTGTACAACTTTTTCGAGGATTCTGCTGTAGATTTGTCACGATGGAGCATAGTTCTCAATGGGGTAGACGGTCAAGGATATGCACCGAACTTTGAACGAGACGAGGCGCGATACGCTGGGGTTTGTAGCGAGGTGGGCACACCGATCCTTGCAATAAACTCTGGCTTACTTTATTAGCTCAAACTTCTGTATGTGGGAATCACTCGAGCAAGGAAGAACATATGTATCGTTGACAAATCTGACAAATCAGAGCCGATGCGTGTACGTTGAGAGCAGCATGTTGGCGTAACTCGATCTGATAACTATTTTCCTTCAGGTATTCTGGACGTCTCGTAACCAGATCGATAATTGTATCCCCGGCACCGATGTCCCTCATCTGGCCGTCTCCTCGACTCCGGAAGAATGGGCATCCTTCGGGCACTCACTATTCTCGGACAAGCACTACTCGCAGGCTATCTACTGCTTCAAACGTGCTAATCTTCGTCATGAAGTGAAGGTTTGTGAAGCATATCAACTACGAGAAGTCGCACGTTCTAGTGTCGGAGTGGCCTTACTCAGCGACCAAAAAAAAGCTTTTAACGTGGCTGCCGATTCCTTTACTGATTGCGCGGCGACCGCGCCAGAAAGTCAGAAGCTCCAATACTATCGTAACTCGGCAGATTGCTACGTTCGAGCAGGAGATGATCTTAAAGCTGCTAAGGCCTATCTCAATGCTCAAGAGTTCGAGCAAGCAGCGAAGAGATATCGCAAGGCTGGACGGTTTAACAAGACCCTCCATGTCCTCAATGACCATGGCACGGATATACCTGAAGAGACCAAGACGGAGTTATGGACTGTGTGCAGGCTGTATTACTGCAGCAGGAACACTCGGTAAATTTCATACTCTCCACAATATCTTTATTTAATAGCAATTGCGCAGGGCTCCCTTGCCCCTCTTCCCAACATTTGAAGAGCAACTCGAATTTCTGGAGGACTATGATCTCGATTACGCTCGTGCCTCACTGCTTGAATCTCACTCGAGGTACTATGAGGCCGCAGAGCTTCATTTGTCAGAGAATAGGCCCTTGGAAGCTGTTCGGGCATTCATCAAGGACGACAGCAAGGACGATTCTACTAGCCGCGCGGCCGATACTATATTGGAATACTTTTGGCGCAAATGCTCCTTTAGAATCACTGCAAAATCCGTTGCTGATGAGCCAATGCAACATTTCATTGCTCTTGCTAATGAGCTGGAGACGAACAAACTAACGCCGGCCACGCGTGATCTAGTACGTGTCAACAGTCTCAAAGTGACCAGCTGGATAAAACTGATCGACATCCAGATATCGATGTTTCAGAACATCTTGCGCGGAAATCATGAGCCGTTGAAAAATCTTGCGCTTAACTTCTATAAACAGGATAACAAGCCAGCAGCTCTCCTTTGCCTGGACCATATATTCTCTCGAACCATAGATATTCGAGCTTTCACGGTCGATGAAATGCAACGGTTCCTTCAACAATTTCACGCATATGCGCGGCTGCTCTATCTTATTTTGGCCTTCCCTGACCCCATGGAGCATAGGGGTATTCAGAGACTATTCTCCATCGTGCGGTTGTCCGGTGACCAGTTTCTCATACCAGATGGAACGTTCCTCCACAACAGCTTAATGGAAATCCGCCCAAGGATCACGGGGGTATCGGAACATTCGTCCGGGTACACAGCTTCTCGTAGAGTCATCACCCAGCTGCTACAACAATCCATTCGAATGATCTTGAAAGACAAGATATCGGAGATCGATGATATGTGCTGCAAATCTCCCGTTTTCTCGCAATGCCTGCAATTCTTGATATCCGGAGTATGTCGAAGAGATAACTGTCCCCAAGAGCATGTTACGGTATCGAAATCGGATCGCCACTATTACAACAACCGTGTTGCCATCCACATTTGGCAAATCCTGATCTTGCAATTCATGTATTCCGCTCACCCATACATTGAGCGACGCAAAAGGTACGCCTGGAGGTAGCTTATGATTGAGTACTCATACTGATCACTTTATCAGCATGCGAAATTGGCTCAAGCATCTTTATGAGGCCATCAATCCACCCTTCTTCATTCAAGGTTCCCCCGCGGAACTTGATATGAACCTGATGCCTCTTCGTGCAGATGGCATGAAGGTGGTGAAGCTCTGGATCCGCGAATCCTTCTACTCGCTCGACCCATTCCATACCCAGGCTGAATTTTTGACGGCATTGATGAGAATAACCAGTCTTAGTTTTGCTTTTGACAGGAATGACGCACCTGTCTACATCCGTCAAGCAAAGTGTACGATTTCCGGACCGTCGGAACTCTTTCGCAAGGGTGACAATCGCTATATGGTTCAGGACCTGCTTAGTTCTTACCAAGGAGCGACCCGCAGCAGCATCTCATCGGGGATTCTGTATCTTTTGTAAGCGTTCTTTTTGTCTCTACGTGCAATGAACTGAGTGCATTTCAGGCATGTTCTCGACAATCGCGTATGTGTTAACCTCTCCGTGTTGTGCGACTGTATCGAGGACGTTTGCGGCGCTTTTGTAATCAAGTACAGAATGGACCCCGACTTTAACAGGTTTCCACTTCATAACACCGTCCTTCCATGTAGCTGGCTACTGTTTCCCCACAAATTCACTACGGAGAAAGAAACTAAGCTGCCGTTGATGGACAAGCTTCTGGATGAGATTGCGAGGGTAGTGGAAGCATTGCGCGTAGAAGCCGGCATGGGTGAGTCTCCCAATCTTTTCGAAGATCCGAGACTACAATTAGGCAGATTTCCTCTGGCTGAACCATACGAGAGTTACGCCCATTCTCCGCAATGTTTTCATTTCCCGGGTGTGAGTCCGGTTTAGCATCTGTTCGTCAACGGTGTACTTATTGATCATATGTCTTACAGCTGCAGGGTTCTCTGCCTTAGTACGTTTATTGTCTCTTTTCAAGAACCCATTCGCTGCTGAGTTGTATTCATTAGTTGCTCATAACATCAGGAAACCCTTCATCAGAGTTAAAATATACAATATCATTCTTTCTCTGCACAAAAACAACCCTCCTTCGAATTGGCGTTCAGCGAACTACCGGAAACTTGTGGATGACGTGGTTAGGTACATGACACCCTTGCCAGGACGGGCGCCACTCTCAGATGCTTACCTGCGAGCTCTCCTGGCTTTCGACGATAATACAGGAGTCGGAAACCTGGTGCATCTCGTCCACAAAATGATGGACCAGCGTACCCGAGTCTATACTAGCATAGGCCGAAGGCTTGTATACGAGAAGACCACGGAGATCCCCCATCTCCTTTCATCGTACGCAGTGATCGCACAGTCTACCCTGAGAGTAGAGGCCCCTGCCTTCGTACCTGGTGTAGGACATTGCAAGGACCGACCAGAGGTCATGCAGCGTGATGAGAAAGAGAGCACGGAACCACAACCTCAAGATCTCGAAGGAGAAGAAGAAGGGGAAGAGGATGTCACAGCGAATGCTGATATCGAGACCCGTGATGCGTCGGAGACTTTGGATGAGGCGGTGGCGTTGCTTGCACCTGATCTTGACGAGTCGCTACGCACCAACGGACCATCGGTAGCGGAGGAAGAGGCGGCTTGCAAAATTCAGAACACATACCGCTGTTACGTCAGACGCCGCTCGAGTCGTGCAGTCAATGCCGAAATCGATGCGATGTTTATGACATGCCTGAAGGAGACGCAGTCCCCTGAATGGCGTCGGGGTTATTACGGCTTCCTTTTCCTTGGACCGTTGCCTCACCTTCTGGTGTGCTTGGAACGAGGCATTGCTCTGACTCGCGCTGCCAAAGCGAAGACGAAAGGCCTTTTCAACAAGGAGTCTCATGAAAAGCTTGAGGAGTTGGGCAAGCAGAGAAGCGAGCTAGCGTCCGTCCTCACTTACTCAGTGACATACAATAACTAACACCGTCCTGTTCACAGGGCGCTCCTCAGGAAGGGATTGAGATTACGCAGACAACTGGAACCTTCCTCACCCTCTCATCGTGACCGTGGCATCGATGCACTGAAATCTGGTGTTCTAGAGGTCGATGAATTCATGCAGGGGGTTCCCGGCAACATGAAAGACATGCAATTCGACTTTCAATTGGCCTATAAAGGCATTGTCGCAAAGAAGATTTCTTCGGGAAAGGAGAAAGAGAGGCCTGCTCTCAATGTCGAGGATATGAACGACTGTTGATTTCATTTAGATTGTGGAGTCGAGACTGCCATTTCGTCGGTGTATCATATATCATATTGTACAGTGCGTATCTCCGTAAATCAATGCCTGTGCGCGCGGAGGAACAAATGTTAACGAAACTTGAAGTAGACAATAAATGAGCTTTCATCATGATCATTTTAGGTATTCATACTTATTACCCCGGTCTGCGATCGTGTAGCACTGGGACTCCAAGCTACCACACTGCAGCCTAGCCCAACAGCGACCCCTTTGAAGAGCTATCACGTTCTTTTGGGCAGGATATACGATACCCATCGAGAATTGTTGAGATGACAAGGTTTTCGGTGCATCACACTTGGGCACTGTGGTCAGACGTTCTCATTTTCACGGCTATCGACCAGAAGTACATTGTCCTTCCCTCATAAAATCAGGATTATCCTGTCCGGTGCATTGCACGAGGCTCATGATGAGGAAACTAGATTGAAGGTGTATTGCAGAGACATAACGAAAGAGACATAGGTGCGGAATCACTAGAAGCACTTGAAGGCGAAGTGGTTGTCCGAGTGCTGTAACGCTAATTGTATCAATGACTATTGGCATGTGGCAGGCAGCAAATTACGATCGGCGTCTACTGCGATTGTGGGTACTCGACAAAACAACAGGGACGATCAACTAATGCAGCAACATCATGGCGACTTTACAACCTCGGTACCAGGCTACTAGCTTGATAAGGGCGGGCGAACTTTGCTTTTATGGGGCCAATGGCAGAAGACGGAGTGGTGGGTGTAACCGGTGTGCATGGATTGAGACTGAAAAAGTGGATGACAGTGCTTAGAGGTGGATATACCTACGTGCTTTCGGGGATCTGTATGTGAATGCTCCTCAGTGACCGGTTGGCCGTCCACGTAGAGGGAGAGCAATCGTCTGGCAGGATTTATTCTGTAGCGAGAAAGATGAATGACGAGACGGTTTGCCTTGTAGGTTCATGACCGGAGATGAACGAGGAAAGAAGGAAGACAATCGTACCTTATAATGGAGGCGAAAAAGTTGAAAAGTTGAAACAGGGAGGCTATTAGTTCATTGCAACAGTTGACTGATAATACACTTTCACTCTCAGGATCCACGATGGAAAGAGGTCACGATAGTAGTAAATATATTGCAGGCATTATGGATCGCACTTAAGTATTGTCCTTAATCCTGATACGAAGGCATTGAGGCTGTAAGACGACGGTGTACCACGCCATGTAGACTTTCTGTGACTGTTCATGATGTGTGCCACTTCCGCCGCCTTTGCGCGCGCATCGAGCAACCCTATAACATGACGTGGTCGTGCCCAATTGTCGGGCAGGCGTTCTTCCCCGTACCATTGCAAGAGTATGCTTGAAGGGATGCGACCAGTGTCTTGCTTAAGAAGCAACCAACACAAGGCTGCCTCAGCAGCCCCGATCTGGGAATGGATGAGGTCGAGTGGATGAGCCAGCTGGGCCTCGCGAGATATGCGCACTTGCGCGAGGTCATACAGACTCGTGCCTCTTTGAGGATCTGCATGGCTTAGAAATGACTTGAGAAGTTTTGGGTCGACCTCAGTAGGTGCACGCTGCTGACCCGATGCATCTGCATGAACGAGGGATGCGTCGTGTTCGATTTTGTTGTGGATAGCCAGTGCGTCAAGGTCCAAACGAAAGGCATGACCACAAAGCAGGATTCCTGCCAAGGCGAGTAAGGTTGCCAATATAAAGGACAGGTTGTACACTTCTTGGACCGCGCGTATCAGATGCCAAAGTCCAATGTTCTGTCCATTGCGGGGCCTGGTAATGATGAAATTTAAGTTTGGAGCTGCTGGAAGAGACGAAGAAAAACATACAAGTAGCCATGATTTGCTAGTGCGTTGAGTGCTGGACAAGGAGAACGTCGATCGCCCGGAGTAGCGGGGATGAAAGGATGTGAAGTCCGATTTGAAGTCGACATTTTGATACTCGGATTGATCCGGTGGCGTAGCCCCTGTGGCGTTAGCCTTTTTATACCATGATCTCCTATTTAAAATGCGGGTCTCATGAGTGCGTCATGTAATTCAGTTGCAGCGAGTCTGAGACATCCGCGCAACACCAAACTCCGCGGACATTCATCGTATTTGGTTTTATTTATCAAGACCTTTGAATCAAATACAAGTCCGACATCTGCTAGTCGCCCAAGCCTGCTCCTCCTCGTTGCCCCGGCCTCCAAGTATCCGGGCACGTGTATGCTTGTATGCATGGTTAGAGCAGTGGGGTTCAATTCAAGCCTGGTCTCGAGCGTATGAATCACCTCAACGACAAGGCTTGAATTGCCATATGCAGATCAACAGCCTTTGTATGTCAGTGTAAAGGTGGAGCGAAAGAAAAGATTGAACGCATCGAAGAGAGGATGCGGTCAGTCTTTGAGAGTACGAAGTTAGAGTAGAGACTTTTGGTCATGTAGCAAAGTCAAACGTTAGCTAAATGGAAGAAATAAAACAAATCTTCGTGTGCTCGAATAAAGAGTTGGAGGATTTGGAAGGGCTGATGTTGATTGACGGAGGCGGATTTTTGCTCGATGTCAATAAAAATGGAGCAGTGTCTGCGGAGCTCTGAAGGCTCGAAGACGAGTTGACAGAGACAAAAATCTGAATAGATTAGGAGAAGAGAAAACAGCCCTTCGGAGCGCTAATTGATTTAGTATCGAGAGCAGACGTTGGGTCTGCAGTACCAAACCAAAAAACGCTGGAATATGAAATATTTGGGAGGTGGGAGGGTGGTCTAAAACGTAAAGCGTCCCACAGAAGGGGAGTGCGAAGAGGAAGAGTGCAAAATCAAAATGCGAATCTTCGAAGCGGAAGAGATATTTGAGTGTACGCGCACGGACCTGTCCCATTCTCGTCGAGATGCACGAGAATGAGGATTTCCACATGGGCGTTTACAAAGGCCCTATTCACGTGTGTCAATGTTCAAACGTTCAAACGTTCACAGGCCGTTCCAGCAACCATCATGAGATCTAGATTCTGTCACTCATTTTTTGTTATTGACTCATCCTTCCAGACTTTTGTGAACACCGCTCGTTGTTATCTTGTTCTCCGAAGGCCTGCCAAATTTAAATGACCTTGGACGCATGTATACCACCGCACCTGAGCTGCGCCCTCCCCATTGCCTGGATGGCCAGAATGGGCCTCGTCAGAAGGCTTCCAAACCGAGACACCGTTCCATTTGGCAGTAATTGTTGACTTTCGACCTGCACTGTGCTGACAGCGGAAAAACAGCAACCATTTTGCATGTGTCAATTCCGGTTGCTTATTGTGCTTGCTAGTGACTATTGATGCTGGATGGATGAAGCCTGCAGTGATGTGAACATTATGCGGTTGAGACAATGAATCATGGCGACTACAATCGCTATGCCATATGGGCTATTGGCCCGTTGATCAACAACTACCTCAGAATCAGAATCATCCGTTTTCACATCAACATTTGTTCCGATAGGTGCTACAGCTTCTCGATGTGATCCAGTAGAATTTAATTTATTAGCTACGTTCCTGTTTCAGCCTTCCCGCGTCTAAGCGCTAATTCCAGATTCTATAGGTAAGGTGGACCAAGGGCTTGAAATAGAGTCAATGATGGCAATGAAAGAGGATAAGTAGAGACTCACCTTTCCGGAATACTCCAAGTGTAAACTCCACCACTAGAAGTAAAACACCACCTCCAGGCGCTAAACGGAGGACCTTTGGCAAGAAGCCCTTGTAAAGAGCTGCAGGACCCTCCTCGCGCATGATGGTCATCAATCTGTTACTTTGTTTAGTATCTCCCTCGATAGCGTAGGAAGAAACCTACGCGGGATATGTCCAATTATACTTTGGGGCAACTCCGGGGACTTTAGCAGTACCTTGGATGCGAGATTTCACGACCTAAATTTACATGTAGCGGTGTCATTGAACAACCTGGGGTACTACAATGAAGAGCATACATCAAAGCTGACAGGCACATCAGTCACATTCGCTAAATTTGCCGAATTGCAACTCACGGGGTATTCACGGCAGTTCCGACGAAGCCACCTACACTGCCAGAAACGAAATTATTGAACAGCTGCCCTTGCTGCGTCTAAACTAGGCGATGAGAAAAATACTGCGAGACATTGTGGAAGACTTACCTCAGCTGGTGGCAGCATACCACGGACTTGATGAATACATCCAAAATATCCACCATTCCACCAGAAGTGCCTAGTCTCTTGGGTCAATAATCAGGGACACTAGATTGTGAATCCATTTACCTCCAAAACGTTGCCTCCATGCCGGCATAGAGACCAAGAGGACCTTCCTTCTTGATGACCTGCTTGACTACATCAATGGGACCAGCGAATGTACTACTTTTATCTTGCAACCTGTTGACATAGGTTAGAAGTAAAAATAGAACGCATGATAGCGATGATCGTACTTAATCTTGACAAGCTCAAATGGGACAACAACAAAACTCTCTGTTGCACCAGCACTGCACCCCGTCAAAATGGAGAGTTGCTGTGTCATCTTAGACTCTCCAGATAAACCCATGTAAGTCTTCCCCCAGAAGTCGTTGGAAGCGCTGCAAGGCAATGAGACAGTACACCGGGATACCTGCGAGAACCTAACTCACAACTTAACCGCGCGCTTTGGCGCCTCGAGAAGAAGAGGCGGAACCAAACCTGTAAACAAAGTTCAAGGCTCCGTAACGAGAACTGTAAGAGTATTCTTGACCTCGGTAAAGTCGGCCGAAACTGACGAGGATATCAGCAGCGTGGTCGCGTGAGCATCGCGATGTCACGACTTTACCCTTCTTCCCGCACTATCGACGATAGAGTGCCAACCATTCCATGCTTGGCCTTTCCGGTCTCAAGCTGCATACGAGTTTTCACCTGAGTCATGCTCCGTCACCGGCCCAAGCATCATATGCACAGGTATACTTACGACATCTAAATTATGAGTGAGCGGGCGTCTTATGAGATGAATATGACTCACCTAGAGGGTAAAATGTCAAGATCTCGGAGACACCAGCAATTGCACCGGCGGCGAAATTCGCAACGAAAGGGAGTGCTATAGTTTATTCTGTCAGCAAAGTCTCAAGTACGGCGCCTAGTATGGTACAAGTTGCCTAACTCACGTTTCCGTTGATCCGTAGCCATTATACTTAGTTTTGGTCGATAAGGATGAAGTCAAGAAGGAAAAGGGATCCGTTCAAGAGTTAGGCACAGAATCGGACGTAAAACGCGACAGAATACGGCACGCCCGAACCGTTCAAAATTCAGGAATCAGAATTGCCTCTCTGCTCGTGACCATTGACATGTGACAGCGTGACATTCTGTGACCAAACCTTGCCTTACTGATGAACTTCATCAACTTACGAGCACGCGCGTTACTCATGCGAGGATGGTATACATCGCCTCCTGGCAAGAGTTTCAGGAAGCAGCTGAAAACCTTTACACAAAATCTCCCAACAAAGTTTTTCTTTTCAACATCTATCACTGTCTGACACTGATGATGTCCCCACAGGCTCGATATTGTGTGAAATGGAGATCATCAGAGGGCAAGCTCGTCCTGAAGATTACAGATGATTCGACAGTGTGTCGTGATCTCATTTCATCATGAATCTACATCTTACTTATCATATCTCACATTTCTAGTGCATTAAGTTCAAAACCTACTCCTCGATCTTCCTCAATCGATTCGAGGCTCTGAATCTATCACTAATGCAGAAAATGCAGAATAAACGCCCGACGTCAATTGTACATGCTCTAGGTGTGCCTGATACCACTAAGGACGCAGACCAGACGCGCTCGTCGTCTCCGTTCGTTGCACAACCTGCAGGTCCTGCAGCTGGGGGTGTTAAGAAGAAAAAGCCAAAGAAGAAGAAGTAGGCGCAACATTGCTATGTGGCTTCTGGTAAGTCCGCCGAAATGGCCCAGCTATCACATCTTTGTCTGATGACGTCTTTCCGCTTAGTGGTTTATGGGAGCATAATCTCCTAAGGTGGAGCGAAAATGCACAGTTATTACCAGAGCGAGACCGTCGTTTATAGATCTGATTTGTCAATAAGCCGTTGGTCGTTTGAACGGCGCAAGGCCTCAATATTCAATGCCCGATCGATCATGAAATGTTCGTCACCGCTACCTTGTTCTGATGCAAGAGGCAAAATAGGTAAGCCATCCGTGTGGGAATGATGGAAATAGACATACAACGTCTAGCTTCGGCGTCGCACAGGCTTGCTTAGCACTAAGCTATAGAACTTACCAATCAAACGACGGTGCCTTGGAGCACCCAGTGCTGAGCGCTGATCCACCAGAATGTTAATAGTGCTTGATGAGATGGTGATATGGTTGATCAGCGCTCAGCACACGCAATCGTGCGCGCCCACGATAATAGCGTTCGACAATGGATGTACAAAATGATAGCCTCGATGATAGCCTAAATAACGGGTAATGTAGAGCCGGGCACAGGCGTTTATCATAAACCCCAATGTCCACTGGAGGCGGATGACTGGGAACCGGAAGCTTGACATGGTCAACATGTGGATGAGATGTAAATTAGCCTCTGCGGATCATCCGATCTTAAAGGCGGTACAGAGGGAACTATTCCGGGGGCGATCTGCGAAAACCCCGAGATGGGTCTCCGGGGACACCATGCCAGTATCAGGTACAATCTATAAGAGAAGCACGGTGCAACACCAAATCTTTTTAGGGGTTACCGTACTCGACTGATGTGTCACAGATCCATGAACTAGTGAATACGCCGTTAAGACTTGGAGCGAGTTCTATTCACAGGGTCCGGCTTGAAAGTGATTATCCGATATGATGCGGATCCGGCTCTTTGTCGTTAGTAGAAAAAGTACTAGTGAAATGACTCAAGATACGCACCGGTACGAAAAAAAAATCGCGTATTCAAAGGAAACATGGAGCTTGGTTGGGACCCTAGTGATGACTTGCGGAGGTTGGCATTGACCGACTCCCTGAGATGACAACTTTCTCATGGATGTATAGAACAAGGCATCTCGTGACATAGGATTCCGCAAATTGTTCATCAAAAATAGAGACTGATCGATAGTCAATGATAACGGCGAAAAGCGAAAAACAAAGTGCATGACAGCATATATCAGGGGGCTTGATGAGCCGCAATTTTGGCAAGTAATTTGGTACATACCGATTGCAGCGGAAGTCGACATGGAGATTACTCCGAGGATCCCATCATATATAGTCAGCGGAGTTCTAGCTGATGCAATTTTGAATGGTACAACAGTGGTAAAAGTCTGTAAAGAGTGAGAACGGAATCGAACCACAAGCGAGATGTAAATTCATCGATGCAAATTGGTCTTTCTGTGAAGTCGACCTATTTGGCAGCAGTAACTGGTGCGACGCCGGGTAAGGACAAGCCGGTGCGAAGTATCAAGATAGCCTGCGAAAGTGAGCAAAAAAAAGATTATGTAGAACACAGGAATAACAGGACTCAGATCTGATACCATCGCAAGGTGACAACATCTAGCTTCTCCTGGAACCGGTTCTGGATGCCGGCTGGGCTGAAACTAATCAACTGGGAATGAAGGAGGGGAAGTGGGCAGCTTTTCAAACAGTCCTCAGAGAAGAGGCTTCGGAACCAAGGTCTCATGTGTACATGTCACTTACTGTCCCCAACAACACTCCCTTATTGATGAGGCGTCGTTTGCAGAATAAGTCTAAGCATGGTGCAGGATGTTAGAAATCATGATGATACAATGATCACGCAAAGAAAGACAATTGAGTCGCAGTTTGTTGTATGTTTTTGAAGGGCCGACACGGCTGTATTCAAATTGGTCCAGCTTGGGCAACTGGCACAGCAGCTGGTCTCCACAAATACGTGTACATAAATAATGTTCGGTCACTGTCATTGGCATCGTCAACACCCTTCAGCTTCTGATTCCAGGTACTAAGCACTCGACGTTGCATATTCTACGCGTATTGCGGGACGCCTCAAGCTATTGGGAACACCTCATATACCCGAGTTCAATAACTAGTCGAATGCATTGCATTGAGAGGACATCGAGCTCATTCATAAAGAGCACTGATTTCTTCTACCTTTACCTTTAGTGCGAGAGGTAAGCCGTGTGGTTATATTCCTATTCTGATATGCCTTCATCTCCATACCCGCCAACAGTCATTGTTCTGCTACTTGGTCTTCTGATACGTACTTTCTTCAAATCGCATTGCTCATGGCGCTTCGGCGGTATACAGCATCAATCGATGGTACCATCCCAGTTCCTGCACTCCTCTATGACGATGAAGAATATCTGGCATCCCAGGATGGCGTAGGTATATATGATGGGTGCGTGTACTTTCTGGCTTTGACCTGGTGCATTGGTTTCCGTGTTCATGTCACCAATTAACAGTCCGCAGAAAGCTTCCGACTATCAGACAGGTTCTGTTCACGTCTCTACGCATCGCCTATTTTTCGTTCATTCGCAGAACCCTACATCATACTCTTTTACTATGGATCTACTTCATGTGACACGGACGAATTATTATGCTGGTTTGTTCAAGTCTTCGCCGAAGGTCTCACTCTTCCTCGACGCCAGCACTGCCTTACCTTTGACTACAACATCCGGGCAGCGAACAGACATATTCGAGAGCTGGGAATGCGAAGTCTGCAGCCATCGCAATCCTCCAGGTTTGAGTCCAGCCGCGGCTCGAATATGTGCCCTATGTGGCGTTCCGCGCAGCGCATCTGCGGTGTCAACAGCGTCGGAGGCATCGTCTCAAATTCAATCCTTGTTCTCCTCCATTCCCGAGTCTTCATACACCTCTCTATCTTCTTCAAGCTCTCCAGGACCTCCATCTCCATCAACAAATGATGATTCTGATGGAATTGCATGTCCTGCATGTACCTTCCTTAATCACCCGTCTTTGCGTGTCTGCGAAATATGCACAACGCTACTTCCCAATATTGAACATGCGGGAAATATGAGGGCGAAATCCGCCCCCTCCACTCGACCAGTATCACCCATAAGTGACAGCATCGATCCCGCGAATCTCCTCATCAAATTAAGTTTCCGCAAAGGCGGCGACAAACCATTTTACAACGTACTCAGGCGTGCACTTAGATCTCGGGCTTGGGAGGCAAGCATGGTGCCATGATTTCAACAGAGATATAACTAATCGCATATCCTGGCAATTAGAGCAAACGAATTGGTCATAATGCGAGAAGCGGGCCTTCTAGCCTTGCCATTACAAACCCTAATTACGGACCGACACCCGTTGCCATGCGTCCTTCTGGAATAGGTGGGGAATTTGATTTTTGTTAGTACCGCCGGCGCTCACATTGATGGTTGGTTCTTAAGATGGAATTATGCGTAACGTAGAAGCTTCGGCTTATGTTACACAAACGGATCTAAACGATGCCCTGAAAGACTTAGAGGGTTTAATGATGAAAGCAAAGGATCTCGTTCACCTCGCGGGGGAGCTGAATGAGAAACTTACTGCATCCTCTACAATAACCACGACATCAACACTTGCTTCTCCATTTCCGACGACCTCATCCCCATCAACTTCAGGCACCCAATTGTCAAGTCCATTTTCGGCGACCACGCTTGTTCCTTCTACGGAGCCCGAAGAAGCCAAATTTATACGTTCTTCACTTGCGCAGCTAGGTTTACAGATGTCTAATGCTCCCGTCACGCTGGACATGATCAGGGACGAAAGGAGATGGGTAGAAGAATTGGCGCGGGAACTGGCAGGGATGTTGCAGGGATTTCCGGATGATATTCCCGGTCAGAAATCGGTCGGAATTATGAAAGATCGAGGGATTGTTGGGTTAGATGAGGTCTGGGGCGGATGGAATCGTGCGAGAGGCGTAGGTAAGGGAACCCTTTTGACACTGCCCAAGTGAGCTACTGAACACACATTTTGCGCAGCATTAATTCCGCCATCGACTTTTCTGCAAGTACTCCCTCACCTCCCGGCATACACGTCACCGCCGATCCGCAGCAGAGTGTTTAATTCAGGCTTATCCGTGCTCCATATTCCGCCTTACACCCACGCTTCGTTCACGGCTCGCATAGTGGGTTATCTCGCCATGTCGGGTGTAATGACAACAAGTCAGATTGCCCGTGAGGAGAATATCACGATCGGGCTTGCAGATGAAATGATCGCTGCTATTGAAGCTGATGGTGTGATTTGCCGGGATGATGAAAGATCGGCAATCAAGGGGGGCGGAAGTGGGACTACATCAGAAGTCAGGTGGTCGAGGAACCTCTTTCTGGAATATATTTGGGATGGTCAATTGTGAAGATGGTTGCATTAAAGTTTGCAGCTACTGCCGTATAGACCACAGGCGAGTTGTTGACGAGTGTTGGTTGGTACCTAGATACTGCGGACCATTATAAGAAACGACTCGGGCAACTCGGGAGAGGTGTGACCCTAGCTCCGTCAGCAAATAATTGTCAATGGAAGCCATAACGTTGCTTTGGTTCGCGAGCGAAGAACTCGACCTCTGGTCCAAACGTTTTTCTGGCTTATGATTAATGAATTTCACTAGTTCTAGCATGTTTGGCAAAGGCTTTAGAACCAAACAAACGCCCGATCGATCGACCGTCGATTACCTATTTTGGGCGCTTCAATACCGCAGCGATATTCACACCTGGTTCGGTAAAGAACTGTCATTGTCACGTGCACTACAGTAGGGCGAGACCTATTCTGCTCAGCACCGATTATCCCGCAGCTTATGTATATGTGATGTTCGAGGCCCTGAGCTTGCGTCAGACTGAATTGATGCTGTCCCGTAAGTCAAGGACTCAACTATCTCAATGGAATAGATAACCGCCGGCATCGTCGTGAACCGAGAAACAAAATTAACAGCTACTAGACTGTCGGCTCGCCGACTGGTTACTTCATCGGTACTTTTGTTTATTCCGACAACATCGGTCTGAATTGATTCTATCACCGATCGGCGACATGTCTTTCCCGCTGCTTTGGTGCTGTCAAAATGATATACTGTTCACTTGCAGAATTTATCGAGCTGGACCGCTGCAGGAATGCTTACTTGAAATGTATCTGTCATAGTCTGTAGTGATATACCAGGCCGCTGGTAGGAACAACACGTGTAGGCTTTTTGTACGCAGACTTACGAGGTGATTACAGGAGGTAGCATCCCTGAAGAAATAACTCCTTTTGCTCCTCATTTTCGTCGAGCAACGTAAATGTGTGCGCGACTGCTAGAAACGGTGTCTTCTAGCGATTTCCATTCTTCAATCAGCCGGCGGAACGAAAATTAACGAAATGCGTACCCACACTGTCGGCGTGGGGGATACTTCAGGTTCACTCTTTCCCCAGTGATATCGGCATGTGTGTGGTTCTCCATTGCTCAAACGTTCTCCTGCGACGTCGAGATGATTACGACTGTTAGTCCCTTTCGGATTTGTAGCAACCGACTGAATTTCAGTTATGAACTCACGCTCGTTAACAAAAGGGCGCAGTGCCGCAACTATCACCAGTGGCGTAAGTCGGCTGATGGATCTTTAGTTCAGCTGGCCGAAGGCGGCCCCCGCGAATTGAGGTAAAGTGTCAGTTCGAAAATAATCCTTCACTTCGGTGTTTACTCTATTCAGCCACTGTGTGGGTCAATGTCCGTTCTCGGGGTCAGGAACAATAATGAGTACTTACTGCGTTGCCTAATGATTGTAATCGACAAGGTAGGCAATTTGATCATCGAGTGCATCTTGTTGTACTTAAAGTTTCCCAAGCAAAGAAGAGATGTGTTTGAGGACTAAGTTCCCGATAAAAGCCCCGTCAAACGCAGCACGGCATCCGGGATGAAGACGATAGCGGAGTCGGACTCTGGACCGAGTGAGAGTTCAGAATGGCGCGATGATCATGGTGATCGGACTGCAAGGTCGGAATCAAGCGTTGATAGGTGTTCTTCGATCCGGGGCTTACAAGGTGTCCGGATTGCAAGTTATGAATTAATTTGCGGTGTCAAAGGATCAGTGGATGCATGTGGGTAATAGCTTGTGGGTGTGAAGGTGGTAGATCGCATCACAGCATGATGAACATCATCATCCCGCGAAGGCTGCAGGGATGGAGAATAGCGGTGAAGGAGATAGGGTTCGACATCGCATACGTATCAGCTTAGCTCGTAGTAGATGAACCACATCAACTGAGCTTATCAAAGTAACACGACAAGTTCGGGGGGTTACGCGATATTGCAATTAGGATAACTTGGTGATCTTGAGATTTCGAGCACAGCCATGCTAACGTTTTTGTACCAAGTAAGAGCAGACGCCTGTTCAAAGGAGGTGTTAAGCTTGAACTTTAGGTATAGTGCTGTGCTGAACCTTGGGCTATGCTAAGATCGGATGAGGCTGTGGAAGATAACTAAAAATGGAAGAGTAGATTAGGTAAGCATGCCTTGCTTGAACCCCGGTAACTTGACCAAGTAAAGATGGCATCAGCATACCGTACACTGTCAACAACACCCTTTCCAATGGTGGATGCGGCCCAAATTATTGCATCCAATGATTCCATGATCATTTCTGGGTCATCCCGGCCCATCTCCATATTTTTATATCAACCATGATATAATATAATTCTTCCGGTGCACACGCAAATGGATCACCCCCTCCCTTTATAACTACATATCATCCTACTCTTCATCTAATCGGTCATCGCATCCATCTTTCCTCCTCTGACTCTCAAAATCCCTTCTATTGATTCAAGTACGTCGTATCATCACTTTGAATTCGAACCTTTGTAGCTCACCATCATACCAGGTTGGCGCTGCGTAGTATCACTCTTCTCTACAGCTCACGACAGCCTCGCTGAAACAAGTGATCTCATGAACCCTTATCTACCAACGTTTGATTCTTCACTCGACGCAGGCGCTGCAGGGCTAACTCCACCATCCAACTCCGGATCTTCTTCCCCTTCTCTACTGAACGACCATCCCAATCCCCATCAAACGCAGGCGCCTGATCGTCGTGTAACCAATTTTATCGCCCGGACATCGGGAGGATCACCGACAATGCATTGCCATCGCTCTTCCCAACGAACACCAACGTCATTCCAATCCCGCCAGCCTCATATAACTGATCGCAGTCAATCTGCCTTTGTCCCTCGCTTTAACCCATCGGCCACTGGGTTAAGTGCATGCAAAAATCTGACAAGGCCTTTGAACGTGCAGGAGAAAGAGAATCTCTTCCATCTAGACAATCTCAAGTATTTTCTGGCTACTGCGCCGTCCCGATGGTCGTCGAACGCTTCTGGTTTAACACAAAATGACTCGTTTCCCATGGACTCCTCTGGCCACCCAGCCTCTTCACATCCCTCCATGAACCGCTTCCTTCTTCCTTCTTCGGAATACATCACCTGTGTCTCGTGGAATAATCACTACCACATAACGGGCACAGACATTGTCCGCGCGCTTGTTTTCCGCTTTGAAGCATTTGGAAGACCCGTCAAAAACATGAAAAAATTCGAGGAAGGTATTTTCAGCGATCTGCGCAATCTCAAGCCTGGTGTCGACGCTTGCTTGGAGGAACCCAAAGTTAGTATCGTCCAGGTTTTCTTATGATGCTCCATCTCATGTACAACAGTCACCATTTCTGGATCTTCTTTTCAAATATCAGTGCATACGCACTCAGAAAAAGCAAAAGGTGTTCTACTGGTATGTATCTTCTCCATTATCCCGAAATCTGTGGCTCACTTTTCTCGAAAGGTACTCGGTCCCTCATGATCGCCTTTTCCTAGATGCCCTCGAGCGCGATCTCAAACGCGAGAAGATGGACTTGGAACCAACTACTATCGTCGTCGGTGAACCTGCTCTCTCGTTTACATACGAGCCGCAGCGCAGCCTTTATGAACAGTTTAGCAAGAGCATGGAGGCCGATGGCGACGTCATCAGCAATTTTGACGTCACCCAAATGAATGGGAAATGTGACACAAGCGGATCAGCACCGACGGTTTCACGTGCGGGGGCGATACACAACTCTAACTCGGGGGAGTTGCATCTTAGTAACTGTCGCATTGATGGCGGAGGCCCACATCTTCCCTCAGCACTGCATGGTCCCAATATGGCGTACCTACCCCTTTCTATTTTCGAAGGTTCTCCCACCTATAAGCAACGTCGTAAAAAGCCAGCCAGCAGGTTGGATGCGATCACGCGCAGTGACTCAGAAGAGACACCCATTCCCACATACGAGGTTGGCGTTGGCTATGGACCTGGTGATTCCAGCATGACAGCTGCCGATATGTTCACGTCTCAAGCGAGAGGTGAACAGGATCCTAGCGTGAGACAAGTCAAGGCTGTGCTACAAGCCCATGATAGCACGATTTGGTCCACTACACCGCAACTCGCTCCAGGGCAGACTTCTGCCACCCTTCCAAATGGTCCAGTCTTCGGGCAACGGTCATCAATCAAGCAGCCTTCATCGCAATCTCATCTTCACCCCTTTACGGAGGATTCCTCATTATCTTCGTTCCCTTCGGATGTTGACGGCCATCACGCCACCAGCGGGATGACGCTCACTTCGAAGGTGTTTGTTTGTCCCCTCTATTCCTGTGGCCGTTTGTTTAAGCGTATGGAGCACCTAAAGAGGCACGTGCGGACGCACACCATGGAACGCCCATTTGCCTGTAACTTTTGCAAGAAAGCGGTTCTCTCGGTCGGACAACCTCAACCAGCATCTTCGCATACACACACGGACGGAAAGGGCTGACTCAGCTTCCACCGATCTAAATGCGTGCGATACTGATATGGAAAACGAGGAAGGAGATGAAGATGACGTTGCCTTTGCTGCCGCTCTCTCTTTTGCAGAGGGTGGCTTACAGGACATGGGGACGTGTGTTTTGGAACTGCAAGGCCAGGTGCAAGACGTGCAAGGCGACGAAGAGGGTTTAGTTGCGTTGTCCGGCGTCTCCTCTCTTATGGATACCGACGCTACCTCGGACGGTGGGCTTAGTAGCAGCTATTTCTTGCAAAGTGGCACCGGGGACCACACCGGGTACGTTGAGCCAGCGGAGATGACCTGGGCCAGTTCCTTTACGAGTTCTCCGTCGTTGAGTTCGGACTTGCAACGGGGAACCGACTATGACGTCTTTTTCGGCTCCATCCCATAGACAGGATTTTACCCTGAACAATATGGCTCTCCATGTAGCACCCTCAGAGGTTGGACCTCACAGACGTCACAGAAGCGCCACTCCATCTCTCATACGCTCGCATTCTGTGTCCAGCCGACACTACCATCCCTATGCATCATCTTCTCATTCGTGCCCCAGTTCAAATCACTCCAGCCCAAGCTCTCTCTCTCGTTCTCCTGATAATTCTGCGGTTTCATTAAACGCTATGTCTCGTGAGGCCTCCAGGGCGTCACAGCCGCGTTCATTCTCAGCGCCTTCCTTCAGTGCCAATCAAGGCTTGGATAGAGCGCTCGACATCAGCGGCCTTAATTTCGACGGTATCTTCTCGAATTCCATGACGCTATTCTCAGAACCTGGTGCATTCGACCTTTCACAGGCATACCCGCACCCCGCCTACGAATCAACTTCGTTGTCAATCTAGATCGTTCGAGTCGGAGTACAGTACACCTCTCTTTTGTTATCATAATTCTTTTCGTTCATCTTGCTAGCTATAATTGTATCGATAATCTATTTATCACTCACGACCTAGTACATACTATACCACCAGTGATCGTTTTGGGGCACCGTGCAGGTCACTTTTGTGTTCTCCCCCATTTACGACACCGAGCCTCACGTGTGCCATTTTCTTGTATTACATATCACATATTGTCTTGTTCACGAATTGTTACTTCACTATCGCTCAAGCTCGGTGACTCATCGGTCTTGCCTGCAAGGTTGGATATGCATGGAGCTGCGCGCACTAGTGCTCTTGTATTATGTATCGGAATTTCGTCATCTATGTCAGCGCAATTGACAATGCCTACGGCTCGGAACTCAATATGTGGCATAAAGTGTATATGCCGCAATCTATCGCCAATTGGCTTTGATGAAATAGTATGATGGTGATGCTGGAAGAGGTGGCCGGCGGTACACACAGCTGACTAATAATGTAAGACCCACATACGCCACCAACATAATATGGAGCTTCTTGATTACGAACGTCGACGAGACAACAAATATTCCGATATGTTCTCTGGATTCAAAAGGTCACTGGTGAGCGCCCAGACTCGCTTGAAGCTACCCGACATGAGCTGAACATCAATCAACTACAGCCCCAAATATCCATCTTGTGTGCATCATCTATCATCCGCAAGGAAACCTTGTGAGAAGCTGAATCTTTTCTCTATACAGTCACCACCCATCATCGCCACCATCAATTCAGGCCCTAGCACTGCTGCGGAACGCCCTCTCCTCACCCTATCCCCCTGGAAAGCCATCGGCGCTCCCACTCGAGTTTGATCTAGAAGTCGTTGAAACGAAACCTCCGACCGCCGATCAATTGAGGACCATTCTTACGTACATCACCCCGCCTAGGTCTACCGCACCACCTGCGTTGTCTGCCTTTTTATCTGCGCATCCTGCATCGCCTGGCCTCGGAGAACAGCCTCAGAGCGTGAAAGGTATCGTGAGTCTTGCGGAGCGAAATCCGAACGTGTTCAAATGGCCTGTTGTCGTGGACTGGAATGGTGGCCGTGCTAGTGTAGGGGACGTTGAGGGCGTCAGAGCGATTTTGGAGGCCATCAGGCAACAGAGAGATGGGGAAGTGAAACAAGATGAAGTGGATCAGCCTAAAGGCTGGTTCTCATAAACGTTCGGGCGGGGAACTGACATTTTGACGCATGCATCGTACGTCCTGAGGACTATACTCCAGATTTCTGATTGTCCAGCTGCACACTGGAAGGAACGTACAGCGTGTCATTTGGTATATATTCTGTCCATATGGTAAAAAGGTAGCAATGCATACATATGTATTATAATTATCCAACGAAAAAGTGATCCGCAAGAGAAATTACTGGTCAAAGTCGATAAAATTCCAGTGCGCCATCATCACTCCCTGCATCCTCTGCCAAACTGTGGCGTCCCGATTCCCTGTTCCCTGACTCATTATGGAGTGGGTGCTGCTGACGGGGTGTGTGTCGCTGAATCAGCTGCTGAACCAGTTTGCACTGACTGAGCGCCAGGTGTGGAGTTTGGTGATACTCCCGCGTCGCTAGTCGCGGAAGTGGCAGGTGTCTCATTAGATGAGGATGTAGATGAGGATGTAGAACTGCCCGAGGGTACACTTTGAGGGGCGTTGTTATTTGAGCTGATTTTCCCGACAGTTCCCTCCGACGGCGCCACCAACTATAGCACCGATAACGACAATGGCGATAACAAAGATGGTGATTTTGCCATTGCGAGTCCGCCAAAAAGATTTGGTGGGATGCGAGGCATATGTAGCAGCAGCAGCTCCAGGAACATCCTTTTCCTGTACCAGCGAGCTGCTTTCGACATCTGTATCACTAGGAATTGGTTGTGGAAGTGTGAGTGGTTGTGTCGATACGGGGCGGGTAGGACGGTCGTCGAGTAAATCGACGTTGTAGCCTTCCTAGAAATCGGATATGTTTTAGTCATAAAATGGGGACTGGTGAGCCAAGAGGTACTGCACACCTGCCTCTGTGCCCTCGTCGCTGCGGGAGCTGCATCAAGTAGGTTCTGGTCATATGCCCCGTTTGGAGAGGACATGATGCTTCTTGAAGAGATTGGTGATAGCGAGAGGTCGCATAGGCAGGCGCCTGCAGCTCGCTTGCAATTACTTGCTGGACAGCCTCAACAGCTGCGTGCCTGTCTGCCTGACAAGCGGAGTTGCCCTAAGTAGCTACATTCCGGATCTTGGCTTGAGCGTTGAACAAGTACTACTTCACTCGAGTCTCGACAGACGAACGACGTAAATACTTCAGATGAGTCGCGATAATGATGTAAATAATACAATACATTGAGCCTGTGAGGTATCCTTCGCGACTGGCCACAGGCCTCATGGTTACATCAGAGTCCCTTTGCCATCGGACTCGCCAAGAAGTGACTAGGGTTCGGGACTCTGTGCTTACGGTAGCACCAGCCTCAATGCAGCAGCATGGTTGGCTTCTCGCGGCTTTGTCCTTGCAATGACCTACTAGTTGAACGTTGTTGCACGATAGGTGTTTGGGTATGTATTTATATCACCGGCCGTAATTGCTCACGCAAAGAATGAGGCAAGACGCGGTCTCATTCGAGTTAGTACATCATTGATATACCTGAATGGCGCACGTCTGACAAGGTTTGCACCCAGACAAAGTGTCACTGGACCGTCATGATGCCGTATATGGTTAATGACGAGGCCTGATGTATTCGCTCATGAAGTAGTCCAGGCAGTTTACGAAATGATCTGGCTCCCCACTAGTGTGCGATGTAAACTGTCGAACGTTCCATGGTCAGCTCTTGGACCTACGGGTTGATATATGAGTGTGCGAAGAGCAGGCAGGGTTGTGCTTCAGCACGAACTCGGCAAGTATCGCTCTAACAAGTCAAGAATTTCTGAATGGAAGATAATTTAGGATGGAACCACCGGTCTTCTTGACGAAAGCGCACATATAGATCATGTGAGTGCCGGAGAGATCGACACTGCGAAATGAAGGAAAGCCTCCGGTCTTCGCGCATATAAAGTTTGACGGAAACCCCCCAGTCATTTAACAATTGGGTGACTCGGCGTGGGGTAGCAGCAGTGGAGATTAATCAGGTGCCCCGAGGTTGTCGCTGTAGGCAAAGATTGGTAAACGCACCCAGGAGCCAAGTACTGAATCCGGTCGCAGGGAATGGCAGGTGACATTCAGGAGCGCGACGACAGGGATTCTCTTCCATTTCCCAATGTCAATTTGCCGAGGTTTCCAACATATTAGGATAGCTGCCTGTTCCACTGGACCGTGCACCGAGCTGACTTGATAATTGCCCGTAATGGTATCCTGCATAATCATTGGCAAAACGAGAAATCACCTTTCGAAATCGCCGATAATTCAAAAACGTAGCAGGTTCACGGCCTCGAGTCTTTGGGGTGCTGACCGAAATACCAGACTGAGTCACCATGGCTCTTCCAGCAGCGATGAGTCGCCCGGTTACTAACAAGCGCTCCATGGTAGATGAATCTCCGCAGAAGGTAGAAGTCAACGTTGACTGTGGGATGTGTAGTCATCCTCTAGGACGCTACGTGGTTTGTACGTGGTAGCTGTCAATATTTAGAAGGTCATTTCTTCTAGCCAGGACTGTCGGTGATAACGCCATCACTTGGTGCACAGTACTGCTTGGTTCAGACTTGTACTCAATCGCATCTTTAAGCAAAAAAAACATACCTGTCGACTTGCAATTGGATATGTGCGATGGGTCATGATTTTCTCCTCGAGTTAAGTATCAACGTCAAGATGGCGGAGCCGACTCGGAAATAACGCGGGGTCCCGATAACACACTCGGCTCGGCCCCGTTAAGCGGTTGTTCGGTTCACGCGCACGTGGTTTCGCGGTTTGAATGGCACAGTTTGCGTTTTAGCGCAGAGATCACCGAGGAGCTACTATACGCGCTGTCCAGTATCACAAGCGTACATCGCTCCCGTGTCACTCAGAAACGCGAATTTTGTGAGTTTTCATTCTTTCATCCACCACAACACTTGAAGTTCCTAATCATTATGGCCATAACCATCCAGCTCATTCGGTTCCTTCGTTGAGAATCAAGCGTTCCATCAACCATGCCCTCGTTCTTGAACAAGGTCTTTGGCCGAAGGACAAGCAACGACAGGATTCAAGCAAGTCATTTTCAGGACTCTAACGACAATAGAACTCTACTGGACGGAAAATACGAGGCTGTTTCTCCTTTGAACTTCACCGCTCCCACCCTTACCACCTTGTCAAAGGCTCAGACCGCTAAAGATCATGCTGGTTTCTCGTTGTTTCGGCCTAAATCTCGGTATACTCCCCCTAACTCTTCCTACAAACGCGCGGAGAATCTTCCCCAATTGTCGCTCCGCCTTCCCAGTCTGAAAGACGATGCAGAGTCTCTCCAACTTGGCGTTTTCGAAGTTGATCTCGAGTCTCAAAGGATTTTCGATGAGTCCGTCATTGGTGCAAAACTCCTGTCTCCTTTGGAAGCTCTTATACTCGTTCGAGCCTGTGCGCAGAGTATCACTGAGCGGGGTAAGTTATTGCCAATTCATCATTATACAACCATATAATCGTCTTAGGCTTGGAAACACTTGGAATTATGCACCCTCACTGGCACTCCGCATCACCCGATATTCAACGAAAGCTGATTTCGCTCTTCATTCATTCATTGGCTCCCAAAAGCCGCATAACCATCATGTCTCCAACGCCTGCCGCGGCAACTTCCGCCTTTGAAGCTGAGCTCGAGTACACCCGCTCTCCCCACGACGTTGCAGCTGTTCTCCGTTGGGGCCTTCGTCATCTTGTGCTTGAAAACAACACTTTCGGCAAGGACGTCTCTGCACCCGAGTGGGCGTGGTACAAGTCCTTTTTCGACGCTGAAAAAGGGGCGTCGTACCCACCCAAGAGTTTTACGGAGTTGCTTCTCCCCAAGCTCCCTCCGGTGCACATCGAATTGCTTCTTGCGACCATTGACATCATATCCGCATTAGCTTCGCATGCTGAAGCGAACAGCATATCTGGTAGCAAACTTTCCAAGTTTTTGGGCTTATGGTTGCTCACCGCGACGAGGACTGAGCAAACCGACAACTGGACCACCTTTTATGCTCGATGGGAACGTGCCGGTCGGATTTTGGAACATCTATTCCTTGCACGAATTAGGTATGTATACCGCATGAACCTGAGGGTGTGTCTGACCATAGCACAGGGAGGAGAGTTTCAAATCTCGACTGCCCACCCGACTTCAGGAACTTGTCAAGCACTATCCATATTCGAGGGGCGTGTGCGGCGTTGAAGAGGATCTTCTCCCTCATCCTCGCTTCTCTACGCGGAGCTGCAGTGTCCTCTTCGTGCGCATAGAGGTCCTTCTGTCAGAGTCTGCGCCACAGCCCAAACCATCGCCCGTTCGCCTGCTCTTGGATGCATTCAACCTATCTTCCGAAGGTGAAACATCTGAGCACGTTGAGTTATGGAACTCGCTTAAGACTGCCGCCAACGAAGTTGCCTCTACGTCCTCGGTGACTGGTGCTAAAGATGGCCCACAGTTCGGTCGGGTATTCGTGGATGAGACGATCCACCTCCTCGCGTCCACATCTCGTAACGCCTCTTCTCCAATCATGTCCCCGACAATCGAAGTCGCATCGCCCGTGCCTAGACGCTCTTCGCCCTTCAGCAAGATTCTCGATCGTAGTAAGGACAAACCTGCTTCTGGAAACGGAAACGGGAACAGCTCAACGTCCCCTGTCTCGTCTGCTTCCTCGCCAATCATCAACGACTGGGCACAGTTCTCCACTAGCGGTTTCGGTGAAACAAATGCAGTCACGCCGCTCGCTGCAACACTCCTTGATACAGACAAGGATCTTGAGACTACAGAGCCGCTCGCGTCCCCCAAGTCGGCAAAGAAATGGGGGATGTCACGCTCGGGACAGCGCTCTGCTGACTCCCAATACGAGGCCAAAGAGCCTGCAGTCCTCAGCACCAAGCTCGCGAGTGTCCACATGACGCAGGTTGACGAGGCCTTCATCGATTTCTGGTCCGACGCCATTGCAGACCCCATCACAGCGAATTGGCCCTCGTTTGTCATCTGTGGGCTGAAGCCGCTGCCCGCGAAAGAAGCTGTCAACTGGCTCATCGTCGAGCAGACGTATGTACGCCAGCAGCCCCCGCAGCCCCGCCCGACATCTCCCGAGCGCCGTGGTCGCACGTCGCCCCGCCCTTCGCTCCGTTCGGAAATTTCTGGCACGTTCGCTGCTACGAGGAAGCGGTTCAGCTTTTTAGGTGGGATCAGTAAGACGGGTTTGACAAGGCAAGAAGAGTGCAATAGGAAAGTCGCCCAAGGTCGGGGAGCTTGGTGAGATCTTACCTGAGGAGGAAAGATCGGAGACGCCGACAGCTGGGACGAATATAAGCAAGGGACTTGGCATCACTGGGACTGCCACAGTTGATGCAGTCGCCGCAGAGGCTGTTCAATCGCCTGTCCCTGATGAAATTGTCCAGTCACCGGCTGTGGATGCACTCGCAGAGCAGCCTCAGCAGGAGCTACACGAACAAGCTCTGGTCCAAGAAGCCATCGTCGTGCTCGCAGCCATACCCGATGAATCTGTTCCAGAGTCAGAGGGTACGCTTGTCGAGGAATCTGTGTCGCAGTCTGAGCCCACACATGATGGCGAGACGCCCATTTTTGGAACTCCTGAAAACGCTTCACTTGCTGAAACTGCTCAGGCCGACCTTCCAGAAGAACCCCCTGTTGAACCCATTCAGGCAGTTGAGCCCGCACCACCCACTGCTGAGTCAAAGCCCGTTGAACACACCAATGGTGCAGCATCCACGGAACCGCCATCATCTGTCGACGCGTAGGACAATGTGGACGTCTCGGTGGAGCATCTATTAAATTGAGGACATTGTTGAAGGATCCATCGCGGTTACCTTGTTGATTTCTTTTTGGTTTATTTCATGTTTGATCATTGGTTGTGAAACCCTCCTACTGTCCTTTACCATTTACTGCACCCGAACTAATCTACATTTACTGTCACATGCAGGATTCCAGATACCGCGTTGCCTCACTTTATTCATACAACCATCATTTGGACCGTTATTCGCCCGGACGCGGCCCCACCATTCTTCCTTTATATCCCATATGCCCTTTCCTCGGATACTTACTTGACCTTGGTGCTTTCAATGTTCCAGTACTCCTGTGCGTAATCTTGGATCGCACGATCAGAGCTGAACTTGCCCATCTGTTCCAAATTGGATTATTCGATGTTCATCCTTGTTACGTTTGCTATTGAAATTGATAGTCCATACCTTTGCAGTGGTCCTGATACTCTTCTTAATCCACTCCGTTCGATCATTATAGGCCTCATCTACCATACGAAGAGCCTCGATGTCTGAAAAGAGTTCATCAGGGGCGCTATCGCCCGCCCAGCAAGTTGCTCACAAGAGTCAAAATCTTCAGTGATGAGGTAGTAATCTCCCTGACGAATCGTGTTGAGCAGACTGTTCAAAGAAATGAGTAACTTCATATACACTTGCTGGAAATCACTTACGGTTCGTACACGCCCCTGTCGCCGAACAACCCAGAGGAGACCGCGTCGAGGACTTGTGCAAGAGCAGGGGACTTCTGCTCGACAGGAACGGGGTGGTATACGTGTTGATAACGAAGGTCTTCCACTGCGGGCGTCAAATGACCGAAGAAGACTACGAGAGAACAGTAAGTCTGTGACACAGGCAATAAATGCGAAACTACGTACAGACATTGCTAGGGCCGACTTCCTCCGCGATCTCGATGTTCGCACCATCTATCCGAACAGTTAGATCTTTATGGCACTAAATAATGGTATAGTACATACCAACAGTGCCCAGTAAAAGTCCACCATTCAAGCAGAACTTCATGTTGGACGTGCCCGAAGCTTCTGTACCTGCGGTGGAGATGTGCTGACTGATGTCCGAAGCTGGGATAAGGACTTCTGCTAAGGTGACTGAGTAGTCTGGTAAGAAGAAGACGTTCAAGTAGTCCTTCGTGTCAGGATCAGAATTGACCACGCGAGCGACGTTGACGATCAAGCGGATGGTCTAGAAGCTCGTCAGTATCACAAGATTGTGCGTCTCGCTCGTCGAACGAACCAGCTTGGCGATATAATCTAAACGCCGATCAGCTCGACAGGATTGTTGACGCGCACAAACACTTACACCCTGGGGCGGCTTTGCCTGCGAAGAAGACATTCCGCGGGGTCACCGTCTTCCTCTCCTTGGGAGTCATAGATTTCAGCTTGAGGTAGCGCTAAAAAAGGCTGAGCGCAAAATTCAATGATTGTGCTATTGATCATGCTCACATGAATGACGCCAAGAATATTGAGAGTTTGGCGCTAACAAGACTGATAGGTCGGATTTCGAGAGGACATGCGTTGATGTCTACGTACCTTATACTCGTGCAATCGCTGGAACACTGATCAGCCCTCAAGTTCCGCAATATATATGTTTGACTGACCTTGATCTGGACATCGAACAAGGCTTTAGTATTGACGTTAAGACCTAAAGTAACCTGCATGTGATGAGCAAGCCTCTCCTTGTTAGCTTGCTTTACAGCTGCCCAGTCTTCTCTGAAGTCTTCGTCCTCGACATAATCGAGAAGACCCTCAAGTTTGGTAAGGTCCTTGAGCCATATGCTCTTCTCTATGTCCAGAGTCAGGGTGATGAGCCTGCTGAGTCCAGGGTTGCACTGGTATGTTTGACTTAGCCTCGATATCACACCTATTTCGAAATAGCCACATACCTGGTCCAACCACCGACGAGGAGTGACTTGGCAAGACGATGAGAAGCAGAAATGTATCGAAGATATGATACTCACTGCCGTTGGTCACGTTTCCAAACCTTGCGCGAAAAACCTCAGTCAGTATGCGCTAATTCAGCTTTGAAATCGAACCTACTTGCTAACTCCATAGAAATCTACGAAATCCTTCAAAATAGTCGTCTGAACCAGTTCGCTGTGCAGCTGGAGGAGCGATGGTACTACTGATTCAGACAGATTGCAAATACCCAGCGAAGACTTACCTCGGCCACGCCGTTGACTTTGCGACTGCCTGCACACACGCACATTAGTGGGAATACGAAATGAGTCCTGCGATGCTCACCGATGCATGCCAGGTGAGCCATGCGAACGTTCTGAGGAATGCCCTCTGGGAAAACCTTTTAGTCGTGATTCATTGGTTATGGCATCACAATACCTTCAATTAATGACATCCGTGCAAGCCGTTCCTTGTCTCCAGGGAACTTCCGTTCTACAGCTGTTGGAAAGATCAGTCGAACGCTCGATTGGAATCAAGTCTGTCTTTCTTACACTGCAAGAACGACCTGCGGTTCGATGTTTAGGTCAGCGTACCAGACAACATTTTCCACTACTTACAAATTCTGAAATTTAACATGATTCAGTAGAGGTTTAGTGATATAATACAAGACTCACGATATCAAATATGATCTGCATGTGCCTACAAAAGAGTGCTTTAACGCCAATGTATCGTTGCAATGCATGATGCTCACCTAGGCAAGAGATGCTGCATAAGGGGTACGGGCCACGTCTCAAGCGCTTCCTATCATCAATGTCTTGCGTCAACATCCATATCACGAGCACGGCATTGTCTTGACTTACTGGGAGGACAGTATGATTGGTGAAGAAGAAAGTCTCTGTGACGATGTCCCAAGCAGCATCCCATGGAACTTCTTCTTCATCAACGAGGACTCGCATGAGCTCCGGAACGGCGAGTGTTGGGTGTGTCTTCAGTAAAGTAAAGTTAGCCCCTGGTACGTGCACACGCATATATCGGCCTTACATCGTTCAGCTGGATCGAGACATCTAGAAGAAATGTGAGCATTTGAAATTGAGAACCAATTAGGTTCGCGTACATTGAGGGAACTCTGTGATGGGCTTTCCGATGTTCTTGAACCGTCGAATGATGTCCGCGAGACTGGCTGCAGTCCAGAAGTACTGCTGCTTCAAGCGAAGTTCCTTTCCAACTTGAAATGGGCCTCTTAAGCACAATCTATTTTTCAAATTGTTGGGAATACTTACAAGTAGTATGGTCGTTGGGGTACAAGACGGATGTGATTGCTGCTGCGCTATTTGAAGACTCGACGGCACGTTCGTAATCCCCCGCTACAATCAGAAGTCATCAGTCGAGTAAAAGGCGTGACGATTTGGCCGTAAGCGCACCATTAAAACTGTTTAGATCAAAGCCTCTCTTGGGTTTACTCTCCCATAAACGGAGATTATTCGTGTTGCGCGTGTTACAGCCAGGAATGGGCACATCATAAGCGACAGCAAGAACCTCCTGGCCACCTTCCCAAATGGCGCGGCCGCTTCCATCGGGCAAGCGCTCTGCAAAGCCGTGGAACCGCACCTCGTAGCTAACATCAATGCGAGGGAGCTCCCATGGGTTAGAGTTTTCCAGCCAGGGATCCGGCGCTTCCAGCTGCTGTCCGTCGGGAGAGATGAGCTGCTGGAAGATGCCATACCTGTAGCGCAGGCCGTAACCCCACACAGGAAGCTCCTGGGATGCGGAAGAGTCAAGGTAGCATGCTGCAAGACGTCCGAGGCCACCGTTACCAAGGCCGGCGTCACGCTCCTGGGCTAGGAGATCTTCCATGTTGAAGCCAAGCTTGTCGACCCCCTGCGTGTATTGCTGCTTGAGGCCTAAATTGAGGAGGGCATTGTCGAGCGCACGACCCATGAGAAATTCGAGAGATAAGTAATATGCCCGCTTCCCTGCGGTGCGAGAATAATGCAGTTGTGTGTCATTCCAGTTGATCTGTGCATCGACGATGAGTTAGATGGGTAAAACGATATGAGATAAGGGGACATACGATCAGATTATCGCGGACGGAGAGAGCTGCAGCCTGGTAAGCTCCAAAATTGTCGATCTCGTGTGGTTGGCGAGCCAGAGACGTTTGGACATGGTTGACGATCGACTTGGTGATGGATGGTACGCCTGTAGAGGTGATTGAGCTATACACGAATTGGTTATTCTGATTAGCTACCTGTGTCGAGGCCTCTCAATCCATCCTTCCAGACTTTCTCTTCGCCTCTGGGCCACTTTTCCTTGCCTTCTGAATCTTTTTCTGGTAGATATCCTGTTTGAGATGTATCACGTATCTCATCGAGGAAACATCTGACGAATTGGGCATACCGGTAAGCGTCCTGACATGTCTGCGGCGACGTGGAACCTTTCCAATGGCAGTAGTATCAAGCACAGATGTCATGTCTAGTCCCAACGATGCTGGAGATCGTGGTTGATAGGGAAGAGACAAACGCTTTGAGTGGAGTATAGACTCCAGAATGGAAGGGCGTCGTCATATCAAATCGACTGAAAAGAGGGGCAATCTGGATGGATCTGGACCAGACGGAAAACATTTTCACATTGGACTTGTTTGTAGGCCCATCTAACGTCACAAGCGATGGTCTAGATCGGCCGTGTTGAACAGCTCACCTATGTTGATATTCCGTCCCAATCCGAGTCTGCTATCAGGTCGGTACTAGAAGTCGTCTTTCACCCATCCACAGAGGGACTTGGGAGTATTTTAACATATTTTCAGAAAATCAGAATATCTAATGAAATTTTCGCGGGAGGTTTTCCCTGATGTAGGGTCTACGTAGGACGGCAATCAAGACTCTGTTAAAAAAGAAAACAGCAGCGAAAGACGTAGGAAATACAGTATGATGGCCATGGGAAACTAGAGCAGAGGATAGACAATGCCAATGGACAATAAGAACTACGAAGATCTTCCCTGAGGTTCGTTGTGTGTACTCAAGAGATGCAGAGCCGGCGCAGGGCAAAAAATGAGTTACGGCCTGTGTGAGTGATATCACGTCGCGATGTCATTCCAGGAGCAAGTACCGTGGTGACTGCGCCTCTAAGGGTGACTGTCTGCGTTCTGAATAGGTATGCAGCAAACCCAGCCCACGAAGCGAACGCGCCATCCAGCACTAGTGATATGCGGATGTGAAATTGTTTCCCCTGCCCCAGTAGTACCAGGGACGGCAGAAAGTGCCGAGGTAGTAGTTGAAGGTGGTAGCTGTGATGATGGTGATGCACTTTGTGCTGGTCCGCTAAGATTTTGCGCAGTACAAGCATTGGAAGGTCGAGATGAGCTTGGAGCTGACTTCTTCTTTCTTGCGTGATAGTTCCTCTGCGCAAAGAGGACTCAACAACAAAGAAGAACTGTGAAAGAGAAAAACCCACAGGTTTGCCCGCTGTGTAAGGGACGTCGACCTCTCGCAACTGAACGTCCGATCCATCTCGTCTACGTAGTATACCAGATACTCGGTTTCGATTCCAGCTGAGAGATCGGGAGCGGGGCTGGATGTCTGATTCAGTTGCCCCGTGTGGCTTGAAGAGACGCCAAAAGGTGGATAAGCGACTGAGGGTGCTTTGACTCGGTGCTAGAGTAGGCCCATGGGATTGGGATAGACCAGTGCGCAACTGCCAACGTATTTGTCAAAGAATTGAATCACGGATCGAGATCACGTACATTAGCCTCTCGCAGTGTATCATCAAAAAAACCTGGGGGTATTCGAGCAGCACCGTTCACCTTTGGAGCTGGTTGTAGTGTAGCATCAGCCTGGGAGCAGATCCATTATCAGTGTTATCGAAAATGAAATGTATATAAGCTTACAATTTTGTTGACGATAGCGGTGAGGTCCCATGTGTATATGTGACCGTCGGAGCAGCTAGTGATGAGCAACTTTCCATCTGAAGAAAAAGTCGCAGAGTTCACACAGTCCTCATGGTGAAGTAGTGTTCCGATGGGTTGATCGGTTTTGAGGTTCAACAGTTGCGCTGTTTTGTCCAAGGGTGCTCCGCTTGCGCATGCAAGGATGTGGCCGCCGTGCTCATTGGGAAATAGTGAAATGGTATTGATGAAGGTTTTGCCGCGCACATTAACTGGACGAACCGTCCATGTCGCTGTGTTGAATCTCATGGCAAATACCCCCCCGGTGATAAGCGTTTTTCCATCCGAGGTCCATGCCAGCCACCAGATCATTCCGGATCCAGCGTCGAGTATTTTGAGCAATTCGCCAGTGTTGGCATCCCAGATTTTCAGTACTGTGTACCCACCTGTGGCAATCATATTGGCCTCAGGTGAGTAGCAAACCGCATTCATGCCTTCCATTGCCTTGATTGGTCCGAGGATAGTTTTTCCACTCTCAACGTCCCATACTCTGAATGTCTCATCATGGGACCCGCTCACCACTCGTCCTCCGCCTGAACTCCAGCACACAGAACACACTCTTTTTGTATGCCCCATCAATTTTTTGATGACCTTGCCCGTGTCGACGTTCCGCAATCTCACTGTGCCATCGACACTCCCAGTTGCTACTGTCTTGCCGTCCGGCGACAATGCTATGGCGTGCACTCCTTTTCGTTTGTCCTCCCATTCCTCCCCAAATTGTGTGCCACTCTCCAAATCCCAGGCTCGAAATGACCCATCCAATGAATAAGTGATACTCCGCTGTCTATCGGGTAGGTGTATGATGTAGCGGATGTCGTTCTTTACATCGATCTTTCGGCAAGGCGTTATCTCTAAATTCTCGTGCTTCGTAGAGGCTGGATGCCCCGTCATTAATTGGATTTCGGGATTCACTTGATGCGTGCATAATAATTTCAGCTCTTGCCTTCAATCACCGTACGAATCTACTAATCACTTACTGAGAATGCAGATGTACTTGACTTGTACACAGAAAGATGAATGCGGAAACGAAAGTTGCTACGGAGCAGGCGTTTTATTCAATGGATATTCAGGTCAAGAGGGCGATCGTTGAAGTCTTCTGCAGGTGCGTTTTCCTCACTACATCCTCGTGTTTGCTCCACATCTTCAACGCAGGCTGTGCAATTTAAGCGCCCAATCACAATATGCCCCGGCATCACGGTCCTGCTGCCCTGCAAACCTGCGTGTGCTCAGCGCCTTGCGTGATCTTTCTATTATCCTTCTATCATCCTCGTCTACCTACTAACTAAATTGCAATCTGACCATAGTGACGATACAATTTTCGTAGATCAGACCATTCACCCTGCTCAGTACGTTGTCTGCGCTCGTGTCTTTGATACTCGAAGTTGCATTGCCGGTGCACAAACGCTCTTTGCCTTTCAGCAGAATTCTCAAAAGTAGATATGTGATAGTCGGAGCAGCTGGTGACGAAGAATTTCCAATCTGCAGAAAAGGCCGGATGGTTCACGTAGTCTTTATGGTGAAGCCATGTTTTGATGGATCGACTGGTTTCGAGGTCCCGTATAGTTTCGCTGTCTGGCCCGTATATAATGCTGATATCAAAGTACCCGAGATTTTCAAACAAGTCGGCCGCATCTCGTTTGATGGTTCAAGCCAAGGGCGGACCGTCTGGCCATGTTCTACATGCCCAGCGGGGTGGCACAACTTGGGATGACTCCAGACTTGCGAAGTTGTAAATAACATATTTTGAATTCAATAGAACCTAAAAACCAATGTCCCTAGAGCGAAATGGTGCACGGTGGAGGACATCACTGATCAATGACAATCTCGAGTGCCCGGAACAAGTCACGAACAGCTCAACATCATCACTACTACTGGATATGCAAACATTGCGGAGACACTGATAACTCATCAGGTGCTCAAATCCAGGGTTGTGACAACAACCTACCGAACCATTTTATCAAGCCTGATGACCTGCAGGCTTACAATTAGTCAGTAGCTCTATCTGCTAGTCGCCAAGCGGATGGCCTTTCTTGATGGGAAAACCTTCTAATCAATTCCGAAAGTTACTCACTCAAAGCCTTTGCTGTGACGATTCTCTCAATTGTAGGGTATGCAGGCAAAGGAGAGCGCACATTTCCTAATCTCGGCACAACGCAATCTATGCAACGGTGTAATCTCTCAGTTGAGATATTCGAGACAATTGGTAAAATTCTTGCAAACTTTCGATACCAAACAGTCATATAAGCCGCAGAAGCTGGGATTCGGGAAGTCCACCTGCCATCGACATGCACAAGTTCTTCGTCGCCCCATAGCTAAATCACACTGCCTGCTATCCTGGTCACACCTTGCTGGCCTCCATCCATACTATGCAATGCCGACAGAAGAGTCAATGGTCATGATGGATGAGCTATAGATGAGACAGCAAAATACGCATGAGACACAAGTCACTTCACTGATAGTCTGCATTCTGGATAGGCATGCAACATATCCACCCCACGAAACGAGCGCGCCATCCAGCACCGGTAATATAAGTATGCGAGGGTGTTCCCGATGCCCCAGCAGTGCCAGCGACGGCAGAAACCGTCGAGGCAGTGGTAGTTGGAGGTAGCTGTGATGATGATGCGTTAGGTTTTTGCGTGGTATGGATTCTAGGAGGTCGAGACGAGCTGGCAGTCGGCTTCTTTCTAGCGTGATAATTTCTCTGCGTGAAAACGAGTCAGTGATAAAGGAAAATCATAGAACAGAAAAAAACGCACAGGCTTTCCCGCTGTGCAAGGGACCTCGACCTCTCGCAGCTCTATGTCTGATCCATCTCGTCTGCGTGGTATACAGGATACCAGGTTCCGAGTCCAGCTGAGAGGGTGGGGCTGAGGTCGAGTATGACACCCAGGTTTTCCGTGTGACTTTGAGCGACGCCAGAATGAATGAAAGCGACTGAGGGTGTGTTGGCATTGTACAGGAATGGGGCTATCATGTGGCCCATGGGATTGGGATAGACGAATGCGCAACTGAGAACATATGAGTCAAAACATTGGATGATAGATGGAGATCACGTACATTAGCCTCTCGCAGTGCATCGTCAAAAAACCCTGGAGGTATTCGAGGAGCACCTTTCATCTTTGGAGCTGGTCGCGGTGTGGCATCGACCTGAGGAAGCCGTTGTCAGCGTCATTTAGAATGAAATGTATGTAAGATTACAGTATCTGCAAGGCCAGCTTCTTTGACAATAGCAGAAAGATCCCAGAGATATATCTGACCGTCCTAGCAGCTAGTGAAGAGGAACTTTCCATCTGCAGAAAATGACCCAGAATACACCCTGTGCTCATGGTGAAGTGGTGTTCCGATGGGTTGATTGGTTTCGACATTCCATAGTTGCACTTTCCTGGTGGCGTATGATGTGGTTGCAAAGAAACGCCCATCGGGAGATATGAAAATACGACGGATGAAGGAATCGACCACGGTTTCGCGCACGTCAAGAACAGTCCAAGTGACTGTGTTGAATTTCATAATCTGGAATCCTGTTACAACCAGAGTCCAAGCGGTAAGTGTTTTTCCATTCGAGGACCATGCCAGGCACCCTCGAATATCAATGTTTTGAGCAATTTGCCTGTGTTGCCATCCCAGATCTTCAGCCAATCCCCCGCTGTGGCAATCATCTTTCCATCTGGCGAGTAGCAAACCGTGCGCAGGAATCCTCCTGTCTCGATTGGCCCAACGATAGTTTCTCCACTCCTTGCATCCCACATTCTGAATGTCCCATTCTCGGATTGGCCCCGCACTTGCCCTCCATCTGGACTCCAGCACACACAAATTATCTCTGTGTACGGCTCCAGCTCCGTCAATGTTCTGGTAATGTTGCTCGTGTCGATGCTCCACAACGTCACTGCGCCATCCCAACTCGTGCTTGCTAATGTCTTGCCGTCCGGCGATAATGCTATGGAATGAAATTTGTCCTCCCATTCCTTGACCTGTATGCCCGTCTCCAAGTCCCAGACTCGAAGTGACCCACCCAATGAACGGGTGATGATCCGCTGTCCACCGGGCAAGTACTGAACGTCGTCGACGATGTCACCATTGTGCTCTACTTTGATCTTTCGGTAAAGCATTGTCCCCGAATTCTCGTGCTTTGCAGGAGCTGGATGTGACATGATTTTGGTCTCGGGATTCACTTGATGGATGCGTCATAATTTCAGCTGTTACCATCAAATACCATACCAATCAATCACTTACTCTGAATCCAGATGTACTTGACTTACTATGCACAGAAAGATGAATACGGAACGAAAGTTGCGGTGGTGTGAGTGTTTCGCTCGATGGGAGGTCGTTTTCTACTGGCGCGTTTGCCTCGTTTTATCCTCGCGCTACAGCATCAACGCTGGCTGTGCAGATTAAGCGCCCAACGCTATAATTTCGGATCAAATACCCACTTCCTTCATCTGCATTGCCCTCGACATCGCGACCATACTGTCGCATCCTTGTGTTTCTCCACAGATCCAATGCGCATGGTTCTGCAGTCTCCGCACCTATTCTTGCGCCACATTTCCGTTGAGAACACATTGTGTTTTTCTCACTGACCTTTGTTCTCATGTCCAACCTGAGTTTTCACCTTCGTTGCCATACTAGTGACTACCGGCTAATCCGCAATCTGGCCATCCTGGTCGCAATTTCCTACTCTTCCAGATCTACCTCTACGTACTCGGATCTGTGCAGTAGCAAACAAACACAATGAATAGTCTTCCTCCATCATCGCGAAGACCATATCCACTAGTCAGGCATCTATTGCCTTGTCTGCTGGGATGTTTTCATTGTGCGTTTTGTACAGAATACCTCAAGAGAGACAACGTGCAACATGAAAGAGGTGATGGAATATGGCGGTATATGCCGACGAAAGTAGGGAAACCACCTTTGACACTCGACGGAACCTCCTATGGATATCTGAGTCTGTGAGGTCTGCGCAGACTTGACACTGGCTGATCATTTCTTTTTATCAGAGTCGAAGTACTGTTCGACATCACACGATGGAACTTCGAAGCCGCTCGATGCGCGTCGATATCTCTACATCCACAGGGATTTTGGCCCTGGAAATGTCATCGGATGGTAGCATGCCCCCCCAGCAGGTCAACATTCGCGATAAGAGTAGAACCTTGCCTTTTATGTAGTATTATGTCCATGACTGGAGCATACGCCAATATGGAGAACCCCACATTAGCTAGAGTCTTTTAACAGAGTCGTGTTCTACCCCTGCCCCATTGTGGCCATTTTTTGTGCATATCGTCGTCCCAATGTACACTAGGTCAAAGCTGGATTTGGCTTTCCTAATGAAACTACAACGCACGATTTGACAGGCGATCGCAATTTCATGGAGCATAGTCAGTAAGCAACCTTTACAACTTGAGGCTAGACAGAAACTCATCGAAAGCGATCGATCACTCATCAACAACTTGAAGGTTCAAGTCCTTGGTTCTCAGACGTAACTGCCCTCAATGCTGATCGACTTATCGAGGCTTCAGCTGTAGATTTCGACCAAAGTTCGTGTTCAATAACAAGTACGATGCAAGTCCATCATACAACGTCAATATCTGAGAGTATACACTAAGCAACACGATGAGATACAATAGCTGCGTCCAGCGTGCGATAAGAGTTATGCAATAAACATATAGAGCATACGCCAAGCGATAACGAGGAGAGGAAACACACTAAAGAGGGAACATTCGATGCAAAAGGAGTGTCGATGATATGAAGTGATTTGGCCAAATATACATATACGAGCGGAAGAAACGAGTGTTGTGATCACAGAGAAAGCAAAAGTTCGTGAAGAACCGGAGAAATTACTAGATGACGACAACAGCAAGTCAGCAGCAGTAGCGATAGATAAAGGCAAAGAAGGACGCACAGTTGTATGCTGGACTATGTCGCATTACGGGCAGGAACAATATATCCATAGACCAGTTTCTTCGGGTCTTGAAGACTAAACTCGCGACGTCCCTTCTTAGCACGGGCCCTGCTATCAAGGAGCGGTCTGCATGTCACTTGATGCCGATCCAAAGAATCGGACCTGGACCACCGCTTGCCGCAATAGGGGCATTCGTAGGACGTAGTGTAGTGGATGCCCTCGATGTGACGGCCCAAATTGAGCATTGCCTTTGGTTTCGAGCAACCCTCGAATTTGCAGAGAGTCGTGCCTTTGGATTCGACACCGTGCCAATGCAACAGGTGATCTGCGACGAGGACTTTGTTCATTTCTACAAATAGCCCGCAGGGCTGGTCCGTCCATTCGCATGCTCGAACGCAAGTCATCCCTGCAGGTAGTTCATTCGTAATCTTGACGGACCGCTTGGAGTAGGAATCATCGAGTTCCATCGCCCCAAATCTCCTCGTTCGAAGAAGATTACCTTGGGCATCGTGGGTCCTGCGACTGCTGATGTCTACCGGCTTCGGGTCGTGAACAGGCACAGCCATGACTACGGCAGTGGCGTCCGCTAGTCTGTAAAGACCAAACTTTCCTTCTCTCACTTCGTCTTCGTCGTCGTCCAAGCATCTGCGCTTGCGCGTGGTTGGTGCAGGAGACGAACTCGAACTGTCTTCCTCGTATGTAACAGTATGACGAGTTTTACGCTTGGGACGTTTGGCGCACGTCTGCCCAATGGGAGCTGAGGAAGATGGCTCCAAGATGCTGTCATCAATCGGATACATTGTCGCGTCAGAGTCAGACGCGGACGCGGACGCGGACGGCAAAATGGTTTCTGTATCCGATATCGTGTCCATGATGGCACCAGCGTGTGCGTTGCCATACGTGCGGGGATCTTCCGCTACCCAACGCTCTAGATCGACGACGGTAAGAAGGTGATTTTGAGTAAAATTAAATCCATTCGCATACGAACCGTTATTATAGCCAGACTGGGACCATGGGTGGCCCTCCAGCGATAGTTGAGGGACGAAAGTGGGTTGCTGAAAATAGTATTGGTTCTGGTCCATTGGGGGGAACTGGGGGAGACCAGCCACCGGAGCGGTGAACTGGTTCAACGTCGGAAATGACGCCTGATTGTCTCGGACGACCTGCAAAGCCGCTGAAGACCTAGAAAAAATAAATGAGAAATAGTTGGCACTCGGTTGATGACACTTACCACTGATTCGCCTTTAGGTATTCATGTTCAGCACAGGTCTGAGCCCATCTGCCAAAGGCCGTTAGTTCGGGTAGATGTTTTGAAGCAGAAACACATACTCAGCCTGCATAGCGGCTACATCGTTGGGATGAGCGAACTCTTGGACGTTTTCCGAGACCATGTTGGCATTGCCTTCGGGTTCGATTCTAGGTTCAGAACACGGAAGGATAGACTGGCTAAGAAAATCATGAGGTGAACCGCGTCATCCGACTCGAGGGTGAACACCAACCTATCCAAAAACATCTGAAAACTGTTGTAGGCACTAAATGCATCATCAGCATATGGATATACCGAGTCGACATGTGAGTAGACTTACCTAGACATATCGATGGTTTGGACAAGTAATATCAAATGGCTAAGATGAAGTGGCAAAGGAAAGAGGATGAGAGATAGAGACTCGGAAGTGAAGGAGAGAACGCCAGGTTTTAAACCTCACAAAATGTGGATAAGCGCTATACAAAGCGCGTCTGTGGACGAGCATTATGGCCCGACAACATGCCGTAAAAAGGCAAGCGCGTATGGTCACTCCACCATAGGAAACCCGTCTGTGGCGTCTATTCAACTGCTTTGAAGCACCATGCGTGCATCAATCCACAAAAACACAAACCTTTCACCACACATCGCTCATCCTTGGTCAAACCTAGACGTGTGTGGGGCGATAAAGTAAGTACTGACGCTTCCTCACTAAAGGAGATGACATTACTAGTGCATGCAACAGTACAACTCCATCAAGGTTCGAAATCGCAACAATGAGATTTTCATGAAAGGATGGTCACGGCACACTCAACTACAACCGAGAGCTTTGACAATGGTACCAGCTTGAGACAGCAGCAAGCGACCTCCAGTACAAGCGGACAGCTGAGATATTACAGCTGAATATTGCGCGGTAGAGGAACATAAGATGTGAAGGCGCGTAGCACCCCAGGCCTGAAACTTCTGACGTATGTGATGTCAGTTGCATGTTTAATCGTAAACGTGCAAAGACACTTACCTTCGCTGTTCATTGCGTTGTGACCCGGCCTAGTCCTTGCCATTGAGGTGAGAATAGGAGGGCTTGATATCATCTAAGCACTTAACGGACACCGAAATACTTTTTTCAGATCGAACCCATAGTTTGATATTAGCGTTTATGTGAAGATATTAGGAGCTAGGTGGCAATGCAACAGAGAGAACCCAGCCCGTATCATGATATGAGGGTAGCATTCTCTGGACTAGATGTCAACAGCTTCATGTCGGGTTGAAGATACTTACATCACATATTTGTTCAGCCTAAGATGGGCATATCATCACGTGCGACTTTGGTTATCACAATTCTGTCAGAGGCATGAAGCTGCACGCATAGTACAAGGTTTGTGTTGATATCAGAATTCATCGCGGTAAATCAGTTGTGCTAGACGACTGGGAGCGAAGCGTACGCGTTGTTTTGGTCTGTTGTCCAAAGGCTTCCGACAGTTTCCTTATGTGGAAGCTGCTCATCGCAAATCACTTGGTTCTCGACAAGTTCTTGACGTCGACCATGTTTCAATATTTCAATGTGCAATCTCGTGCAGGTTTCTTCAGCAGCCCAAAGGACTGGCAGCCACAGGTGAACGAGGATTATGTTTCTCCTCTTTCTCCCACTCCCGGCTCACGCGCATGAATCGTCAACTCCGGACGGCATGAACTCTCTAAGTTATTTCGAACTTCCTTGTGCTTCAGCGCTTCATCACTATTCAAGCGTAAGGTACGGGTGCTCATAATCAAAATCTCACCTTGTCGAATGTTCCGCCGTCCTCGAAGTCTGGCGCGCTCCCACATAACATCTGGAATACGCGAGGATAGACTGTCCAGAGACCGGACTCTCTCGATACCGGTTCTTCCAACCACAAGGAGACTGGCATAGATGCATGGGCGCTCGTTGCCTTCTGCTCGAGAATGAGAGGCGCACGAGAGAAATATAATGGACATTTAGCCGTGTCACCACGTTACAGGTACTAATTATTGGGCGTTTTCGGTGTCCACTTGCCTGCCATCTACGGAGAGAAGATACGGAACGTGCTCGGACGTCTCTTGCAGGAGCTCATTCAGGTGATCACTGCACCAGACTAGGTGAAACAATGATCCAACTTCAATTGTTGTCGGCCAGCCGATATTGCCTCCGTACAAAGCTCCGCCATGCTCGTCGCCAGCTCTATGCAAACACACTATCTCCCAGCTGCGACATACTGTGGCTGTGGAGTGCACTTTGAAACTGCATAGCATACCGGGCAAACATCAGTGCTTTTCGTTTCGCAAACCCCAGACTGCAACTCCCTTGCATCCCCAAATCATAATATTACCTGCTATCCTGGTCACATCTTCCTAGCCTCCACCCATACTATGCGATGACGCCAGAAGAGCCGGTGTTCATGATGAATTAATGATAGTTGAAACAACAAAATACGAATGAAACACGAAAGTCAAAAATCGCTTCGCTAATGGTGACCGTCTGTGTTCTGAATGGGCATGCAGCAAATCCAGCCCACGAAACGAACGCGCCATCCAGTACCGGTGATGTGAGGACGCGAAGGTGTTCCTGATGCCTCAGCGGTACCAGCGCTGGCGGAAAGCGTCGAGGTAGTGGCAGTGGGAGGTGGTAACTGTGATGATGATGCGTTAAACTTTTGCGTGGCATGGATTTTTGGAGGTCGAGACAAGCTAGCAGTTGGCTTCTTTCTAGCGTGATAATTTCTCTGCTCGAAAACGAGTCAGCGAAAAAGGAGAATCGTGAAAGAGAAATAACGCACAGGCTTTCCCGCTGTGCAAGGGACCTCGACCTCTCGCAGCTCGATGTCCGATCCATCTCGTCTATGTAGTATACCGGATACCAGGTTCCGGGTCCAACTGAGAGGGTGGGACCAAGGTCGAGTATGGTGCCCAGTTTCCCCGTGTGACTTTGGGCGATGCCAGAATGAGTGGAAGCGACTGAGGCTGCGTTGGCGTGGTACAGGAATGGGTGGCCCATGGGATTGGGATAGACGAATGCGCAACTGAGAACATATGAGTCAATACATTGAATGATAGATGGAGATCACGTACATTAGCCTCTCGCAGTGCATCGTCAAAAAACCCTGGAGGTATTCGAGGAGCGCCATTCATCTTTGGAGCTGGTTGCGGTGTAGCATCGACCTGAGGAAGCCATTGTCAGCGTCATTTGGAATGAAATGTATGTAAGATTACAACATCTGATACAAGGCCAGCGGTCTCTTTAAGGATGGCAGAAATATCCCATATGTAAATGTGGCGGTCACAGCCAGTGATGAGGAACTTTCCATCTGCAGAAAACGTCCCAGAGTACACCCTGTGTTCATGGTGAAGTGGTGTTCCGATGGGTTGATTGGTTTCGATATTCCATAGTTGCGCTGTTCTGTTGAGGAATGATGTGGTTGCAAAGAAGCGGCCATCGGGAGATAGGAATATGTGATTGATAACAGGATCAAGTTTTCGGGCAAGTCAAGAACAGTCCAAGTGGCTGTGTCGAATTTCATGATCTGGAATCCTCTTGGAACCACTGGCAGGGCCAAGCTGCAGGCTGTAAGTGTTTTTCCATTCGAGGTCCATGCCAGGCAGTCAAAATAACCCTCGAATGTCTTGAGCAATTTGCCTGTGTTGGCATCCCAGATCTTCAGCCCAAGCCCCGCTGTGGCAATCATCTTGCCATTGGGTGAGTAGCAAACCGTGTACACAGATCCTCCTTGCATGATTGGTCCAAGGATAGTCTCTCCGCTCTTGACATCCCACACTCTGAATGTCTTATCTGCGGATCTGCCCAGTACTCGCCCTCCATCTGGACTCCAGCAAGCAAAAACTGTACATGTGTGCCCCGTCAATGTTTTAGTAGCCTTGCCCGTGTCGATGTTCCACAACCTCACTGCACCGTCCAAACTCCCGCTTGCCAGTGTTTTGCCGTCCGGGGACAATGCTATGGAAGAAAATTTGACCTCCCATTCCTCGACCTGTGTGCCCGTCTCCAAGTCCCAGATTCGAAATGACTCATCCCGTGAAAGGGTGATCATTCGCTGTCCCCCGGGCAGGTGTAGGATTTTCGTGATGCTGTCCTTTACTTCGATCTTTCTGTGAGACATTGTCCCCGAACTCTCGTGCTTCGCAGGAGCTGGATGCGACATTATTTTGGTTTCAGGATTCACTCAATAGGTACGTCATCATTTCAGCTCTGACCGTATGAATCCATCACTTACTCTGAATCTAGATGTACTTGACTTCTGCACAGAAAGATGAATCCGGAACGAAAGTTGCGGCGTGTTTCGCTCGATGGAGCTTCAAGTAAGAAGGGAGGTCGTTATCAAAGTCTTCTACTGGCGCGTTTGCCTCGCTTTATCCACGTGTTCGCTCTACAGCTTCAGCACTGGCTGTGCAGATTAAGCGCCCAATGCTATAATTTTGAATCAAATACCCACTTCCTTTATCTGCGTTGCCCTCGACATGACAACCATGGTATACCACCAGCCTGCATCCCTGTGTTTCTCCACAAATCCAATGCGTGCGATTCTGCAGTCTCTGCATCTATCCCCTTGGGCCACATGTCCGTTGAGAGTCCAACTGGACATATCGTGTTCTTCCACTGGCCTTTGTTTTCACGTCCAACCGGAGTTTTTCACCTTCATCGCCATACTATTACTGGCTACTTCACAATCTAGCAATCCTTGCAATCTCCAATTCTTCCAGATCTACCTCTACGTACTCGCATCTGTGCAATGCCAAACAAAGACGATGAACAGTCTTCCTCAATCACCGCCTTACCCACTAATCAAACATCTATCGGCTTGTCTTGGGATGTTGTCGTCGTACTTTTTGCAAGGAGTTTCTCAAGAGAGACTGGCAACAAACACGGTCTGTGCAATTCAGTCCCATATTTGATTCACATTCACTGCACCGGCAGCAGCACACAGTCGTCAACACGAGAACTGACTACCAACTATATACCGAGCTGTAGTCAATGTACCACGAAGGATGCCACATAGGAATGTCCAAAATATGCCAAATATGCCATATTTAGTACTTACTATTGACCGTCTGAGTGTTGAAAAGAGACGCAGCCAATCCAGAGTAAGAACCGAGTCCAGTATCTGGCCTGAGTTATGTCAACATCAGGATGTGACAACGTGGCAATCGCCATCTCAGTAGTGATTCCCTCGTCATGGTAAGTGGTTGCGCCAGTGATGATCTCCTGTGATGGTCCGGTGGCCATAACACAAGTATCGGGAGGTCATGAGGAGCCGGCAGTTATCTTCTTTCTTGCGTGGTAGTCCCTCTGTAAAAATGAAGTTAGGAAATGAGAAGGCGGAAAAGTACAGGCTGGCACCCTGGCATGGGACATCGACTATTAGTGGCTCTCGCAACCAATGTCATCTGCGTAGCATGTCAGACACCAGATTGCGAGTCCAATGAGAAGGTGGTGTAAGTGGCTTGGAGCGGCGGCAGCGCAAAAAGGTAGGTAGGCGACCAAAGAGAGTGCGTTGATTGCGTGACGTAGAAGACTGACAACATATCGGTCAAATGCACTGTTTCATGAAAGACGGTGATCGCGTGGTATCAAGGGGACGTAGTACATTTTCAAAAAACGCTTGAGGAACTTGGCAAAGTTTGAGCTTCGGCGATCTAGGGGACTTCTCTCAATCGACGTGGTGTGGTATCAGAGTAGCCAGAAGCGATGTATTTGTCAACAAACACATCTGGATTGAACACTGGTGTGTTGGCAGATGAACGAAGATCAGCATCCGAAGAGACCACCTGGGAGGATGAACGAGCTCGTTTTAAGCGTAATACCATCGAAGATGAAGCTTACAATATCTGACAAAAGGCCAGCTCCTTTGACGATAGTGGAAATGTCGTGTAATACTAGGCGGTGGCTGCGGCAGCTAGTGACGGGGAACTTTCCCATCTGCTGAAAAGCTTTTCTGTCAGCTTCATGGTGAAGTGATGGGTTGATTGATGGTTTCCAAGTTCCATAGTTGTTGCTTGCGAACGTGGCTGTGTCCAAACTTTGTCAAATTGCAAATCCGAGGTCCATGCCAGGCACCACAAATCGAGCTAGTAGTAAACCCTCGGAACCATACCTCCTTCGTCTGATCACATTACTGGCACCCGCCTCGAACTTGAAGCACTCCATCCTTATCCACCAACTCACCATCGTCTTATCTGTGATGACAAGACCATGGCATCACCTTTATCCAAAATTCCAGGATCGGTAACTAACTTAATATCTGAGATATCACCAGTCTTCTTAGTGGTGCGCCCTGGTACGGTGTCCCTCCCGGATTGGATAAGAACCCGTCACAGGTGGACTACCAAGAATGTGAACCTACGTAAATTTCTACCATTCACCTACCTCTTGCAGTCCTGCAGCTGGCTAAATAGCATCCGGTTTCATCTCGGGCCAGTTGACTCCTTTAGGTGAATACCATGAACGGTTTGATTTCAATTTTACCAGTATGTCCAGAACACGACTGGACGCCCTCTTCTGTCGAGTTTAAAAAAAACAGCACCAACAATCAAGTCGCCAACAACCTGTTCTCTACAAGTGAAGTAAACTCATCATGCTTATCCGCCTTTCTACTGCTTTCATTGTGCTCCTTGGCCTGACGACCATTGTCAGCGCTGGGCCGGTAAGCCTCTCCTCGCGTCAAATCTCATCATAGTATTGATATACGACGTCCGCAGCTGCCTCGTCACGGTGTTAAGCCTGATGACACTGACAAGGCGCCGCCGGTAAGCCTCTCCTCGCGTGAAATCTGATCATATTGTCATACGACGTCCGTAGATTCTTCGTCACAGTGTTGAGCCCGATGACACTCAGAAAATGACGCCCGTAAGCCTCTCCTTGGGTTAAAATTGTACACGGGGCAACTGCTGTGCTCGTCACAATGTTGAGCCCGATGACACTGAGAAAACGACGCCCGTAAGCCTCTCCTCGCATCAAAATTATGCACGGGGCAACTGCTAGTATGTACTGGGATCGGGCCTTTAGGCAGAACCAGCTACAATGAATATTGAATATAAGTAGTGCTGGCAAATATACGAGACAATTCTAGATGTCAGGCGCAATGCCGATTGTGTGTTTGAATCTGCGTGTCTATCGAACTTGTGTGAAGTCCAACACTGGGGACAAGTACTTGCAGGTATAAAAAAGCCAACGCTCAAACGCTACAGACATGATCGTCGAGCACAGGCGGAATAGACTGAAACTCACCCTGTCCGACATCTGAATCGTGGTAATTACTATTAGTACTAGAAGACAAGTGACAGCCAATCCAGATTGTATGATCGCATGAATCACTTTCCTGTCTGAGCCAAAAGGACCCGCTAACACTAAACAAAGCATCTATCACTGCCCACGCTAAGTTAGATACCAAACAGGTGACTTTAAGATACCCATGCTAATTTATCTTAGCTCTGGGATAGTTGGCCTGATGGAAGTTGTGCTCGCCTGTTTTCTTGGGAGGAAGCCTATCAGACAGATTTCTTAATGAATCGGAGCACATTCGAATTCATGGCTTTTTTGGAGGACAAGCAGGAGGTTCCGGTAACTAGCAGTGCCAAGTGTAGTTGACACATCGGGGTGAACGATATTTAAAAGAGGTTTATATGTTGTACAAAATGTGAAGACAATATTTAATATTTAAACTGACATAAAGATGGGTGCACGACTTCAAATTTTGGTGGTGTTTTGTGTGTCATCCAAAATATCAAATATTCACAAGCATATTCCCACAGACAATATGTCAACAAATATAATAAATATAATCAGATTTTCCATGTCTGCTTCAATTTAAAGTTTGATTCTTACATAAAACTTTGGAGAAAACTTGAAGTTTTGCCAAAGCTTGACATTTAAATCGAGTTTTAATGTCATGTCATCTGTAAAACTTCAAGTTTTCTCCAAAGTTTTACATGGAAATTGAACTTTAAGTTGAAGCAGACATGAAAAATCTGACTATATTTCTTATGTTTGTTGACATATTGTCTGTGGGAATATGGTTGTGAATATTTGATATTTTGGATTACACACAAAACACCACCAAAATTTGAAGTCGTGCACCCATCTTTATGTTAGTTTAAATATTAAATATTGTCTTCACATTTTGTACAACATATAAACCTCTTTTAAATATCGTTCACCCCGATGTGTGATGCGCACTCAAGCTCAAGTCTCACCGTGGCAATGGCAGCTAGTGGTCGCGGCAGTTGCCGTAGCAGTCCCAGCAGCAGTTCGCAGCAGGCGTAGTATTTTTACGATGCCGTTGCTGATTGGTCTCTGTTCAAGCTACGTCGGTAATAGATAGCTAAAGATATAAGTACTACTGCTCCATAGTTTGGATGTCTTCATCAACTCCACATTGACAGTATGACGATATCTACACTTACTCTCAACGACGGCAGTCAAGTTCCCTGGATCGCCTTTGGCACCGGCACAGCGCTTCGCGATCAAGATGTACGGAACCCTGTAGAAAGCGCCATCGCCAACGGTTTCACGCACCTGGACGGTGCCCAGATGTACAATAATGAAGAGAGCTTGGGCATGGCAATCAGGGCCTGCGGAACCCCGAGATCTGCGCTCTTCATTACTACTAAACTCAATGGACTGCAGCCTGACCAGACTGCCAAAACCGCACTGCAGGTGTCGTTGAAGAAATTAGGTTTAGAGTACGTGGATCTATACCTTGTGCACGCGCCCGGACATCATGCAGGCCGACTGAAGGAGGTGTGGAAGATGATGGAGAAGTGTAAGAGGGAAGGACTGGCAAAGTCCATTGGGGTGTCGAATTTCGATGTTGCGCATTTGCAAGAGATCTTGGAGGGCGCTGAGTTTCCGCCTTCGGTCAACCAGGTGAGTTAAATCACCTCAGTGTCAGTATCAGTCTTGAAAAACTCCCCTGATAGGTAGAGCTCCACCCGTATGTGTGGAAATCTTTACAGCCTGTGATAGCTTTGCATAAAGAGCATGGCATCGTCACGTCCTCTTATGGTGGCCTGTCGCCCCTCTTCCGCGTACCCGGGGGACCCCTGGATCCCGTCATCGAGAAAATACGGGAACGCCTTGAGTCCACGCGAGGGCAATCTGTGTCAGTCGGTCAGGTACTGATCAAGTGGTTGCAACAGAACGATATCCTGGTCGTCACGTAAGTTCCATCCGTTCTGGATATGCTACATCATTGTGGATGCTTACATATTATCGATCAGCACTTCGAGCAAGGCGGATAGGATGAGAGAGTATCTTGATACCGCCAATGTTCCAGAATTGACAGCTGAGGAGATTGAGTCGATTGAGAATGCTGGGGCGCAGCATTACTATAAATTCTTGGTATTGTCCAATTGATTAGAGGAGCAGTTATAATCAGAATAGAGGAGACTGCGAATGAGTCAGGTGTATTGAAGGATTGGCTAGCATATCCTTGCGAATTTTCACTGTGATCCCGGTTCCTGAGCGCTCCACGTACATACTCACTCGGAGTCCTCAGAATTATTAACCAGGTGGAGGTGGGACGAACCTAAAGCATCATGAGGTCAGCAAGAGGTCAGAGGAACAAGGCAGAGAAAAGCGGCAGAGTGCTATAATTAATGTTCGGTCAAGTTCGGTCTAACGTTATTCATTTACTTGAACAAAGTAGTTGTCGAACCTAATTATCTAGTTGACTCATCAACCAAACTTGCCAGCTAATCGTTTCCTGCCTTCAAATTCAAGCTAGCTATACAGGTGACATGTATTTTTCATCAAACTCGTCCATAAATTTATATGAAAGAACAGTGCGCGCGTCCGAGTCACGCTTCAGATAAAGTCCAATAACGTCCATCTCCAGTCATCTTCTATCCTCTTCAGGCAACGTGTATGAGAGTCGCTGAACAATACACAACAGATGATGAATACGACATTGATTCAAAAGCTCTTGAAACGTCTGGTCCAAGTGTTGGCGACGCTCGCAACTTCATCTGCACGGCGACTGCTCATTCTCGTGTCATGCTTTCGACACTTTGTGGCCAAGGTTCATGTTCCAATCTCGCATGATACTAACTCCAAGTTTTCCACTGTAGACCCGCGTCGTACCGTCTTGACTGGGACTTCTAGCCTTGCACAATATTCCCAGTCCATCTTGCCATTACCGCTTCACACTACTCCGTTGAGTGCAGCAAGCTCCGTGGCTTCAACACCTCCGTACACCATGCCTGTTCCAAGCGTTCCACAGCTTGCTAATTCACCACAGACTCATACGCCTTTGCCTCCAGCAGTCGGTAATGCAATCTCTCCCAATAGCCTCCCCATCACTCTCCATTTTCTGCCATCTGCTGTAGATCATAAATCACGTTACGAGAATCGTCCTCCTGTGTACGTGGATGCAATCAATCACAGTGAATGACCTTAAGAAGTTGCCATCCAGAGATACATCTGACTCCATCGGAATTCCAGCATTCATGAGGTCCTTCCCTAACCAGTGAGTACACCAGCCAGGCATTTATAGGAAAGCGGATTACGGATACTACAGATCATGTCCTTGGTTGAATGGTGAATGGCAGCCGTGTATACATCCAGAAGGCGCGCTGTATCTGTACAATGGCCGCAAAGTAAGTAAGTCCGTATCTGTCATCGACCATCGATCACAATCCCTATAGAGAACTTTCACTGAAGGACACATTAATGAATATCTGTTCCACTTGATGGACCGATGTGCGGATGAGCTATACGACTTGGCACGCACACAATCACCAAACTTTGACGCTGGTGATATCGAGCTCGTGGTGCAAGTAGTGCCGAATCAGACAGATTCGTGTCAGTACTACTTTGTCGATCATGAAACCCGAACTCTCTTTTGGCTACACGTTTACGACCAAGCGACAGCGACAGAGGCTGTCTTTGATGGTTTCCAAGGCGTATCTGATCCGAGTCACATTCGTACGTTATGCAAACTTATGGCGCTCGTGATGTGAACTAGCCAACAGGATATGCCTTGGAGTCTCAATACTGGTTTGTCACTTGTAATCGTGAGTCTCACCCACTTCTAGCTTATTCTATTCGGACCGATTCCAACTTGATTGTCCATGTGTTTTTCAGATACAATGCGACCATCTTTGACTGAAACGAGTAGGATGCATTGCGAACGCTACCCGAAACACGAGCTGAATCGAGTCAAGCTCCTGAAAGAACTGAGGGAGGTTGTTGTCCATGCGAGTGCAGGTAATCGATCTCTTGTAATCATCTCTTTCCGCTTTCTGAATTCAAATTCAGAGATCATCACTTCGGATGCTTCTTTGTCGCCCTTTGGTGCGGACGAGCTTTCCAAAATCCTGGAGCTGGTAAACCATCTTCAAGGTGCAACAAGTCTTGTTGGAACCGTTTACATTGTAAAGTCTAAAATATTACATATTTCCAGAGAATGTTCAGGAAACCGATTTCCCTCATTCCGCCTGTGTCATTGGTACGTGAGGTTATATACACGGTGCAACATACCCCTGAGATTTACTGTCTCAACAATAGCGAGATTTATGCATTACTTCTGTGTGTTTTCAATCTTGACATTTCGACGCGCAGCTCATTTATCTTGAAGGCAAAGCCAAATATTACAACTTCTGCGGTCTACCTTGCGCTCGTCTCGATGCCGACAAATCTGTGTACGACGAGATTACTAGCTTTCATCCACTGATCAGTAGTCTTTCTTTGGCCCTTGACGCCATACTTTTTTGGGCACCACAAGCACATTTGAATGATCTTCGAAGGGTGTGGGTAGATAGGTGCATTAACTCACCGCGGTGGAAAGATTACAATGCAAAGCTTATGGCAGAGTGGACCGGAATCACCATCTACGTGCGTATCATCAACTTAACATCGCACCTCATGATTGTATCCTGGGTTTTTTCCACCAGTCCACCGTCATGTTAGCCGTAGATTTGAGTTTTCTTGCAGTGCCGAATGTGAACATTTCCACATCAGAGTCGGTCGGGATCATCACTATATATCTCTCGATCATCTCGATCACCGGCTCCTTGGTCGTCTCAGTCCTGCTGGTCCGTCAAAACCAAAGATATGGTTGTGAATCAGCGGACAAAGCAGTGAGTCGTCGCCTTGGCGCGTATTTATCTCGTGCTAACCAGTCTGCACAGGGAGACTTCCTGTACAGTATGACTGACACGTTTTTTGGGGATAAAGGCCTTGCGACGATCAACAGTCTCCCTTACGCGATGCTCATGTGGGGGTAAGTGGGATCGATATTCTCTGACTAAAGCTAATGACAATACTGTTTCCCCTTACTAGGATGATTTACTTCTCAATCGCCCTGCTGTATAACGTGTTCAAGTCTACGACAACGGCCATGTTGGCATCAGTCATCAGTGTATGCGTGGTTGTTACCATGTTTATATTGTGGTTCATCTGGGCAGCGAGAGAGCTACATATCTTCAAGCGACTGATTGAGCTCATTTTATCTACTCGGAGGCGCGTCTTAGCACACATTGGGGTTCCTTGAACTTAGTATGAGACAAGACAACTTTAATTTTTTTGTACATAACAATCCAACTCATCCGATACCCCCCAATAGCCCACGGATTATTATACGCTGATGTAGCCAAGAAATACTGTATAATGATAAAAGTCATGGAGAACGAAAAAAAATGTAGATGAGATAAAAATCGTAAACGCGAAGAACGCGGGAGCCAAGACGTTACTCTGAAATTTGGTTGTTTGTGTACTGGAAAGGCCTGCAACAAACTTCGAGCATGCCTGTTTTATGGTAGTGAATTCATGCTCGTAGCATAAAGTATCTAGGAATCGCCTCGTGAAGGTCTTGAACGAACCCGCTGATTCGCAGACGAAAGTTCACATCACAACGGCTGTGATGTAAACTCAAGCCTGGACAGCCGTTCGCAACAAAAAGGTGCAAGTTACGAAGAAGCCACACTCCATACGGAGAGGAAGCATCCGGCTTCAACGATGAGCTGAGCCACGTCCGAGATGCGTTCTCGCAACCAGCACAAATAGCTGTGGTGTGTCCGCCTGGCCGCTCGTCTGTACCAGTCAAGATTGCGTATAGATGATCTTGAAGGTGTTCGCGTCCGACTATGAAGCACCGGAGGTCGGATGGGGACAATTGGAGGTGACTTTGACCGCCCTCGGATAGATGGCTCCAACGGAGGATAGAAAGCGCATAAAATGAGGCAGGAAGGATCTCAGGAACATTACATTCTCGTGCGAGGCATATGGCCTCTAGGACACATTTTAGACCGATCTACGGGAGAGAAGGGAAGCTCACCAGCAGCATGAGGGAATGCGGCATAGGTCATTTTGGTGAGGTCTTGGGGCCAGCGCAGAAATAGCTGACGCATGCTCCATTGACGGAGGTCTGGAATATCATATTTGTTGGATAATCGTAGGGCCCCGGCTATGGTATCAAAGACAACGGTTTGGTTATTGAACTTCCTAGAGATGTGGTCGTATACAATGATAGTTCGATGGATGAGGAGACGGCTTACTCGCGTTGGTACATCCACGTCAAGACGACTAGCCAGTCATTCGCGGAATCATGCGATAAACTAACCAGAGGACATCCGTGCATTCTCTCGATGTTGGCTGGCTGTGGAAGTTCGAGCATGTCCGCAAAAATTACAGAACACATGAGCTTGCTCCGGTGAATCTTCCATGATTGCCCTTCAACACCAATAACAATGTCCCCGTCGGCAAACCAAAACTGCGACTGTTCAATTAATGATTCGGATTTTCTGCAGTGGCTCGTGCGTTGTCGTTTTGCTGGAGGAGGCGATGTCTGCATATCCTCGTCAGCACTGTGCATCGTTGAAGAGGGATCAATTGGTTTGAAGTTGTAGTTAACATCGTAGTTCAAGTTATGCGTGATGCCATGACCTAATGTCGGTGGCGTGGAAATAGACGCGTCGCGTCTAATCGTGGTACCAAAATATCCTAGTAAATGAAGTGAGGTTGTTCTATATACGTCATCATTCTACGTCGCCACCAGTATCATCGCCTGCAATTTCAAGCTTCCGTTTACGCCCAGGCAGTTCAGCGCCATCACCATACCCCACGCCTGCCTTCTTCCGTAGCACCTCTATATCCTGTTCAGCCTCTTCCGCCCACTGAAGTACAAGATGTCTCCCAAGTAAATGCGTGTGTCGTAGTGCAGCGTACGCATTCTCCGCTTCATGCCGGGCGAGGAACTCCAAGAACGCGAAACCACGCGAACGCGAGTCGAACTTCTTCGGAAGACGTACAGATTTGAGATGACCATGGGCGCTGTATAGGTCCAGGTTGAATGAGATATTAGGCACATAGACGGTAGATTGTACTGACCCAAACAGCTCTCTGATATCCTTCTTCGTAGCTTCGAATGGAACGTTTTTCACTATCATCTTCGTCGTCGTGCTCTTGGCGACTGTATTGTCCTTAGGCTCGTCTTCTGTCCCGCGCCCAGCGAACTTGACGTGCAATGAATGTCCGTCAAGTGTAAAGCCTTGCATACTCTTCATAGCCTTCTTCGCATCATCGGCCGTCTTGAACCCCACGAAGCCATACCCCATACTCAGCCGGGGGGCTTCAGTGCCAGGAACAGTAGGTCGTTTGGGATCAGGCTTGGTCTGTACTCGCGCGAACGAGAATCCAGGAAGACCTCGGAAGACTTGTATCAAGCGCTCTGGAGTGGTACTGAAAGCCAGATTCTTGACGAACAAAGTCGATCCAGCAGACAAAGCAGGCTCGTCCGCATCAGCACCGCCGCCAGCTTCCTGCTCGGCGATAGTGATCGGCTTGAATGCAGTTGTTAGCGTACGGCCGGAGTTTCCTGGCGCATCCGTAGTTTCTTGGAACATGCCCATCGGACCCTTCTCCAAGTAGACGACACTACTTCCGAGACGTCGGTAAGCTACAGCTCGAAAAGCCTTGGCAGCTTCATCTGCTTGTCCGAATTCTACCACCGCCATGGTACCTGCCGGTGGTACGATGATGCGGCTGAGTTCCCCGTGCGACTCGAACATCTCACGTATCTGTTCTGCAGTGGTACCATAGGGGATGTTCTTCACGAGTATCGTAGTATCAGATCGCGCTCGGGAAGAAAATGACGATAAGATGACCCCCTGGGACTCCAGGTACGACTTCGTCTCTTGGATAACGTGCGTCTCTGCAAGCGCAAGCTTGACCGCCGCATTATCTGACTCAGGATTCAAAATATCTGCCTTGGCAATTCCCATCCGATCGGCAATAGATGATGCCACTGCATCACTCTGCACATGCATTGCATGAGATCTCGATATATAGTGCATAACATGACAAGGGCTTGACGAACATTCATGTACAACATACTCCAATTGAAATCGCGCCCAGCCGTGGCTTTACGACGAGAACTCCTCTCGTCTTTTAACGTTTGTTTTTTTCCCTCGCCCTCTACTACTTCAAACTTGCCTTTTCGGTCAACAGCAGGAATGATGTGGAGAAGGCGACCTTGGAAGGACGCCTTGTCTAGCGCCTCGTACGCCGAGAGGGCAGACGTTGGCTCCTTGAAGGTCACGTAGGCTAAACCCTTCGGATTTTTAGACAAGGAGTCGATGAGCATATGGACCTGATAGGATAGGAATGAGTCAGCGATGTGATCGGCGACACAAATTGTAAAATGGAAATAGAAGTCAGATAATTTTTCTACTATTGGTTCCCGGGGATCAGCATATCCGTGGAGGATCAGATGTCCCTAAGTGTTTATCATCAAGAGAAGAGAAGGATGTGGAAAATATACAACAAGGCTACAAGATGCTCACCTGTACAATTTCTCCGAACGGTTGAAATAGCTCCATGATCTCGGCTTCCGTGCATGAGAAAGCAAGATTTCGAAGGAATAATCGAGACGTCTGCATAATCGTCTTCGTTGTCGAGTCCTGGTGTTCTTCAGGAATGGGGCTCTGTTTAACCTCGTGCTCGTCATCTGACTGCTCAAAGACTTTATCGGGTGGTGAATCCGACTCCAGGTTCATACGTCGTCGCATCCATTCGAGGTCCGAGACAGCCTCGTTATTATCTGGTTCATCAGATGTCGTCGTTGTTTCGGGAGGGCCGGCCGGTAGTGCTGGATGAGATTCCTTAGCTTCATTTGCCCACGACGGACCCTTTTTTGTGCGGGGTTGCATGACGTCCATGAACTCATCTAGCGCTGATGTTGAAGGGGCTGGTGCGCTCGTCTTACCATTCTTATCCGCCTTGTGAACATGTGGACGCGATGATGGCCCTGGGTCTGTATCGGTATCTTCCAGGCGCCTTCTTTTATTTGGCCGAGGAGCTGGAGCATCTTTTGCACCCTGCGAGTAAATTTTTTAGAAATAAAATACCAACACCTGGCAAGAAAAAGACTTACTGTGACAACCGTGACATTTATTCGCGTCGAGTCGATGAAAGTGCGGTCAAACCAGTCCCTTGCAGCACTTGCTTCTTGATCTGTCTTGAAGCCAACGAAACCGAATCGACGCGATGTGCCATCTTGCTTGAGTGAAATTTTCACATCTGTAATGGTTCCAGAGGGGGCACCTTGCTGTGTGAAGTGGTTTCTGAGGCGATCTGGCGTCAGGTATGCGGGTAGATTTTTCACAATCAAACGGGACATCGTTGCAAAAACTTGTGAGGACGAAAAGAAAAAGCTCGACGCCAACTTTAACTCCGACCGGAGATACCCGTCATCATTCAAGACCAAACAACCACGCCTTTCGTGAAGGACACTACCGGGCTAGGGACCCGGTAAAGTTTAGCGTGAGTTTCCCGTATAAGGCGGATATTTATACTATCGTACAGGTTGTTATATAGAGGCTGCGTCGCTCCTGCGATCCAAATTGGATCTTTCAGAAGTCAGCTTAAAGGCTACGATCGAACACAGCAGCTGACGGCGATGGAAATCAACCAGTACTGCTAAGCCGAAAAGTCAATGAAAAGAAGGGGTGCACATCGCATGTAGTTAAGAGCTAGTTCGGCAACTCGATATTTTCGATATTTTTCAATATTTGCTTTGGCATGTTTGCGAAAATGTTCACCGGCATCGTTCCGAGATGTCGGAGCTCGAACCTTGCTTCTCTCCTACTGTACATATTATCAATGGATGTATACCCTCATCTAACCCTAGAGCGGCGTAAGAGGCTTTTTGCTGGTGCGGTCGCGATCACTGCGATCTGTGCACAGTACACTACTCTTCTCATGGCCCAACCTGAAGTCAATGCTCCCCCTAAGTCCAAGGCGATTCGGAGCTTGAATTTGAGCTTATCAACAAGATCAGTGATAATGAGGGTAGGGTATATACCTTGATGGATCCCCAACCACTGGGGTTCGCGATGGAGCGCCAACGCCTAGCAGCGCTCATGACGAATCCTCGGCCAGAGGTCCGGGAACGACTCCTCAAATGCATGGTACTCGTAATCAGCATCGTTGTTGCTTCTACGCACGGCATCCTACAATCAATATATCCCAAAGATCCCGAGCCCTATCACACTTCAGCGCTAACTGGGCAAGACTGGGTGATCGAGTTGCTCACTGGTCACCCAGAGCGCATCAGGTGTGAGCTTGGCATGCGCGCCAATGCATTTGTGGAGCTTATCTCCGAGCTTCGCACCATGGGCCATTCAGACTCCAAGTTTGTGTCCCTCGAGGAACAACTTGCGATTTTTCTTTACACCTCTGTGACTGGCCTATCAATCAGGCATGTTGCGGAGAGATTTCAACGCTCGAACGAAATGATTTCACGGTGAGTTTATTTTATTTTATTTCAAGTGACAGTATCTAATAGTATGTAGTTATTTCCGCAAGATGCTTATCATCTTCACGTCGGACCCGTTCTATTCAAGATACGTGCGCTTTCCAGATGGTTCGGTCCCCCGGGTGGCGGCAGTGCTTAATGGGCCTGCAGAAGCGGGAACAGCAGCAGCGCTTGGAGCAGCAGGAACAGCAGCAGCGCTTGGAGCAGCAGGAACAGCAGCAGTGCTTGATGGGCCAGCAGCATCCGCAAGATCGTTATCAGCATTGGTGGTGGAGGGAGCAGCGCCACCTGGACGGAAGACGTGCCGCCCTCTAGCGCCGCCCAATGGGATGATGGTCTGCATTTTTTCATAATGCTCCCATCCCCTGTTGCGGAAAGGACGCATGAGGTTATTTGCCTGACAAAAGTCAGCGCTCAAATCAATATGACGAAGAGGGGACATACCTTGACATACGATGTCCATACAGCCGCAGCCGCAGTTCCTTCAATCCCAGCTCCAGTCTCATTGTCCCAGTGGACCCCTGTCTGGTTGCGGTACTTCTCGATAGCATGAAATATGTTTTTAAGCTAGATGAGACTCGTCAGCTTAGATCAGATGAGATCAAATAGGGCTTACTGATGTCCACTTGTTTCGAGTTGATTTCGCTGTCTTCAGTGGACCTGCGCGAGTGGATTGAAGCGCCTCATGATTGTTGATGAACTCTGCAGCAGAGCCAAGAACCTGCTGCTTGAAGTTGCCTGCCCCTTCAGCCTCTGAGCGATGATCATAGAGATAGTCTACAAGGGTAACAGTCTCGACATCATTCCACTGCGCTGGTGGGGCCTTGGAGTGAGGGGGAGCATTGACTTCAGGTTGGGCCATGAGAAGAGTAGTGTACTGTGCACAGATCGCAGTGATCGCGACCGCACCAGCAAAAAGCCTCTTACGCCGCTCTAGGGTTAGATGAGGGTATACATCCATTGATAATATGTACAGTAGGAGAGAAGCAAGGTTCGAGCTCCGACATCTCGGAACGATGCCGGTGAACATTTTCGCAAACATGCCAAAGCAAATATTGAAAAATATCGAAAATATCGAGTTGCCGAACTAGCTCTAAAGAAGCCGGGGTAGGACTGACGGTTGATTTTCATTGGCTGACTAGCTAACTCAGGCACTCGCACCGCATAATAATTCCGTCACGAGAACTCGGAGACTCTGGCCCGAGGATCAAGTCCATTGCCATCCCTTGAAGCGTGAGTACGGGACCGAGATATATATAACCTGTCACTCCCACCACTCACAGGTGACAGGTCATACCATCGTTCCCTGGATTCTTCCATCATGTCAGCTGTGAACATGACAAATGCTCAAATCCACCCCAAATCTGCGCATTCTACTTCTTCCCCATTGCCCGACACATTTCCACATATCAACCCAATCACAGGTCCTGCAATGGATCTTTACGAAGACGGCTACAGTGATCCAGTCTATCAGGCGAAAGCTCGCATCTTGAATCATGCAATACAAGACATCGGCATGGGTAGATATCAGGTTTGTCGCATTCCATAGTAATGAACGTCTATCTCAATCGTGTGAACTCAAAATTATAGTGGTGTCTCTTCGTGGTCACTGGCTTTGGCTGGTTTGCGTGAGTCATATTGTAACCACTTCATGCATGATTCCTGATGTGAACCTGAAAAAGTGACTCTGTCTGGCCCGTGTGTTTATCCATTTCTGCCATGTTTTCACTAGACTGAGGTTGGCTCTAGCTTTTGAGCGGGCTCATCCTTGCCCCTGTCGTCAATGAATTCCACTTCAACGGCCCTTTTCTGTCGTTAGCTTCAAATATCGGCCTTCTTGTCGGTGCCGTGTTTTGGGGTCTTGGGTGTGACATCTGGGGACGCAGGTACGTACAGAATACCGCCATATTTCGATCTCTTCACGCTTCATGCGATACTTAGGTGGTCTTTCAATGCCACATTGTTTATCGCCGGAATATTTGGCTTAGTATCGGGTGGAGCTCCTAGTTTCGTTGCACTAGCATCCTTGATCGCTATGGTCGGTGTCGGCGTGGGAGGTCTGCCCTTTTCATTTCTCTTCAAAAAGGACGTTTTATGACCATCTCACAGGCAACTTACCAGTGGATTCTGCCGTTTTTCTTGGTGATAAGCAGTTTGCATCTGGACGTGACAGATAACTCATTGTAATCCTACCAGACTTCGTCCCAGGTTCCCACCAGTACTTGCTCACTATCCTTTCCATTTGGTGGTGTCTCGGACAATTACTGTCCAGTCTCGTGCGTCTCACACGTCTTCTCGTCCGCGCGATTGCTAATCGGACTCCAAGATCGCATGGCCTCTGATCGCTAATTATTCTTGTGCGAGTGCCTCACACTGCACCAGATCCGACAATATGGGATGGCGTTACCTGTTATTCACCCTTGGCGGAATTACCCTCTCACTGTGGGCCGTTCGGTTTTTCATCTTCACGTTGTTGGAGAGCCCGCGGTTCCTCTCTGGCATCGGTCGTGACGCTGATGCCATTGAGGTCATCCACAAATTGGCGAAATTCAATGGAAAGACATCTTCCCTCACATTGGAAGAGCTTGAGGCTCCAGACAGAGCAATGCCAGGCAAACGTTCATCCTCCGGGGAAAGGCGCAACATAATCAGCAAGAATTCCAAGTACGACACCGGTCATATCAAAGCTCTCTTTGCTACTCCCAAAATGGCTTGGTCGACTAGTCTATTGATTGCCATGTGGGGTAAAGGTGTAGTCATCGTTGTGCGTGCAATGACTAATGAAACACAGGTCTCATCGGACTTGCCTCTACGTTGTATAACAATTTCCTGCCATATCTGTGAGTCCTCAAATTGGGTATATACTGTCTTTTGTCTCATGCATCGTAGACTTTCCAGCCGTGGTGCTGTCTTCGGGGATGGATCCTTGTACATTACCTATCGCAACGTACGTATGATACTTCATTCCATGTTCTATAGCTGAAGCTGCTGTACAGCAAGTCATTTTGAGTGTCATAGGTGTTCCTTCTGCCTTACTCGCAGGTTGGGCAGTAGAACTCCCATACATTGGGCGCAAGGGTACTCTTGCTATTGCCTCAGGCAAGTAAAAAGATAGTACTAGGCGCGTTCTTTACTCAACGACCTCCCGCAAAATAAAGGGCTCACCGGCGCGTTTTTGTTCGCGACCACCACCGCCCGGACATCTAACCAACTTCTGGGGTGGAATTGCGGATACGTGTTCTTCAGCAACGTAAGTGAATCAGTGTCGGACTGGGAGACTAGATTAAACGTGGTTAGATTATGTATGGCGTCTTGTATGCTATTTCTCCCGAGATTTTTCCTGCAAAAGATCGCGGTACAGGGAATGGTCTGACGTCCACAGCCTCGAGGGTGTTTGGTGTTTTGGTGCGCTCACTTGCCATCTCGCACTACTTGTTCTGATTGTGTCCTGAATCTTAGGCCCCCATTATTGCGTTATATGCCAACCTCGCGACGGCGGCACCTGTATATATCGCTGGAGCTCTGGTTATTTTTGCTGGTAACCTGGCTCTCTTGTTGCCCTATGAGCCCAGAGGTAAGGTTTCTATCTAGAATTTTTCACTTGCGATATGATGCTTCGGTTGCTCGTGGAACTAGGATATGTATTAGATGTATTAGATGATCCAAGAGATTGCTTTTGTACTTTCTCCAATGTAGCTTGCGAACCCTTAGAAAATAGTGTCTATGCAGAAAGACTGCACCTATGTGACTTGGGAGCGGAAGAAGGTTGCAGAATAAATCTTCGGCAACGCGTGAACAACAGTTATATTCTCCATCTATTCTCCATCCACATTCGGATATTGTTCATACTCTACCAGCCAAATACTCCTGACTCCGCTAACAAATTTAAGAAGAAACAGCCGAGACTTGACTTGCAAGTGTTTGATCTTTCTCCGAATTTTTAGTTGTCTCTGTATTTCTCCTCTGTTCTATGCGAAGACGATTCCGTTATATGATTCGTGATTGTGTAGTCACCTTGATTGATGCGGTGGTTGCTCAAGCAGTCACAGATCTGTGGTGAAATTCATACTGTTGTGGTTTGTGGACGCGTTATTTTATATTGTTGTACACGCGTTTCCACACATTTACGTCCCAGTTTAGAAACTCTTCCCCGCCCCGAGCATTCAAATATTCAATATTCATAGGAGGGCACGAACTGCCATTCAAGTAACTGGGCTAGAATGTGGATAAATAAATTTTCAAGATGACCCAGAGTTCCTTGTGGAATTCCACTGTTCTGGCAATGAGCACAACCACCGTGTGCTTGTTTTTTATATTTGTTTTTTTTCGGTGCCATAGTGGCCTTGCAGCACTAGCCAGCGCCCTCCCATATTTGTGGATCGTGCCACAGCATATAGTACCATATATTCAGCGTTTTCTATCCTCAACTTCATCCATCCCCTTACTGTACTTTCCATCAGTCATGAGTAACATCATGATCCCCCCTGCACTCGATAGTCGAAGAGTCACTCTTGAACTGACTACCCATCTTTGCTCCCAAGACCATCTTCTGCACGGCATCGATGAAATCATGAAATTCGAGCATTCAGAAGACGCCGAATTGCAACGCCACGGTCGAAAGGTCTTGTCTTTGCCATCAAACATCTCCTCCAGTAATCAACTGACCATCGTTTCCTGCAGATCATCTCCCTGGCTGAGGTAAATATAATCCTAATCGTCGAAAGATCTTTTGCTAACACCGTCCGAAATCCAGGTCGCCCGCAGCACCCTCAGACGTTTAAACGTAGGATTGTATCTGTTCATCGCTTGTTCAGAGGCTTTGCTGCCGTTCAAGTCTGCGTACTTTAAATTGCTTCTTTTTATCGAACGCCGGAAGCACGCCTTTGGTACTGACCTAAATGGTAAACAGCTGTCGTTGTTTTGTTTCATGCCTTCTGACCATCCGTACAGAAAGAATATCTAGGCTCTTGGATCCTCTATACACTCGGTTTGTCGTATGTGGCGCAGGTGTCGACCCCCGTGACCAGTTGGGCATCGAGGGATTACCACCCCCTCCAGACATACCGGCTGCTTGGAAAATACCCATACAGCCTGAAGTGCCTGCTACTAAGGTACCGTCAGCACAACAACAAGATGTGGCGTCCGATACCATGCTGCGTATGTGATACTTCCTCCATATCCCGGAGACATGTATTGATGGACGATTTTCAGCACCTGATGCTTTCGAGAAAAAAATGAAGAGACTCGCCCGACTTGGGGAGTTTATAAAAGACCAGGCCGCGAAGAAGTTCCTGGCCCGTCGCGCACGAAAACAACTCATGCAGAAGGCACGCCTGACTGGCAACCCGGGGGAAAAACGTCTAGTGCCTAAGCAGTATGCAACAGGCAACCCAGAGACGGGACGTCTCGTACCTCAGCAATGCGCAACGGGAAACAAGGACGCAGGACGTCTCGTGCCTAAGCAATGCGCAACGGGCAACAAGGACACAGGCCGTCACGTGCCTAATCAAAATGCAACAGGTAACCCGGAGGAAAGGCGTCTTGCACCTAAACAATACGGAATTGGCAAACCTGGGGCAAAACGTATGATACCTCCACAATACCCAGCGGGCAGGCCGAAGAAACACCGGGTTCTAGTGCCTAAGCTAGCGGGCGATGCTAAACTGGGCACCGACGTGAAGCCTGCTTGTCCTGGAAGGATGTTGACTCGAACGTATGCCCAATTCTTTGACTGACAATGTTTGGTCGGACACGTAACTGAACTGCCACCCGCATCCCTGATACCTGTCATATCACGAACATCGAATTATCTACGTACTGTATCGCATCTGGAAAGAACATCATGGTTAGAACATCATTATCACCTTCTGTATCGTGGTTGTCCATACAAGTTTCAATTGTGTAATAATATATCCGTTGTCGCATCATCTTCTCAGTAGACGAACAACTGACCATTCTCAGCGGCTGCACCACTAGGGTCCTTGGCCTGAGACCTCACAGAGGAATGTTGAAAACGAAGGTCTAAAATTCATGTGTGATTGTCAGGTCATCCTGCTGGACTCTCGACAGAAGTACAACGTGAGAGGATAGATTCCAAGACCGCAGAATCGTATCGAACCAATGGAGAAACACATGAACGTCGACTCGTGAGATAGTAGAACCATCAGACGTGATACGGAGGGGCCAGATTAACATAGATGAAGATATTGATCAGGTATGAAGAAAATTAGGCGCTTACACAGCTTGGGCACTGGCTGCGGCACTAGCCAGTGCTCAAGCTGTGCAACGAACGAATAGAGGATCCTCAGATGTAATGCTGTCAAAGGATTAAACAACAGCCTTCTTCCTAGATTGAACAAAAACCACTCCATCGCAAATTTCATCCCCATTTGTGCGAAGCATCTGCATTCCGATCAAGTAGGTGATTGATTCGTGGGGCACATGATGTTAAGAGCTGACATTAACATTTGCTCCTTAGGGAAGTCGCCGAACCAAAAATATGTCGTACCCAGCCCCTGCGGATCAAGAGGCTTCAGCGATCATACCTTACCGAAAGATTGAAACAGTTAGACTCAGATCCGAAGAAACGACGGGGGATGATAGGGTCAGACATATCCTACACCTGCCCAGGGGACAGCGAATCATCATGGTATCAGGTTCGATTCAAGTCTGGGACTTGGAGCAGGGTACACAGGTCGGGGGGGAATGGGAGGACAAAGACGTGAGAGTGCGCGCCATAGCATTGGCGCCGGGCGGTAAGACAGTAGCGACCGGGTGTGAGGACGGCGCAGTAAAATTGTGGGACGTCGATACAGGAAAGGTCATCAAAACCTGTACGGGACACACGCAAGAAGTGAAATCCGTGTGCTGGAGTCCAGACGGAAGGCGAGTGGTGAGCAGGTCATTTAAAGAGATCAGAGTTTGGGATGTCGAGAGTGGAGAAACTATCGTTGGGCCAATCGACGCGGGAGTTAACGTGTCCGCGGTTTGCTACTCGCCAGATGGAAAGATGATTACTGCGGGCGGAGTTAACCTGAAAATCTGGGATGCCAACTCGGGCAAATTGCTCAAAACACTCGAAGGTTTCTTTACGTGCCTGGCATGGACCTCGAATGGGAAAATACTTATCGCAGGGCCCAAGATCAGGAAATTCGACACAGCCACATGGACTGTTCTTCAAGTTGATGTGCGCAAAAATGTCGTCGATACCATTTCAATATCTCCCAATGAACGCATCCTCGCAAGTACAACGCACTTGGACAAGACAGTGCAATTATGGAACCTTGAAACCAATGAGCCCATCGCAACACAACTCCACCATGAAGACCCGGTAAACTGTGCAACCTTTTCTGCGGATGGGAAGCTGCTCGTCACTGGCTGCGACAGTGGCCACATATACACATGGGACGTTTCCGCTATCATTAAAGAAACTGGCCTTCCGTCAGATATTGTAAGCTTAGATGCATTCTTAATTATACTGACAATGGATCTTCTCTTGCAGGCTGATGCTACACGACTGGCCCCAAAGATCAAAGGTCAAATACCCCAAGGGTTTTTCGATGATGTACGCGATCCACATTTATCATTGAATGTTGGTGTAACCGAATGATGTGGTCACCAGTTCAAGTCTAACCCGCGCACTCATCCATCCCAATCTCATGGGGAACATGACTGCCCCACTCCAGCACCGCGTCAACGCTTCTTCAGCCGTTTTCCCTCTTTCTGGCGCCGCTCCAAGTCCCACGTGGAAACTGAACGTGAGACCCGGCCTCGATCTCACCCTCTCAGCTGGACTCGAAACATGGTCTCTGGCATACTACGCAGACGAGATGGATCAAATACAGCCGAGGTTCCATACACAGCTGCCCAGCCTGTATGCATTTCATCTTTATCGTCCGTTCTTATTATTGACTTTTTTCCCGCAGAGGAGCTATCATGCGAGAAAGAAGCCAGCTCCTGGCTCGTCTCACCCTCCCAACGCTCATACCATGCAACAACAGACTGGCGCAGCAACACAGAGCACACCATCATCGTCTCAGACACCACCTCCCACTGCCACTTCGACACTTTCCGCTGTCACTGCTGCCCCGGGGATAACAGGAACGATATCGCGTCCTGATGTCACCATCAGACAGGCCGGATGGGGGATTCGTTTTATGCTCTGGGCTACTTGCGCGTCTGTTGAGTATACAACTAATCAACCTTAGGGAAGCACTTTGCTTCGGTGTTTCATTCGCACTTGTAATAATCAGCCAATATTCCCGTGTTATTATTGTATAGTATTTATTCGTTAGTTCATCAGCATATCGTATAGTACGGGACTTATATGGACCATCAGCGTTCACATATTCAATGATGATCTTCCTCTTCACATCATATATAAAGTTGGGACAAGACGATACTTATAAAATCGAGTATTTATGTAGCGCTATAACATCGACGAGCTTATCCATACGTAAATTCTCCTTGCCCGGATGAGCTGCAGTATGAGCATTATAACCACGCACCGATGCAAGCATGAGTATTTTCTTAGACCCAAACACACCAGGGCATCGCGCGGGTTGAGATGCGACCGAGACACAGGGTCTCTAGACCAGAACGAAATGTCCTACATAGAGTGATTCTCTGAAAGGACATAAATTGGACATATATGACACTGAAAAGGTGGGCTGGCAACAAGGACGGTCTGTGTAAAGATGGAGGAGACCCTAAGTGAGATCTCGGCCGCCATAACAAAAATCTGGTGCGACCTTGAGCAACGTGCAGCGTGAGGGAACAGAGACCAAGGCATATATTGAACCGGAGAAGGATATGGACTCGCATGATAGAAAAACACCAGATGCAATGATGAAGGTCAAAAAGCCGAGCTTGAGCTTGAGCGCTTGATTTGCACAGCCCGCGTTCAAAGCTGTGAAGCAAACACAAGAATACAACATAAAGAACGCACCTGTAACTCTGACAGCGACATCCCATCTGACTAGACTGTATCTGAGATAACGTTTATTCCATCGCAGCTTTCATATAGCGCAAGTGAAGCACAGCCCGCACAGGTGAGTAAGTCGGACACTGTTTGTGCAGCTTCTGTAGCTAGGAATTAACATTATCCTCCGCATATTATGTGAAGTCTCCGAGCAGATGACATGGCTTCCCCTGCACCTGAGACGCAAAGAATTTCAATCATAAAGCCTCGCCAAAGAATAAAAGGACATACTACCCACGTTATCCACGACATCTTACACGTGCCTGGTGGACAGCGGGTCATCAGCTGTTCGTTTGATGGCTCAATTCAAATCTGGGACTTGGAGAGTGGAATGCAGGTCGGGGAAGCCTGGAGGGATGAAGAGGGTGGGGCAGTGTTTTCCATATCATTGTCGCCAGATGGTAAGAAAGTAGCAAGTGGGAGTGAGGATGATGGAGTGAGATTGTGGGACATGGACACGGGCAAGGTCGTCAAAAAATTCACAGGACATACAGATGGAGTGAAATCTGTGTGCTGGAGTCCAGATGGAGGGCGAGTGGTGAGTGGTTCTGATGATGAGACATTCAGAGTGTGGGATGTCGAGAGCAGCGACACCATGACGGTACTGATACTCGCACCAAAAATGAGAAAGGAAAAGGACGACTTTATTTGGGCGGTTTGCGATTACTCACCCGATGAAGATATGATTGCGACAGGCGGGGATAATTATGGGTTGAAAATCTGGGATTCCAACACAGGCGAATTGCTCAAAACACTCGACCGTCACGGAGGAGCATGGTGTCTGACATGGACCTCGGATGCACTTATCGCTGGCGGATACTCTATAAATCGGATCAGAAAATTCGATGTTCCCACCTGGACTGAAATTGCTGTTCTGGAACACAAACCGATTCAAAATAAATTTAATCGTGTAAATGGTATTACACTATCTCCGAATGAGAGGATCCTCGCAAGTGTATCAGAGAACAAGACAGCACAACTATGGGACTTCGCAAACAACCAGCCCATCGGACCTCCCCTCCACCATGAAGGCCGAGTGAGATGCGCGGCCTTTTCTGCAGATGGAAAGTTACTTGTGACGGGCTGCTGGCTGCCGGGAACTGGCCTGCGGAAGTCGTGCATATACACATGGGATGTTTCCGCTATCCTCAGAGAGGCTGGCCTCGAAGACCTTCTGTCAGATAACGTGAGCCTGAACATTTAATAACCAATAACACCACATTGACGACAAGTTCGCTCATGATCTTAGGATGTATGTCGCATCATGTCTCGTCAAAAATCTTGCACACTGATTCTTTCACCACAGAATACCGTCAAAAAGCCTTTATTAGATGTATGTTGTACATTTTCTAGAATGTCTTTGCTTTGAACGCCTACATCCTAGGCCGATGCTACTCAGAGACGACGCCCGCCGATCAAAGATGCTCGTCAGATACCCCGGGGATTCTTTGACGATTCCCGAGATGTATGTGATTTTCATCCATAATAATGCAGTCTCGCTTGACACAAACGTTAGTTCGACACATCACACAGGGTGGCATCGCAAGGTCGACGTGATCGCCAACCCTTGTCAGCAGCCCAATTTCTCATTGGTCGATTAACCTCCTTATGGCGCCGCCACGATTCACATGGGGAAACTGAGCGTGACTCCATCTCTCGACCCCATCCTCTCAGCTGGGCTCAAGATTTTGTCTCTGGCATGTTGCATAGACGACATGTAACAGACATCGAGTTACGAGAGACACCTGTAGTCGAGGTTCCGTGCACAAAGGGCAAGCCCGTATATTTTTCCCTTCAAGTTCTCGGTTCTTCTCCATCCCTGACTCATTTTCACTCAGAGGAACTATCACGCAAGAAAGAAGCCATCTGCCAGCTCATCTCGACCTCCCAACCCTCATACCACACAGCAATCTAGTGTACCAATTCAGAATACACCATCCTCATCGCAGGGAACACCTGCAATTACCACAGCATCCGAAGCACTTCCCGGAGTAGCCACTACCGCATTGGCAACTGAAATGACGCCGCGACGCAATATTACCGTGATCCAAGCTGGATGCTGGATTCGTTTCTTGCTTTGGGTTGGCTGTGCGTCTATTGAATATACAAACGATCAACATTAGGGTAGAAAGTACGTGGTTCTTGTGTTTTGTAGGCTTATCTAGTTCTCGACGGCCCTCCTGCGCTCTGTCATTGTACCATCTTTCCTGCTTCTTTCGATACCATTTTTTCTTCCGAAAAAGTTCCCTGTATAAGTACTGTAGTATGCTTTATGGGACATGCTTACTTTTCATTGTGTTACAGTAAGTGTATGTGTTAGGTAGAATCCAAGACTCGGTTTTTGTGTTGATATTACGAACCCGTGCCGCCTTGAGTTGTGCTCTTATTGTGGCCGGGGCTGCGCAGAATAATTATACTTCTCGCCCGACCCTATGACGACCTCAAGGTGATGCTCAAATCCATTTACGTACTATGTGGAATGTGTGCAGATTGACAAATTATATGTACAAGGTACTGCTTTGGTTTTTGTTGGGGCGTTTCAGCACTTACTCCAGCGCTCCATCTCAGGATATACAAGCCATAACATGCAGATGCGTGTGGGCTTAAATGACGGCAGGGTGCAGTTGCATCTGTTCTCCGAACGTTTTCCATGGCGACCCACAATATTTGTTTACACTCAGCTCGACAGAGCTCGGTGCGATGGTGTCAGCCTGCCTCATTCATGCTCACTCACCTCGCTCTCCGGTGTTCTGTCTATGGCAGGCCTAGGCGAGCCACAGTTGCGGTCCTTTGCAGATATAGGCTGTGGTCCACGCGCAAGCTAGCAGTGCATAATCGACTTTGATCAAACATCAAGTTACACAGACATACATAATAAATAGACATTCATAGACGTTAAACTTTAAATACCAGCAAAGTCAGTTCAGAACCTCAGCAGACGATCGCGTCTCTTAGTTCTCAGCTCTGCTGAGAAAAATGGGTCGCCTATTGATACGCTTCACGAGCTTGCCAGATATATCGTCACTTCTTGGGATCCACACGGCGGGTGATGTACTTGTACCGCATACCACCCTCCTCGTCAGGCACTTGTATGCGCCTGACTCCAAAGCCTGGCTCGGGGAACGGCAGATGCGCCGGATACTGAGCAATCATATTGGGGTGAGAATGGATAAGAGTGACGGAGAAGGACTTACATCAAGAAGTGGTCGTCCGTCGTGAATGACCTCTTTCTTGTAAGCCTCTGATTCTTCGTACGGCTTCTGCAGGGACAGCATAAATCAGCACGATATCGACAGAAAAAATGGGATACGTCAACCTTCGCAGGTTCTGGTTTCTTAGTAAAAACAGGGAGGAGCGCCTGGAGATGAAGGCTTGAATTAGCATACTATCCAAAGAGCGAAAGGGAAACTACTACTAACATTGAAGAAGCGGTCGCATTTTTCGCAAATGGGCTTGCCGTTGAACATGGCTACTTTTTGACCCTGAACAAAAAGAAACATGAATTGAGATAAATGCGGAACAGGAAAAGCATACCTCTTGAACCGCGATGACTTCAGAGCACTTGGACAGTGAGCACACTTGTTCCATGATTCGAGTCGATTGTATATAGTGAGAAGAGGAGGACTTTGATATGAGACGACGAGTAAGTGAGAATACAACATGGTGGCTTATATATAAGACAAGGACAGTGGCGGGATGTGGAGGGTAGTGGCGTAGAGGTCTGAGCACCAGTGGAAGAATAGTGGTTGTGACTTTGTGGGACAAGCGCAAAAACGAACCAAGACAATACGCCATAGCACGCAAACAATAGAACAGAGAGATGTTGCTGCATACAAGAGTATTCCAATGAAACAAATATAGAACTCCTTACAGCAAAGTACCTGAAAACGGAGAAATCTAATGCTCACCTATCGAGTGCTTGATTTGTGGCACGCGAACGTTTCCACCAGGGACAACCTCATTGTGAGAGGCGACGATCGCTGAAACATCGAGCAGTTGGTTCGTCAAGGTTGAAACCGCCATTCTTGCATAAAATACGAAAGGAGAAATATTGTGACAAGGGAAGTCACTTATCGCTACGTTGTTGCATTTGCATGTTATAAGCATCGGCAAGACCACAGCGTCAAGTGACACTGTAAAGGAAAGCATTTCAAGAGTGAAGATGCAGTTTGTGTTTGACCGGGTTTCTGGACGATGATATGTGGTTTCTACACGAAGGATGGCTAGGAGGAGGGACGGAGTGGAACACGACTCTGTCAAAGGACTCCCGTTGAGATGGAGCTGAATACTCCCCATACTGGCGTATGCTGCAACCATGGTCATGACGCCACAGCAAAGGCAATGTTCCACTATTATCGCCAATGTCGACCTGTTAAGGGAGCATGCTACCATAGGGTCAAAATTTCTGCGAACGCAGAAACATTAACCAAGGGGTTTCAAAGTTCCACTGCGTGGTGTCGAGCAGTACTTAGATTCTCAGAACGTCCAGTAATTGGCCAGTGTCGAGTCTGCACAGACCTCACAGAGACTCAGATATCTTCGGAGGTTCCGTCGAATGCCAGAGCTAAATGTCTGCCTCTACATTCATCAACATCCCCTGCCTTATCCCGACGTCTCACACCGTCTCTCTTGAGGCATCCTTAGCAAAAAGTATGATGATGACGTTCCAGCAGACGAAGCTATAGATGTTTAACTTGTGGACAAGGTCTTCGCGGTGATCGAGGAAGACTATTCATTTTGTTTGTTCAGTACGTAGACATAAATATGGAAAAGAAGGGAAATGACTGACTGGATGAAGACTAGGAAGTTGCGACCAGAATGGCCAAATTGCGAATTAGCTGATAAGACGACAAAGAAAGTGAAAAACTCAGGTTGGACATTTAGAACAGAGGCCGGGGAGAAGAACATGATGTATCCAGTTGGACTCTCATGTGGCGCGGGGAGACAAATGCGGAAACTGCAGAATCATATGCATTGGACAGGTGGAGAAACACAGATGCAGGCTGAGAGGATAGCATGGTCGCGATGTCCATGGCAATGCAGATGGAGGAAGCGGGTGTTCGATCTGAAATTATAGTGTTGGGCGCCTAATCTGCACAGCCAGTGCTGATGCTGTAGAGCGGACACGAGGATAAAAAGGGAAGACGCGCCAGTAGAAGACTTTGACGACGACCTCCCTTCTGAATCGCTTGAATCTCCATCAAGCGAAACACCGGATTCATCTTTCTGTACATAAGTCAAGTACATCTAGATTCAGAGTAAGTGATGAATTCGTATGGTATTTGATGGTAGTAAGAGCTGAAATGATGACGTATCAATTCAGTGAATTGCGGGACTAAAATCATGTCGCATGCAGCTTCTGTGAAGCACGAGAATTTAGCGGCAATGCCTTACAGAAAGATCAAAGTAGAGAACTCCATTACCGACATCCTACACCTGCCCGGAGGACAGCGGATCATCACCCGTTCATTTGGTGGGCCACTTCGAGTCTGGGACTTAGAGATGGGCACACAGGTCGAGGAATGGGAGGACAAATTTTCTTCCATGGCATTATCGCCGGACAGCAAGACATTAGCAAGCGTGAGTTGGGATGGCACAGTGAAGTTGTGGAGCATCGATACGGGCAAGGTTATCAAAACATTGACGGGGCATACAGAGAGTGTTTTCGTGTGCTGGAGTCCAGATGGAGGGCGAGTGCTGGGCAGATCCATAGATGGGACATTCAGAGTGTGGGATGTAAAGAACGGAGAGACTATACTTGGACCAATCCAGACAGTCGATGGCCCGATGCATGTCATGCCCATGTCGGCTTACTACTCGCCAGATGGAAAGATGATTGCCACAACGGGGGAGTGGCTGGAAATCTGGGATGCCAACACAGGCGAATTGCTCAAAACATTCGAGAGTGATTTTGGGTGCCTGGCGTGGACCTCGAATGGAAAAACACTTACCACCTGGCGCGGGCGGTCAAAGCGGTTCCGGATGATGAAATTCGACACAGCCACTTGGACTGTTCTTGACGTGCGCGAAAACTTGACCGATTCCGATGTCGATTGCTTTCCCCTATCCCCGATGAGCGCTTCTTTGCAGCCACATCATTCTCCAGCACGACAGCGCAACTATGGAATATCGAAACCAATCAACCACCCATCGGAACACCTCACCATCAAGAAGGGGTGATGACTGCGACATTTTCTCCAGATGGAAAGTTCCTCATCACTGGTTGTATGGACCGTCACATATATATGTGGGATGTTTCTGCTATCCTTGAAGAAGCTGGCCTTCCCTGCCCAGCTCCAAAGATGAAAGGTGCTCCTCGAATACCTCCAGGGTTTTTTGACGATGCACTGCGAGAGGCTAATGTACGTGGTCTCCATCTATTATTCAATGTTTTGATTCATATGTTCTCAGTCGCGCATTCGTCTATCCCAATCCCATGGGCCACATGATCACCCCATTCCTGTGCCACGCCAACGCACCCTCAGTCGCTTTCACTCATTCTGGCGTCGCTCAAAGTCACACGGCCAAACTGGGCACCATACTCGACCTTGGTCCCACCCTCTCAGCTGGACTCGGAACCTGGTATCCGGTATACTACGTAGACGAGATGGATCAGACACCGAGCTGCGAGAGGTCGAGGTCCCTTACACAGCGGGAAACCCTGTGCGTCTTTTTTGTGTTTCACGATTCTCCTCTATCGCTAACTCGTTTTCGTGCAGGGAAATTATCACGCTAGAAAGAAGCCAACTGCCAGCTCGTCTCGACCTCCCAAAATACATGCCACGCAATCATCACAGCTACCTCCAGATACCACTGCGTCGACGCATTCCGCTGTCACTACCGCTGAGGCATCAGGAACGCCCTCGCGTCCCCATATCACCTGCACTGGATGGCGCGCTCGTTTCGTGGACTGGCTTTGCTGTATGCCTGTTCAGAACGCAGACGGTCACCATTAGTGAAGCGACATTTTTTTGATTCGTATTTTGCTGTTTCATCTATAGCTAATTCTTCGTAACCATTGACTCTTCTGGCGTCATCGCATAGTACGGGCCTCGAAATCGATCAACCCATCGAATTAACAACTCTATTTTGAATATGACATGATCTCTGCTATTTTTTCAGCAGATGGCAAGTTCCTTGTCACTAACTGGCTCTACGACCACATTTACATATAGGATATTTCCGCTATCCTCAACAAAGTTAGCCTTCTATCAAATATTGTAAACTTATATACGTTTCAATCCAAATGACGCTGACAACGGCTCTCTCAGGTTGATGCTACACCGCGACAAGCTCCAAAGTTGAAAGGTACTCCTCCATGGGCTACATAACCGCCCCGCTTCAGCACCACATCAACGTACCCCCCGGTCACTTTTCCTTCTCCTGGTGCCGCCCGAGCCATATGGGGTAACTGAGCCTGACACCCAATCCCAATCACATCCTCTCAACTGGATTCGAATCATAGTCTCTGGCATGGTGCGCAGGCGAGATATATCAGACATCGAGTGGCGAGAGCCACCTGTTGTCAAGGTCCCATGGACAGCAAGCAAGCCTTGTGTTTCCCCTCAATTGTTCTTATTTATTACCGACCACTTTTCCCGCAGAGGAAGTATCACGCAAGCAAGAGGAAGCCAGCTGCCACTTTTTCTCGACCTCCCAAGACTCATACTCTGGAGCAACGCGGAGCACTTCATCATCGTCACAGCTACCACCTCCCACTGCCAGTCTTCATATCGCTATAAGAGTTGCCGGATGGCATGCTCGTTCCATGGTCTGGGTTTGCTGTATGCCCATTCAGAATGCAGACGGTCAATATCAGGGAACTGACATTTTCGTTGTGTTTTATCCGTATCTTCTGTTGTCTTATTCAATTTTTCGCAACTCTCCTCTTCCTCTCGGCATCTTGCAATATTTCTCAGTCGGTTTATCATCGTGTAGTATATTTGGGGACCACTATAGTGTGCGCGCAAATTACTACAATTGGACCATGTTTTGCACCAATATTTCGTCGGTTTGGCTAACGCATGAAGTCATAAATGGGATGTGCGGCTTATTTACCTTCAAGACCTGAGACTACGTAGATGATAAGTCAAGTGCCACGAATTGCCACAATGCGTGTGTTCTAGCTATGAATCATCGAGCTCGTCTTCTTCCTCGCTGCCCCCCACCCCCATCAAATCCTCATTTACCATGTCTACGACTGCATTGATGGTCGCCTTAGACATCTTAGGCATAGCGCCAGGTCGCAAGAGAGGATGATGTGCTTCTTGGAGCTCTTCCTCAGATTCCTCACCACTCTCTTCGCCGCCGTTGACATCGCTTCCACGGTTGTCTTCCTCCTCCGAACCGTCATCAGGTTGGCTACCACTTCCGACATCGCTCGCTTCTGAATCTGATGAGCTGCTATTATCAATGTCTTCCGATGATGCAATCTCATAGTCGTCATCGTCCGAGTCTGAGTCATCCCATGCGGGACCATTGGTAGCAGTGTTGCCGCCAACAGATGGTTCCTCCTCAGTCGTTGCCTTCTTACCACTTGTGGCTTTGGAGGGAGGTGGAGCAGAACCTTTACCGAACAGGTGTTTCCGCTGCCTCGTCCACGCATTGATGGGGTCTTGCTCTCTGCCGTCCACCATGGAAAATTCTGTCTCGATGATGTCTCCCTCTGCATCCTCTTTATCTCCTCCGCCGTTGTGATCTTCAGCAGACGACGATGCCTTTCTCCCTAGAATGACGGAACACGTGCGACCCGTGGCACTGATCAAGCGAATACCATCTTTTGGGATGAGATCACCAACGGCCCAGAACTCGCATGGTTTGCTTTCTCCCCAGAGAATACCTGAATCGAAAAACCATAGAGTTCCAGGTTTGGCGGCAAAATAGGCATCGATGCCCGCTGCGCAGTGTCCTGATTTAGGAGTGGCACACGCGCTGCGAAATATAGTTGCTGAGGCCTCGAGAAGAGAAATAGGAAGATGTGTCAGAAACTCGCGCAGGACGAAGAGCGTCTCTTCTCCTTTTGCAACCGTTGATGTGGATGGAGTGGAGGAGTCAGAATAGGAGGTAGCATCGAATTTAGAAGCGCTTATTGCGTCAAGTCCAAATATTATTTGGTGTGGGTTAGAAGTTGTGGCCTTACCCTTTTCAGGTACGTCGCTGGATAGCATGACGACTGTCCAGTGCTGCTTTGCTTTTCCGCGTGTTGGTACCAGGAACGCTCGTGAAATACTAGAAAGAGGTATTGAAGCTTCCACCGTACGAGATGAAGGATTTGAAAAGCGTATCGTTTTCTCATGAATTGTGATGTCAACTTTTTTTCGAACAGGCGAGGTCGTAGATATCGAAGGCAGTGTAAAAATGGGCCGATCGTCCTCAAGTACATCAGTAGTTTTTTGACGCTTGGAATTTGACCCAACGCCTTCTTCATCAGTGCTGGCTGCTCGCCCGCGTTTTGTGCCTTTCTGTGCAGCCAGGTCTTGAATCGCCCTGATGGCGGCAGGTTGATCTCTCGCCCACCCTTGTTGGCCGAGGGCCGACATGTCTGTGGGACAATCACCGCCAGATGCAAATGCAAGTAGCATGTCCACAGCAGAGCGGGCCTGCTCGGAACTCAGGGAGTTTATGATGGACGAACATTCCGCTGGAAAGTGTTTGGACAATGCGTCCAAGTATGGAGTGCTCGTACTCATCACGAGATCCTTATCGAGCTAGATAGATAATACACATTAGCGATCATACCTGCTAGATGTTAATGCCTACCTGTGATGTACCACAAAGTGACGAAGCTGCTATGCAGACTCCAAGTCACAAGTTGTTTAAGCCGACTTTCAGTCAGCGGCTCCTCATCGTGGGCTCCTGTCACGTGACTACACGCGTCAACTAGGCCAAAAATAGAATTCAGTCTCGTTCAACAACACCGAACTGCCTACCCTAAACAAAGACGCGACTCTACCTCTTACTGCCATCATAACACCCTTCGCGTCCTTGTTGACTTCATTTCAATTTGCTGATCACTGCTTACTCGGTTTTCACCTCAAATAGTCTAAGTGATCACACCCCTCAAATTCTCCGTGCCACACCAACGTGTTTGTATTTTTCGGTAAGTTGTCCATATTTCGTTGCAGCCCTGCCGTAATCCTGGTTGACTACCCGTAGTGTATATAAGACCTTTCTTGAGTCAAACATCACACTCTATCACTCATGGCACCCAAATCTACCGGAGGGAAGTCGAAGTCTGGCGTTACTCAAGCAGGAGGAGGAGTTGCAGGATCCGGTGCTACCACAACACCAAGAACGATACAGACTCGCAGTCAGAAAGCTGGCCTCCAGGTCCGTTTTGAGTGTATCTTCCGTTGGTCGATTTTCCTGATATAGCCCCTTTTTCTTTATCCTCCTTTTAGTTCCCCGTTGGTCGTATTCATCGTTACTTGAAACAGCGCACGCAGCACAATGTGCGTATTGGAGCGAAGGCTGCTGTGTATACCAGTGCAATATTAGAGTATCTCACTGCTGAAGTACTTGAACTTGCTGGTGAGTATCTCAGTCCGGAGTGAAGATGCTTGTTCTTACACCCGTTACTAGGAAATGCATCAAAGGACTTGCGCGTCAAACGTATAACACCCCGGCATTTGCAACTTGCCATCCGAGGAGATGAAGAACTCGATATCCTTGTTCGCGCAACAATCGCCGGAGGAGGCGTGTTACCATTTATCCACAAGAGTTTGACAGCTGCTTCAGGCAAGAAGAAGCTTGAGGGACAACAGCAGTAGTGGTTGTTCGGATTTTACAGCAGGTGCTGACATTATCTATTCGCGTGAGCGCAGCGATCAGCTGCACTAACTTTATTTTACTTCTGACTGTTGTTACTTGCATCTGTAGTTTTGTATCAAATGCATGTATGAGAATTTGGTTGTTCGACTGTAGACCAACTAGTGTCAGTGACTTGATTCTACTAGTTACGCAAAGTGGTGTTGGTTGCGACTCTATTATACTACAACTTGATCGTACATATCCAGGATAATGTCCAGTTATTCTACGCGTCATGCAATGGTTACAATTTCCTTAATCATGAGCTGCTCGCGCGTTCCCCAAGGCAGCCGCTTTCCCACCTGTCTCTCTCAGCTCCCCTTTCTCATGCAGTTCCTCATTTTTGGTATATTTGCCGATGACCTATAAAGGAAATCAGCTCATTAATATTGTCGACGGCACAAAGTACAAGACCTGCCTTTTGCGTTTTTCCGACGACCTTGTCACCGAACCCAGTATGGCCCTCGGGTAGGTTGGGCTGCCCACCAATTGAGACTCCACCTGCAAGCACATTTCAGGAGCTGGCTATCGCGATGATTAAATGGCTAATACCTTCTGGCGTAGGCTGAACGCCGAGCGGGCGCTCGTTGGTGGAGGCAGTGTTGCTACGAGCGCTCTCGCTCTCACACGCCGAGTCTGGACCTGTGCGCCCGGCGGACGGTATGCCCATGGTGGCACGAGTGGAGTCGGCATCATCCGATTCCGTAGATGCATTCTTGCCATAAATCACAGAGGAAGACATGCGTTCAATATTCGCGGGCGAGTAGTCCTGAGTCTGTACTGCGTCACGCGACCCGGAACCTGGTAGTGGCTGGGAAGAGTCATGAAGCTGATGCTGCGGGCGAGAAGTGTTCAATGCAGCGTTGTTTTGTAAGCCAGACATGTTGACTGTTAACTAGAATTGATGTATAGATTTTGATTGCGTGGTTGGTTGTAATTGGGCAACGATTGTTGACTTTGATAGAGGCGTTCAACTTTGTCTTATATGCATATCCAGACCGCTGGAGAGAATGACGTCATGTGTGTCAATTCATGGGGTTCGAGTGGACACAATGGAGACAATTGCGTATGTTCGAGGGTGCCGGAGCCCGAGAACGTTGCGGATACTACTAATTAATAGTATTTTGATCATTCATGCCTATTCCGTCAATATTACAGATATATGGACGTCGACCTATTGATCCATACTACTAATAGTACTGTGCCGCCTCCTCCTCTGTCTTTCTCCCCGGTAACTTCACGACCACTGGATCCCTTCGGTGTCGGCAAGTGGTTCATGTCAGCCACAGACGACAACTATCCTGCTTCAATCGCCAAGGACTTGGTTCGGTATGTTATTGTTATGCTAATTGGATTGCATGTCAATGACTATGTCTCATCCAGTGTCTTGGAAATCTTACTCGAAAAAGCTTCCAGGAAATACACTAAATGGATCATCCTCTGCTGGCATATGTTACATGTTGCATGCCATCCTTGAGAGCTTCAACTGCGGATGAGTTAAATCCTGCCTTTTGCTGCCATGCTACAATTCCTCACTTAATATTTGATTTCTAGGTATATCATAACATCGCTAGGCTTAAGTCTTTTCGCCGACCACTCTGTATTTCAATCCGGGGGTTATCTCCCCTGTCCACTCTCACGTTGAGCCCAGATATGCTAGAGACTGCCATGGTGCAGGTGACTGCATAACTCATCTGGACAGGTAAGTGGTCATATGAGGCTGTAACTTTCGCAAGCACCTTGTTCACTGTGTCACATCCTTACTATGGTTTGGATGTAGGTTAAATTTATTATTTTGTTGGCAAGGCTGTAATCGAACCCACGTGTTGCTATGTGTTTTTGCACTACCTCTGTTTGGGCCAAAGTGGCACTTGGCCGTGTAGTAGTAATGGCGTCTTTGTGACAGATACTGCAGCACAGTGGCGCAACATTTTCCTTGTGCCCACAGGCACAAAACCTGTCTGTTGCATTTTCCAATGGCCCTGACACCAAACCCAGCATGGCCCTCGGACAGGTTGGGCTACCCACCAATTGAGACACCACCTGTAAGCACATTTTAGTGGCTGGCTATTGCGATGATTGAATGGCTAACACCTGGCCTAGGCTGAACGCTGAGCGAGCGGGTGTTTGCTGGCAGAGGCAGTGTTGCTACAAGCGCTCTCGCTTTCACGTGAGTCTGGACCTGTGGAATGATGCCATGTGTCAGTTCATGGGGGACAACTCCAGATAATGTTCAAGGGTGCCAGTGAACACTGGATGGTATTTTGATCATTGATATCTATTTCATCAATGTTGATGTATCTATGGTGTTGCAGTGCGACAATGTGATTGTGCTTGATTGTAATAGCCATGGTTTCAATACCACGGTCCACGGACTCACTGGTTCACTGATAATAAATATATAGATGTGGACCTGTTCATTCATACTACTAATAGTACTGTACCACCTCTGTCTTCCTCCCTGGTAACATGGATCATTCAAGTCGGCAAGTGGTTCACATCAGCCAACCATCCTTCTATTCAGTCACTGATGACTTGGTTCGGTATGCCATTATCACATTAATTGATGTTGCATGCTAACAGCTATATCTCCTCCAGTGTCCTGGAAATCTCACTCGAAAAAGCTTCCAGGAAATACACACAATGGAGCATCCTTCGCTGGCACATGTTACACGTTGCATGCCATACTGCTTGTGATACACGTAGCCCTTGGAATATCTTATACCTTTCATTGGGAACATTGCGTGACCCTTCCATTCACACAAATGAACACCAATTTTTGGCCTGTGGTACTTAGTGCTTCATTGCAAGCATTTTACACAGCATGTGACCTCCTTTACCTGCTAATAGGTATACCAGTCAAAGGACTTTATCTAGATTTACACGGCTGTTCTACTCTTCCTCACCCAACGGCTTGTGATGTCAAGAATGCTAGCACACCATCAAAAATTGACTGCCATTCACAATATATATGGTGCATGGGCAGGCCTTGGCACTGCACTTGGCAGTGTCTGGCGACAAATTGAAATCCCTACTTCATGGTGGGCGATTTCTGCTGTGACTGCCTACCTTGCAAGTATTTCTGTGCTGCATATCACCTCTTCCACTCTGCTACAATTTAAAACATTCAATACTTCCATGGCAACTTCTATGCCAACAAAGCGAGGATAGCCAAATGATTGGATGGATATCAATATCTTTACATCAAATTGGGCAACCATCACCGCATCTTTGCCAGCTGTCAGTCAATTACCCAGACTGGTCTCTGTAGGGTTATCCAACAATACAATCTATGATGCCCCACAAACAAACTCTATGGCAGCAAATGCAACTGTGAACGCAACAATGATAAGTTCATCTTGTGCATTACTTCCAAATATCACATACTCTGTGAGTGCTGGCATGGTCTATGTAAATTCCACAATTGCACAAGGAATTTTTCTTTCTATGGGCGCAAGCTACCCCTGTATGTCATCATAGCTAATGAGATTTCATTGTTATTTAGGAATGTTTATAGGGTCAGACCAAGTACAAGTGCTTGAATGGAGCTGGTCATCTTCAAGTAACAATGTAAAAATTCTCCAAGACAATTTGTGGGTGCTGCAGAATCTGACTGACAGTTGTTTTACAATAGTTTAACTTTTCTGGTAACCCTGGTGTCATCCTTATGCTTTCTACGTTATTGAACATTGAGCCTTCCATACAACAAGAGGTTGCTGTGCCAGTAACATGGGAAGTTCATAATACTAGTGAGTTGCGCTTATTTGTAAATCTGCTATGTCAACAAAAATTTTGCAGCAAACATTTCTGTTATTGATCAATATATTGTTGAAGTCTATTTTGTGCAATGCTCGCTTTTGGCTGTGACCACAGAAGCTGTGTTTGACATGCAAACCAACAGTCTGCTGACTCCCATCTCTGTGTTGCAACCATCAATGCAGTGGAAATTATGCAGTGGCCCCAGTGGACATCTAATGACTGGCAAACAGTGTGTGTGTTCGTACTCATGATTTATGAAAATCAAATGATCCACTGTTTACACAAGATTGGACATGCTTTGGGATATCCAGTCAGTAGCGGGTATTTATTTTTCTATTCACTCACTGCAAATACCTCTAGTGAACCCTCAACTGCGGATGAGTTAGAACCTTCCCTTTGCTGTCATGCTACAATCCCTCACCTAATATTTGATTTCTGGGTATATCATGACATCATTAGGCTTAAATCTTTCCACTGAGTACTCTGTATATCAATACGATGGTCATCCCTTGTCCACTTTCACATTTAGCCCAGATATGCTAGAGGCTGCCATTGTGCAGGTGACTGCCAGGCCATATAGTGATTTTGATATATCAAAATACTATGATCTATAGGATTGGTCTAATACATCATATCCAACAGCCCATAGTCCACCTATGATGCATAGTAAGTGATATATCAGTGATGGATCCTCTTATCCTCTGGTCTCGGCACTTGCCTGGCCTTCTCAGTCCGGGTACCTTGGTTCTATTGCTGACATATCAGGTCCCAGGCCTGGCTGCAAATTCAGATGGATGATCTGATCAGGTCCGATTGGCCACAAATCTAGTACTGAGCACGTGGCACTTTTTCCTCGACTGACACAGCCACTCGAGGAAAAAGTGCCATGTGGCTTGCATCATGTGACAAGTGCTTTGAATTTTTACAAGTCCAGTGCAAGCAACCAGTAGTCAAGTAGTAAGACTTGTGTATTTAAACAAGTGAAAACAACATGTTAACAAAAATCAGCTCAGAATTTCACCAAGTGTGCATGCTTGAGGCAGCCATGAACATTTGAACAGTCATAAAATTCAAGACACAACAAATTCAATTAATGATGGCAAAACTACGTGGCAAACAAGATGTATGGTATGTACATTAATAAATACAATGATCATTATCTCCTTGCAGACTTGCATGAACTGCCAATATTATTAGCCTCTTCAGCTCATTTAGACTGGAAATGCTGCCGTTTTCCATGACCAACATCTTCCTCTTCATCCCCATCTATGGCTGAATTGGAGAGGTTGCTGCCTTGCGTGCATTTCACAGCTCGTTTATGCTGAGGGAGAGTGGTTGGCTGAGGACGAGTGATTAGCTGAGGAGGAGCGGTTGGCTGAGGAGGAGCGGTTGGTTGAGAGGGAGTGGTCAGTGGCTGAGAGGGAGTAATTGGCTGAGGGGGAGCAGTTGTAGTCATGGAATACTGTGGCGCAGTCTCAGTGAGAGGCAATGAGTCACAAGTGGTGTTTGGGCCATTCAGTCCAAGCCTGATAGGCATGAAATTGTAAGTGTTTGAGGGCGATGTAAGGAATCGGCGTAGATGTGGTGATGTGATGGTTGGCCCAGATTGTGGAGACAGTGACTTAGGAGATGGTAAGTTCATGTCAGGGCGATCAAGGAGTTCCTGTAGAGACAAGATCTGAATATCACCAGATGTTGGCTGCTTGTTACTTGTAGCAGCTGGCTGTAATTGTGGAGGCATGGGGAGGATAGGGAGTGACCTCTCGGACATGCATCAGTACACCATTCTCAAGTTCACTCGCCTCTTCTTCTAGGTCCTCTACTGTACTGAATACTGCTTGAATGTGTTGGAATACCTCCTGGACTTCTGAGTCCTCACACTCAATGAGTGTGCGACACAGGCCTTCGACAAACTCATACAAGGACCTGCCAATGATCATAAATAGCTTCTGGTCTATGTTTATTGACTTGTCGTGTCTATATGTGACGTTAAGTGTTGGTACAAGCCTACAAAATTTATAATGCAGCTTACAGTTGATGACACTTTTCTTGATCACTAGCTTGTGCTTTTTTGCGGTTCCTAATACATTCATTAAGTAGAGTTGTAGCTAGCTATAATGACAACGCACCTTTCAATATAACCTTTTTGATAGTGCCGAGTAGCTTGCGCCTTCTCTTCAGGAGAGTTATACAAATGAGGCTGTCCCATGAGTGGTTCAATATGCAAGGGAGATTTACGCATGGGTTAGTATGAGTGATTCTTGCACCTGGCAAGACTTGAGCTCCATTACTAATGCAAGGGATTTACACACTTCATGATTCGCAATATTCACTGCTGAGTTTCAGAACATGATCTGGATGCCATTCAAAATCAATGTTCTATTGGGGTATGTACCTACTAGTACTACCGTTGGTGTTGTTCTCTTTGCATTATAACTCTCTAGAGTTTAATGGACACTTGAATATATTTTGAACAGCCAGAGGTCACTGAGACTATGTGTCAACATGATGGCCCCATGGCCCGACTCAGAGCTATTTTTATCTGATTCGTTGACATGTTGGAGAATCCTGTTGTTTCAGTCCTGCCTATTACCTTTCCTGTACGCACGCATCCCACACTTATTCTTGCCAGTGTAAGCAGTCATCACTGCTGCCACCACTGCCATCGCTATTGGTAGTGTCCATGGATCCACACATCCAACCACCAGAGTCATGGATTATACCTTACAATCCAACAGTTAGCATAATCAATTCATCTATCTCTGCATCCTAGTCATGTCACGCCCTTCAAAGGTGGTTAAACTCAGTATTGAGCGCTTCAGCCATCGGATTGCTACACCTGCAATCCCACTTCAATGTTTGTGTGAATATAGTCTTTCTTCAAATGGTCGCACCAGTCTGCACACAGAATATATTTCCCTCAGTCAATCCACCCCCAATGAGACCCATCCTGTCAGCAGTACTGCTCCAGAAAACTTCGCAGATGATTACTGGAATGAGCTACCTCCTGATGCTGTTGGAGAGAATGAGTCAGAAGAATTGCCACACGAGAAACGCAAACGCACAGCAGCTGTACATTTCCATACCACTCAACTACATTTTGGAAGGTTAAATGTTGAATTAATAAGATACACCTTTACTTACATGGATCCCTGAGTGCCAGGCTTTTCTTGATGAGATGCTTCATCTTGAGGGGCGAGGATTTGAGGGCCAACGAAGTCATTGTCAATGCGGAAGTATTGACTTGTCTTTTTGGTGCAAGGAATGCTTTGGGATGGCGATGTATTGCAAAGAGTGTGTCATTGAACATCATCACTGCCTGCCATTACACATTGTAGAGGTAAGTGTTTCGAGTCATAGTAAACCACAACTGTATGATTGACAAGTCTATAGAAGTGGAATGGCTTATTTTTTGAACATATATCACTCAAAAAACTTGGCTTGTGTGTTCAATTGGGCCACAACCCAGGCAATCACTGTCTTAATCCACAACCTTCTTTCAGCAATGACTTTGTGGTGATTGATGTCAATGGTATTCATGAAATTAAACTAGATTTTTGTGAGTGCAAGACGGCACAAATTCGCTACAAACAACTTCTTTGTGCCCGATGGTATCCAGCCACCACCACCGATCCACAAACAGCTGCTACTTTCAGCGTCCTAAGGCTTTATCATCTTCTCTCATTCAAGTTGAAGGTCACCACACACAAGTTTTACCACAGTTTAGCAAGGTGTAGCAACAGTACTGGTTTAATGGCAATTAGGGTGCATAAAATCTCTGTTTATCTCTGATTTTTCTTAAAAATGTCTTTTTCAGGATCGTTATGCGCCATTCATGTGTATGGTCCATGAATGGAGGCACCTGCGGCAGCTTCAGTGGGCAGGTAGAGGACATGATCCCAGTGGTGTCATTGCCACACAAGCAGGCAAGCTTGCTGTAATATGTCCTGCATGCCCTCAGCCTGGGAGGAACTTACCTGAAGGCTGGTGTAATGGGTAGGACTGTAAGGGGAACCAAGGCCAAACCTCTATAGCGGGAGGCTACGGCTCTGTTTATTGAGGACAGACTACGACACATGCAAGGACTACCGACTACGAGCTAGGACACCTGCCACTCCCGTCTTGTCCTGCCAGAGCGCGCTGCTCCACTGGGAGAGTGCTGAACCAAACTTGAAGTGAGCAGCGCAAATAGTGCAATGAAATATAAGTGAGAGGCTAACTGTTTACTCCAGGTGGTGTTATGCACTTTTCATCACCATAGATGCAAACTTCTGCCTCAAAAGGAAAGCTGTCTCGAGTGACTGGGTAGATCCTGGCTCGAACACTGGCTGGGCTTATTTTGTTGACGAAAGGGAGTATAAGTCATACTTAAATGATCAGGTGACTGAGCGGCAGGAGGTGAGCTGCTACATTAGCAGAATACAAAATAGTTTACTGATCTCATGCAGTGCAGCACTTGTGTCAGCCATAATGCCATCAATATGGCTGACACAAAATCTTCACATGGTCTAGCTGCCACTGAGGTAGGCACCATGGACTGTGCCCAACATGACATGAAACGTCCAAATGGTGTTGGTGACCTCCAGAAGGGGGAAAATAATGTTATTGGTTGACTTATTCTTCATGGACTATCTTGTATTATCTACCTTGGTGGCTTCATCAGTACCAGTCCTCAATGTCTCTTATGATATTGCATGCCAGTGGTCAAAGAAGTTTTGGGCCCAAATGGAGACAATGCCAACTCACCTCCACCTTCCTCATGAAACTCTCAATATTCATTATTTTGTCCCAAAGTTCCATATTGGCGCACACATCGAAGAGTGTCAAATCACATTTTCTTGGAACTTCGGCAAATTTGTTGGGCATACGGATGGTGAGGCACCTGAACGTGGCTGGGCAAACATAAACTAAGTTGCTTCGAGTACAAAGGAGATGGGCCCTGGTACTCAGCACGATACATTGGATGATTACTTTGGCGATTGGAACTGGAAAAAGATTGCTTCACTTGGTATGTTTGTTTCTTTTCATCTCTTACTAGTACAAATCTTTAAAATTTTGTCTAACTAGGATGGACTCTCAAACGTAAAATGGTGGATGCTCTGAAGTGGAAGACTGAGCATTGTCATGCTTTGGACAAGCTGGAGTCAACAATTCATCCGGTATTGATTGCAGCATGGAGGGGTGAAGTTGAGGCCTGGGAGGAAGATAGCGCAAATGTCAATCCTTTTCAAAGTCGCGTTGTGTGTAAGTAATTCATTCGCTAACATGTAAATCACAATTTTAACTTTTTGCAGCCATCACATTGGCAGCCATGCATTCACAACTAGCTGACTCAGAGGCATCTGAGTTGCAGGCAGGAATCAACCTCTCACTGCATTGTGACATATCACTGAGTGTTCTTATCAGTACAGGAATAGATCTGGAAGAGCAGCAGTATGTGATACCAACACAACAGTTGATTTGTGAATCTCACATTTACACAGGGAATGCCTTTGTCGTGACATCGCCAAGCTTTCCCTACACCCCACTGATAAGCAGAAAGAGACACTAATGCACCACACCAACACATTGCAATGCAAGATTGACACTTGGGCTTGCATCCAAGAACTATACATTCCCACAGTACCTGCCCTTCATTCATCAGGTCCAAATTCTGCCCTACCGACATCTCTAAAGCCACAGGATTTTCCTCTGTACCTGCCATCTGCCCTCAACGATATTGAATGTGATCAATGGCTCCATGAGAATGAGTGGGAGCTTTGCTATGCTCAGGCCCTAGACGCCCTAAATGAAGTCAGGTCCCATCTACGTCTGTGCTCTCACATGTACAAGTTCAAGGAGAAGAACATATGAGGCCAGGCTGCTTCCACACGTGCACAGGCCCCTATTGCAGGTGTTGAGGCTCGGAAAGATGCTAGTGTTAACAAGTATCGATGTGCCCGTGCTGCACTTGTTGCACTCAGCCGCAAACTTGAGAAGGTCAGCTGGGAAGCAATAATTTGCCCACTCGAAACTGGTGATATTCGGCCTATGGGTGACTTTTCTTGTGGTCATTCACAAGGAACAGGTATGATATCATAGATATGGGTAGCTCACTGAGCCGACAATAGTTGCACTAAGGATGACAGGGTTCAAGATTGTGAGTCATGTATTGCATTCAGTTGAACAGGGACTCACACAACTTCTGTGTTGCAGGTGTCCATATTGAGTGGTGCAAGGCAAGAGCACACGCAGCTCATTGGTCAGAGGAAGTCGACTTGTTGCTTGAAGAGATGCAGAGAGTACTTGCATACCTAGAATGGGAGATAGGTGCATGCTCAAGCCATGTGACCATGCGCCAGCTCAACAAGGTACCCGAACAAGAAGGACTTGAGGCCTATGCATTCCGTCAAGTGGGTTTACATGCTGATATGAGAAGGTCTTTCCAAGGTATATGGCACAATGTGCCAGTGCTCGTGGAATCGACTATTGATGTTGTGGATGAAATTTCTGTTAGTGCAGAAGAGACAGACAGAGTCCCTTCCCTCCATGCTCCACCTAGTGTACACAACTGTTAGAGGTCACCTGTACCCTGTAAAATAATATTTTGTTTATACAGATGTGCTAAGATTCCATCCCGATCTTGCGAGTGATGTTTATAGATTCACCAATTCACAAATGATGCTTATGATACCCAGATCTCATATAAACAGAGATCTCAGGAACAGCTTTATTCTGGGGTATTGAAGGAAGCTCGAGCCTGTGCCAACAATGGCCCACAGTCTATAGTGAAGTGATATATAACAGGGTATTATAAGCTAGTGGAAGTAATGTATTCAAGGTTTCCTATAATTAAAGACTGTAATACATCACAGTCACTGGTACTTGTTGGAGGATCACTATAGAACGAGTCTCAGCGTTAATGATAGAACCGCTGTCTTGTTACTTAAGGGTCTTATATGAAAGTTGTGTATAATGACAACACAATTATACACGGTGAAGACTTCTTGCCAGTCCTTAAGTCCACAGTCTCCGACTTTTCTACTTCGTGGGAGGTAACGTGGTGAGTTCTTGGGAGGATTTAGTTTGTTGTCCTCTTCTTGTGTAGTCTTATACGAAGTTGTTGTGGAATGTTCTGTGTTCTGGATAAATTCGTTAGGTTTGTTTCAGCCTAGTAGGTCGTGTTTCAACCTATGAAAGTCTGTTTCAACTTTGTCGTCCTTAGATGTGTCTCACTTTCCGTTGAAAGGGAGAGTCTTATGAATACACGTAAAGCTTAGAATGAGAGCTGTTCAATGGTTATATAGTCAACCTCTGTAAGGTAGTATATAACCTAGAGTAGAATAACGATAATGAAAGTTATATAGTCGACCCCTGTAAGGTAGTATATAACTTTAAAATAGATAATGATATCTTAGATTACCTCAAGGCACTTATATTGGCCTGCACTTTAAGTCTTAGTGGTCTCACACGGTTTGAGATAAGAGTCAAGTGGGAGGATTGTATTTCATGGGTGAAAATGGGGTCCTTTTATACCTTTTGGGAACCCCCTTACTAAGCATGATTAATCAGATGGATTGGTAAGAATGTGGCTTACAAACCAGGTGATGAATCAGCTTATTACTAAGTACATTACAAATACAGTGTAATCTTACAAAGAAATTAGAAACCATGACAAACCATGACTAAACATGTTGAGTCATGTTAAATGTTGTTACAAAGCATGGCCAATCATGACTAAACATGCTGAGTCAGCTTAAATAATGTTACAAACCAGAATATTTCCCAGTCACATGATGTGATGACAAATAAAAGCTGGTGGCTGAAAGAAGCCAAATACAAATAAACAGTCAGAAATAAATAGAGATACAAAACTTGGTGGCTGAAAGAAGCCAAATAAAAATAAACAATGAGAAATAAACAGAAGGTCACATGCTTGATACAAATACAAGGTAAAATAAGCCTGTAAAGTGAGAAATAAAATACAAGACAATGAAATAAAGGAAAAATAGAGAGGTAACTTAGTGACAAAGGGCTAGACAGTCTCTCATATCTTCCTTATCACTCTCTATATATATCTGACATGGTATGAATCACATACCATGCATGACACCGCTATAATGATTATACCTATAGAATGAGTCTAAGGACAGAATAATGTAAGTACAAGACGGCATGCAAAGAGAAACATAGACTATACCTCAGCATTAATGATAGAACCGCTGAGGTACAAACAATCCGATACAGAAAGATTAAAAGGCAAAGTATAGAGTCCGTGATGACAAAAAAATGAAAATAGAAGAAAGGAATGTCAACGTTGAACATATTCAACACGCCCCCTCAACAAGACATTCAATGAGCATCCATCGTGTGATGTGCCCCCTCCAACGTACAATGCTCAACGTGTGACGAGTGATAGTCCCTCGCGATGATGATTGAATAGTGGGCGCGGTAAGATCTTGGTAAAAATGTCTGCCACGTTCTTGTGTGTTGAGAGCCATATTGGTAAGAACATCCCTTCCTCGATGTGACGACGAATGAAGTGATACCTGAGGTCGATGTGTTTTGTGCAAGTGTGACTAGCCGCTTCCTTCGACAACGCTATGGCGCCAACGTTATCAGCAAAAAGCTGGAGAGGGAGTGTGATGGGGACCGCAATGCATTCAAAAAATGATTTGAGCCATAGCCCATCTTGTATTGCGGACATGAGAGCCATGTACTCGGCCTCCGTGGACGAAAGAGTGTGAGTGGATTTTTTCTTAGCCAAATGGGACACTGGCCCGCCATTGAAGAACCACACGTAGCCCGACACAGAGATACAATCAGCAGGGCATGACACTCAGTCTGAATCGCTAAACCCATGCAAGGTGGGGTTGATGCCTGAACCTCCATAGTGAGTCCGGATTTTGATAGTGCCCACAAGGTACCTGAGGACATGTTTCCCAGCTGCGTAGTGGCAAAGTTCAGGAGACGCGTTGTGCTGCGCGAGACGCATGACAGTGTGGGCGATATCCGGACGAGTATACATCGCTAAATATAAGAGTTTGCCTACGAGTTTGCGATACTCAGTTGCTAGCTCATCTACGTGAGGATGTATGTCCGTCGGCCGTCCAAACGGGAAGTTTGGGTCCATGGGGAGGCCAACAGGATTGCATTGCATCATGCCGTGCTCTTCTAACAGGAAGAGGATGTAATCCTCTTGGTGCATCCACAACTCTCGCATTCGACGGTCTCTGATGAATTGAATACCCAGGTACTTTGAAACTGGGCCAAGATCCGAGATGCCGAAATGTTTGGCGATGGCTTCTTTCATTTGATCAAGGAAGCGACGGTTGTTCGACCCGGCAAGGCCATCGTCGATGTGCCAGGCTATGTACAGACCACAAGTGTCCCCTCGCTGTTGACGTGGCTGAAGATGAATACAGCATAATCGGCCTTGCATCTCCGAAAGCCGAGTGATGTTAGCACTTCCCTCAAGAGTTCGTACCAATCATAGGCTGCTTGTTTCAGGCCGTAAAGCGACGAAAGGAGGTGGCAGACGAGGCGGATCGAGTTTGGACCGAGTCGCTCGAATCCGGGAGGTTGTCGCATATAGACGTCCTCCTGGAGCTTTCCCCAGAGAAAGGCACACTTGGCATCAAAACAATCTAACTTCCAGTCGTGTGCCGCTGCGCATGCTGCGAGGACCCGGATGGAAGCAGATTTAGCGACGGGGGCAAAGGTACGTCCGAAGTCGATACCCGGAATCTGTGAGAATCCCTGCATGACTAACCTGGCCTTAAAAACAGGCCCCCCCTTCAAATCAACCTTAAATTCCAGCACTTACTGGCATCCTATCGCTCGTCGATCCGGAGGTAAGGGCATTAGCTCGTATACGTTCATTTCTGACATAAGGTTGATTTCTCTCCTCATCGCCGCCAGCCAGCTGTCGCTATCTGGTCTCTGTAACACCTCGTCATATGTGGCAGGTGGAACAGCGAGGTCATACCCTGGAGTGAGGGGGTTCCAGCGCATGTCACTGTGGATGGATAAGGCCGCAACCTCGACAATGATGAGGTTTGCGATGACCTCCGGGAACCCTATCTCCTCGTTCTCTGGCACAATCGCATCTGGATCGATAGATGCAGGTGGAGGAGGACCGGTCATGTGGGTCGGAGTGACGACGATACATGGTTCAGCTGTGTCAGCGTCCGAAGATGGGGGGTGTACCCCATTAATGCGAGCCACCCAGAGCTTGCGCTGATGCAGTAGACGTGTCTTGTCAGCTTGAACACGACTTTTAAGGAGTTCCCCACGTTCTGTGGGGACTGGTATACGACCAGAGCGACAAAGGACTCCAGTATGAGGGGGTTCAGATGCGACAGGAGCTGGTGGTGGAAGCATGGGGACAGGAGCTGGTGGTGGAGCGGCAGGAGCAGGTTGCACTATACTAGGAGCGGGAGTTTCATCTTCTTCATCACTGTCCGGAAAAGCCTTATCAGTGAAGTTTTTGTCAAAGATTACATCATGCGAGTTAAAGAATGCCCCGGTTGTCAGATCGCGACAGCGCCAGGCCTTCACACTGGGCGGATAACCCATTAATATTGCTTTTCGTGAGCGTGGACCGAGTTTCTCCTGCAGCTCCGAGGGAATTCTGGCAAAGCATCGAGCGCCGAAGATACGAAGATGACTGAGATTAGGCTGGGAACCGTGCAACATCTCGTAGGGTGTCTTGCCAGCAGGCAAAGCTCATGACTCTGTTCGGTTGAATAAGTAGCATGCAGTGAGTGCAGCCTCCCCCCAGAGTGAGGGAGGAAGATGCGCGAAGTTCAACATCGCATACATACGACCTTCAATCATACGCATCACCCTCTCTGCCTTACCATTTTGCTGATGAGCATACGGGGCAGAGCATTGACGTTGAACCCCGGCATCCTCGAGCTCCTTTGAGAAGGAATCACTAAGGAATTCCCCTCTGTTATCCGACCGGAAGATCTTTACGCACCTCCCAGAGAGGTTTTCCCATTGAGCACGGAGTGAGCGCCATGCTTCAAGAGCCTGATCCTTAGTAGCGAGCAGCTGGAGATCCAGCGCGTGCATGTGATCGTCTAAGAATATGATGAAATAATGTTTGCCGTGGGGAGTTAAAGTTGGAATTGGGCCACAGACATCGGAGTGTATCAGATCAAGGAATGCACTAGAGTGTTTGGTCTCCGAGATGTGGAATGGCTGCCATGGATGTTTCACGATAATGCACGACTCAACAGTGTGACAAGGGTGTCGAGGAGTCAAATGTGATCCCCTTTGCAACGTGGCCGAGGCACATGACAGCATCTTTGCCGATGTGTCCAATTCGAGCATGCCATAGGTCGAGGGTGAGAGGGACGTGGGCGAAGGCGGACAGTTCGGTTGTACAGAGAGGGAGTGGTGACGATGAGGAAGCAATGGGAAGTATGAATTCTAGGTCTAATGCATAGAGTTTTCCTGTCGCAGGAATCGACCCAAGGAGACTTCCCTTGTGGATCAGTTCACATGTCATGTTGGCCTTAAAGCCAACATCCCAACCTTTCGCGTTCATACAGCTGACCGAAAGAAGGTTAAGCATCGTGTTAGGCGCATGCAAACAGTTTGATAGTTTGATGCGGAACCGGTGTAGAGACTCATGCCTCTCATGGCGTGATATGGCAGTTTCCACTAAGGGAGTATACAGCACCAACTCGCAGCACCACTCTGTGTACTGTCCACAGCAATTCCTATATGAGGCGCAGCTTTCCCGCGCAACGCGCGCCATGCGCGCACCATTCCCACGCTTCGCGATGTATACGCGCGCGCGCGTTCCCGCGCTTGCGTGCCCTATAGCGCCAGCCATCCAGAAGCATCCATCCACTGTCCACCAAGCCCTCTAGTGCATATATTTCCATTTCTTTTAGCATATCATTCCACCTTTATTTTTATCATGAATTCTCACTTATATATATCTTTACATACCTACTCGGTAGCGCTTCGGCTCCGCATGACCGCGCTTAGGCGCGCTATATAAGCGCCAGCAGTACATACTATTACTTACTTACCTTTCACACCTTACTTTACCTCCCATTTACTTATTACTACTTACTTACTACTTAGGAGAACATAGTAGAAACCTATTCCTTTAGATCTTGCGCTCTCACATCTCTTGCATCATATTATCACTTAAGTCTAGTCTATCTATCATTTCCGCATACGCACGCGCGCGTGTTCCCGCGCCTTGCGCGCACCTGCACTTTCTCGCGCTTCGCTGAAGTGCGTACCTCTAGATCTTTGCAGCACTCGCTTCCCCTAGGGTCGAACGCACTTGTCTCCTCAAGTAACGCAGACTAGGCAACGCGCGACCTCACAACTTTTTATAGATACTGTCAGGAGCATCATTTGTTCCACTCAGTATTGTTGTTTCTACACCAGTTCTTTCCAATGGTCAACCAGGCCAAACATGTACCATGACCAGTCGTCTCCAATATCCCATGGTTCGCAGTGCGAACGGCAACCGATCCCTCTGTTGAGTACATATGGAAGAAACGCTTGTCCTTCACAAGAGTTACAGTTGTCCCGGAATCCAGGATCGTTGAGAACGGCAGTGACGTGAGGCAGGATACATCATTGAGAATTTCAGTGACTGACGTGAATGACATGTCAGCCATCAGGCTGTTGAGACTGGTTACAGCAGCAGCGATAGCAGGAGTGGGTGCAGGTGCGGGTGTAGACGTGGAGGTTGAGGTTGAGGTTACCGCAGCAGCAACGGCCGTATCCTTTCTCTTATTCCTCATCCAGGGTGCCTGTCCTTCCATTCTGCCCCCTTTACCATAACAGTGCGCGTGGTCGTGATCTCCTTTGTTACAACCCGGTGTCGTGCAAAAGACACCGTCTGGATTGTGTTGATGCTTTCGGAGACCGGTGATGGCATTGATGTTAGGGCCAATCATATTGGAAGACGCCGAAGATGCTGCATTCGCATACTCGGACCCTGGACGAGAGTGAATGGCCTTTGTGTGCACATGACGTGCGGCCTCGGCTGTGATGCGAGAAACGCAGCTTTCAACAGTAAAAATTGAGGCAGTGCCTGTGGCCGCTGTCATCACCTCGTCGTGCATCCATTGCTCGAGCATAGATTTGAATTGCTGCCATATAGGCATCTGCGGAAGTCCAATCAGCAAGCTATAGATTGCATCACCATCGCGAAGTGCTGTGCCAGAATCACGAAGTCGCTCGCAGATCACAGCATGCTGTCCAACATAATCGGTGGCGTCGGCTGAGTCTCTCATGTGCAAAGCGTCCAGTCATTGACGGAGCTGATATTGCGCACTGGTGTCCATGCAGTTAAAGTGTTCTGCTAAGGTTTGCCACGCCATGCGCTGTAGCACTCGAGCCCGTGCTAGGCTGGTATTCAGCTATTCCATGCATCACGTCAAATGTTCGTTGCTTGATATTCACTTCCCGATGCAACCCGACGCATACCCGCCGAACCCGACGCTTTGACCAGCGGACCCAACACATTGGCCGCGTCAGACCCGACATTTTTCCCGCGCTCTTGTCCTATCCGTGTCTTGTCTCATCAGCTAGCCCCACTAGGTGTGTAGTTGATTATTTCGCACATGACTCATGTCGTAGCCAGCGCTATTACATGTTTTCCCATAGTCCGCAGCACCTCGTGTTTATTTACATGTACATCGGACCCGAAATTCTTCAGCCACTACTTTCGCCTATAGGGTTCTGGGTTTCTACATACTTATATATATATTGGTACCCACATAGCATATTCATCATCCAAGTAGTAGGGAGCCATTTCCCAACGCTTTGTGGTCAAACCCAATATTTTCGTAGTTCTTAATTGACATTGCGAATATTACCGCTCTTTCTATCCGAAACTCCCGTCATTATCGATATTCCGCATACCGCTTGCTATACCCGACAATCATTTCCCTGACCCGACGCTAACCCACCGAACCCACACCCGAAACCCGCTAACCCGCTAAACCCGAAAACATCGGCCGACGCTTTGGCATTGGACTCGTAATTATACCTTCAGATTCTGTTTCTCGCGCTCGGACTTTTGACTGTTTATCGATTGACTATAGACTTATTCCAATAGCAAACCCCTCGGGTCGAACACACTTGTCTAGCAAGTATAGCAGACTAGGCTGTGCAAGACCACTACAACATTTTTATAGTGCTGACACTTACTTCGTATAGTATCTAGCATTGTTGTATCTTTACAGCATGCAGTGACTGTGTGTGCCCGTGATACTAACGCTCCTACAGAAGGACTCAGTCGATGTGTGATGAGATCTTTGGCTTTCATGTCGTTTAAAAGCCATTCACGCATGAGAGTTTGCTCTGCGGCGGTGATGTTCAACGGGTCCACTGGAGCGGGCATGGTTGACGGGAGCCCGAGAAGGTCCGTAGGATCAGGATTTGTATTTACGTGGCACCACAGGTCTTCGCATGCAAGTGCATATTGCATCTTCGTCGACCATCCGACATAGTTTTCTGATCCCAACAATTCAGGTATATGATCAAACTTCCCCATCGCGATACCGCTGATGTGAAGGGATATGATAAGACTGACTTATGAGAGCAGCGGGATAGCGCAGACAGAGATTTCATTCAATGGGCTTCGTGAGGGTTCAGAATGAACCAGGGCTCATAACCTGTTGGAGGATCACTATAGAACGAGTCTCAGCATTAATGATAGAACCGCTATAATGATTATACCTATAGAATGAGTATAAGGACAGAATAATGTAAGTACAAGATGGCATGCAAAGAGAAACATTCCCTGTACCTCAGCATTAATGATAGAACCGCTGAGGTACAAACAATCTGATACAGAAAGATTAAAAGGCAAAGTATAGAGTCCGTGATGACAAACTGTCACAACCCAATAACGAATTAACGCTGGGCAGAGACTAGGACTCAAACAACAGAATAATCACAAAAAGAAGATAGGCAGCAGGTACATCTTGGTATTGCTCACTTGGAGATACAAGAGGTTTGAACTAAAGAACTACTGACTACGATGAGCTACCTATATACACATATTGAAACTGAGATCGAAACTGAGTATGAACTAACTAACCAATCAGAATAATTAAAGGTATCGTATGATTCTATATATAACTATGATGTCATAACATGTGCCGCAGCTGCAGTAAGACTCTGGAACATTCCAAGAGTGTCGCGAGGCATGACGTCAACATCTTCGGCATTGTCCGATAGATCACGTGACTCTGGTAATTCTACAATAGACGCAATAATAGGAACTTCTTCAACAGTAAACACATTCTTAGAAACAGGCGCTGTGACTGGGCGCTTAAAGGACTTAGAATTTAGGAACGAATAATGGTTTGTATTTGGAACTCGTGACACAAACAAATGAAAATAGAAGAAAGGAATGTCAATGTTGAACATATTCAACAGTACTGGTGTGACTGCACAACTCGTTTGGACAGGTAAGTGGTCATAGTATAAGGCTGTGACTTTTGCAAGCACCCTATTCACTACATCGCATGCTTAGTGGGCCAAACTGGCACATCTAATGGAGGACTTCGATTTGGGAGTGGGACAGCCTATGTTGACGAGCAGATTATTTCTCTACATCTCAATGTCAGTGTGAACTGCATTTCATTTCCCTTCATTGCTTATTGATGCCATAGGTCAACATTCTTCCTGTGAGTTTGTGACAATATCTATGCTATGACAGTTTACCGATGAGTTACTACTAGCTATTGTTTATGACATCTGTGTCGGTGATCATGATAACATTGGCTCTATGCATGACAGGAGCATTTGATGCATCCAGTGACAATCAAGTTGTCATCCCAAGCATAGGTGCACTGCAACTCTTGTGGCTGGGTTGTCATTCAGCTAATGCTGCCACAGTCCAGTCCAGAACCATGGTTCGAACCGGACTTTTGGTCCGGTTCTCCGCAGTTCGGTCCATGGTTCTCACACCAGCCAGAACCGGACCGGAAAACGGTTCTCGGTTCTAGGTCTGCCCAAATGGTCCCGTTCTGGTTTGGCCTTGCTGAACCATTCCGAACTGTTATCAACTTCAACTGCGACTTTGACTTCAACTGCGACTTTGACTTTGACTGCGACAACTTCAGTCTCCACATCAAACTGTTGTCTTCAGGATTTGCATTATTGGTTAACCAGGCTACCTTTAGCCTTTTTAAAGGTAAGTACTAATCAATCAAACTCTCACATGACTTGCTGTCACAATGTGCCGCTGACTCAATGTTCAACCAACTACTGGCAGAATCTGTCAAGGCGCGCATCATACTCAGCGCATGCTTCCAAACAAGCACCTTCAGTCTCTTTTCAATTTCCTGCCTTCAATGTAGTTCCCAATACCCTTTGGCTCAGGTGACACTGCAATCAGCCAGTTCTTCACATTCAATGCTCTCTTCGCCATGAATGATGTGACCTTGATCATGAGTACTAATTCTATCCTCATTTGAGCTCGAGCCATGCTGATCTAAGTCGTTGCCCATTGTTCGCAGTCTGTGAGTGTGTCGGTCCTCGTTCAAGTTTTAGCCATGGTTCACCTCTCGTGCCAACCTAACTCCCAGTACCCTCTTACTTCCTTTGGCACCCTCTCGCTACCTTTGGAGCCCTCTCACCATCAAGTTCGGCGCCCTCTCGCTACCTTCAGCATCCTCCCGCTACCTCTTTGACTCAGGGACTGGTGCTCAATCTCACGCCATCGCGCACAACCCATCACACGCCACGCCACCTGCACCTATGTTGATGCCCGCCACCTCACCGCATCCCCTCTCACTCGCTTGCTGTTCTTGCTGGCTGGCTCGCCATGTCTCACTCACCCACTGTCTCTCGCTCACTGTCTCACACGCTCGCTGGCTGCTCTCACCCACTGTCTCTCACCCTTTGTCTCTCACCCTCTGTCTCTCGCCCACTGTCTCTCACTCGAGATGCGCAGGTGTTCACATTCCCCACTAACATCGACGGTAAGCATTGGTTGTTATTGTGTTTTATTTCATTCTCACCATTTTGTATAGATTGAATCAGTTAGCTCTTGGATCAGCAGCTACAGAGGCAGAGGGGGGTATGTAGCCATGTCATTGGAGTAGCTACTCAATGTGTAAACTAGTATTTCAATGATGTTTTTTTTGCGCTCACCACTGAAAATTTTCAGGTTCAGTTCGAGTTCGGACCAGAAAAAAACCGAACCGGACCACAGAGAACGGTTCTCTGTGGTCCAGTTCTCGGTTCTCATCCAGGACCCTCTGAACCGGACCGAACCAGACCACAGCAGCACTACATTCAGCCCATGTCAATGAAGTCCTGAACAATGTAGAACATCCGATGGAGGACAACCTGCACTGTGCTGGCATCATAGTAGATGTTTCTTTTGCAAAGATAATATCCAATGAAATGGAAGAGTTGAGGGTTCGACTGATAGTCTCTCTCGGCGATAGTCATTACAATACTAGTAGAATATATAACTTGGTTTGATAGTAGTGGCATCGGCTATGAAGTACTTGAACAGCAATGGAACAGCTGGCTTCGCATGCACATTCTGTGCTAGTGCCTAGTTTCCTGTAGTCAGCCTCAGACTTCGATAGAGTGAAGACATCCGTTCCTTCTAGTGGTGGGGGCCAGCGCCTGTGGTCTTTAGCTGTTTATCAATAGACATCTAATACTACTAATTAGCGAGGCATGAAACCAGTGTCTTCTGTTATATTGATCTCGAGCTTTAGAAGATACCAAGCTGTTTAATGTTGTATAAAATTCTAGCCAGTCAATGTCTAAGCTTATGACTCTTGACTAGTCTGACTAGTCGACTTCTGGCACTTCGAAGTTTGAACGGCCTTCAATTGAATTCATGACTTTTTCAACTCCGCGGCCGCCGGCAAGGTGCCTGGTTGATGAGAAAATTAGGCAACCTCAATGGTCATCCTAAGACTGTGTCCAGTAGAAACCGAAGTCGAACCGAAGTACGGTGTATACCATTCTTAATCGAAACTGGTTTCCCTCCCTTGGTCCGAACCTTCAATTCCCATAAAATGAATACTAAAAGGAGAAGCCCGTCCACTCTCTCATTGCGGGTACGACTGCTGGAGCAATAGAGGCGTAAGTGAAGTGATTCTTATTACTCATTGCTCATCTTCAGAAGATAGATTCGTGACATACCCCACCGAGTTCGTAAAGACCCGGACACAGTTTGGTGGGCAGGTGGGTGGTTATTTTCTTCCGTTATGAAAACTGACTGGTGTGTTGCTTCTTTTGATCAGCGAGAGTCACCCTTGACTATCATCCGCTCGACTGTACGCGAAAAAGGTGTAGCGGGTCTGTATTCGGGTTGTTCGGCACTCGTGATAGGCAATTCAGTCAAGGCTGGTGTTCGGTTCGTGAGCTATGACCACTTCAAGAGTATGCTCGCAGACGCAGAGGTAATATTTGTCGGACACTGGGAAGAAGGAATTGGCTGAGTGTATTTGAAGGGCAATGTCAGTGCACCTAGAAGTTTACTTGGTATGTGGGCTATATGTCGGGGACTGCATTTATCTGATGATGAAAACAGCTGGTCTCGGCGCTGGTATGACGGAGGCCATCATCGCTGTTACCCCTTCAGAGACCATCAAGTATGCCTATGCATATCTTAGCTTTGTTATGCTAATTTTATTCTTGTCCCTTATTTCAGGACCAAAATGATCGATGACGCCAAACGTCCCAACCCGCAATATCGCGGTCTTGTTCATGGAACGATGTCTATAATTCAGCAGGAAGGCATACTCGGCATATATCGAGGGCTCTTTCCTGTCGTGAGTGTTTCCGACGCGTATGCAATATACGGATTTCTTAATAGTGAATCTTAGATGATGCGTCAAGGAGCCAACTCTGCAGTACGTTTTACGACATACACGACTCTCAAACAGTTCGTTCAGGGAACTACGCGACCAGGCCGGCAGTTACCTCCAGGGATCACGTTTGGCATTGGTGCAGTAGCTGGTCTGGTGACAGTCTATGCAACACAACCGCTAGAGTGAGCACTACCCCTGTATGCGCTGATAAGAGCTCATCGTTTTCATAATCACAGCGTGATTAAGACGCGGATGCAGTCACTATCAGCACGCCAGCAGTACCGTAACTCTTTCCACTGCGGATATAGGATCTTGACTGAGGAGGGTATCTTCCGGTTTTGGACTGGTACAACGCCGCGACTGGCCAGATTAGTTGTGCGTTCTTTTCATTATGCAACGTTGAAGTCACTTACACTTTATTTCTGCAGGCGAGTGGAGGCATCGTCTTCACAATCTATGAGAAGATTATTAGTATCATCGGTGGTCGGGAGCAGGACTAGCAGTCCATACAAGATGTTCCTGAACCAAATATGACATCACCCAACGTACTCTTTGAGAACACGATATAGATAATCCTGAACCTCAGGCTGTGGGTGGGCTTTCACGCAATATCAGCCTCATATTTCAGAGCCTGGCAGTAAGCTCACTTGCCAGAGTTCCAGTAGTCGGGCTCACGCCTATGGGCGATCGAGTGCAAGTGGTCAGAATAGGGATTACCTTCTTGGGTTTGTACAAGCTCGTGACAACCATTGAAATCATCATTGAGCAGGTGGAGGATTCGTAACGGCAATAAGCAGAGGCTTCTAAGTACCTTGACGAGTTGAAGTTGAGATTAGCTGATAGCTGGTTGATCTAAGTTGTTATATCCTGACACCATACGACTTTCGGGGAGAGCGGAGCAGGGTGAACGAACAAATAGGGCCCGCACCACAGGTGACGACCAGAGTGAGTCTGCATCAGCCATTGTAGTTTACTCGAGAATCAAATATTGAAGATTATCATAATGGTTACGTAAATAATTTTGGGAGCCGAGGAACTTTCTGGTGGCCTGGGAAGACCTCCATGCGGTACTGATCTCATGGATGTGCTGATTAGGACTTTCCTTCTCATGATATGATCAGTCAATTTACTCGTGATCAGCTTAGATTCTACACGTTATAAACACTCTGCATCAACATACTGGCACGGTCAATGTCGAATGTCCTGCTTCTGAGAGCTGCCAATCAAGACAGCCCAGATCGATATGAGGATGCTTTCAGGTCTCGCGGATACCATCCAATATCAGTTCCGGTACTAGAAAGCGTCACAGTTGGCTGCGAGGAGCTAGCACGCAGATTGAGCATCGGTCCAGAGAAGCAGAGCCTGTCCGGAGTTATAATCACGAGCCAGCGAGCCGTCGAGGCATGGTCCGAGGCGGCTCAAGCATTGATCATTGCTGATAGCAACATGCCTCTCAAGCCCGAATCTGGTATGGTCTATCGGCTGAATGCGTCGTATCGGACCTCACAACCAAACAGACTGGTGGTCTGTGCCGTTCTATGCAGTTGGAGAAGCTACATCGGTCGCGCTTCGTGATCTTTCCGAGAAGATACCCCTGTATACACCCAGAGATATTCGAGGTGGCTCAGAGACGGGGACTGCGGAACGCCTTGCAGGATTCATACTCAAGGATCTTCCCTCGGATGGAACAAGCAAAAAACTTCTCTACCTCACTGGAGACAAAAATCGTGACATATTACCGAGGATTCTGGAGTCGGATGGTGTTACTTTAGACTCACTCCAGGTCTATGCCACACAAGGCTCATCCATGTTCCCTCACGATTTATCGCTTGCCTTGGAACATGTCAAAGGAAAGTATTTTACAGCCTTGTATTTGCAGCACTTTTGAAATCTATAACAGAGCAGGGATTATCCTGGGGATGGATCGTCTACTTCGCCCCTTCAGTAGCTGAGTTTGTGACGCCAATCCTACGGAATCACTTCACCCTACCTGCGGTCAATTCGAGCATAGAGGATTATTCCCGACTTTCAGAACATCATCACGTCAAAGTTGCTGCGATAGGACCTACTACGGAGTCCTTTCTTCAACAAATTTTGAAGCTGTCGGTGGCAGTAACCGCGAGAAATCCCAAGCCGGATGATCTAGCTGATGGAGTCCTTCAACACGATGAAGCACAATAAAATGCAGTCACTCCATGTATATCTTTCATCACTTGTTATTACAACTGCAGAACGTGCTAAGTACATATGCCACTAGCAGAGCCTCGGTCACTTTTCACACAATCACACGGAACTGACAGGCATTACGGAATGCAAAACTTTACGGAAACCTTACGATTCCCAAGTGTCGGGCACAATTTCAATGCAATTTGCCCAGTTTATCAACACGCTGACAATCTTCTAACTACACGTTCTTTTGCATCACGTTCTTTACTCTACATACTCCTGAGGCAACCTGAACGGCAGCGTAAAGCTGGTACTTTCACTGTTACGACATGAACTCTCCACTGTTGCGACAGGAATATGGCGACTCGTCGACTAGCTTGCTACCTCCAAGGGCACAAGGTCGCTCCGGGTCGCCAACAGTGAGCGAGTATGACACGGGATTCGCAGGACCAAGCAGATCTCCCAGTCCTTCAACGTATGAAGTAAGTTTCAGAAGTAATACCCAATGTCCTCAGTTGATTAAAACGGGCGAATAGAATTCGCTCGCCGACAAAGTATGCCAACACTCGTCTCTATAATCTGTGCTATTTGTAACATTTGTCTTCAGTATGCCCTGCAACTCAATCCCGAAGACTGGGGCACGAGCGCTCTGCATGTCGACACACCTGAACCAGATGATTACCTTCACACTCCAGACCCAAAGCGTGATCTTAAGAGTGACAAGGGAGGTCACATTTTCACTGCGCGAGGGATTGCAAACCTGGGATGCCTATTTCTCTTAGTCGCATCGATGCTTATGTTATTGTAAGTTTGCGCAACTGCACAAACATGCTTGTACTAACATTCCTCCAATAGCCTCGGTAAGTTAGTGCATCTCACTATTAGACGCATGCAGGATTCGGCAGCTGACGTTATCGGGTAAAGTGTTTCCAATCGTTAGTCACCTGTCCAGGAAGAAGCAAACTCCTCAGAGTGGATTCAATCTCGGTGGTACCAATGCAACGGGACAGATTCCATCGATGCCTGGCGACCGCGGCGTCATAGATGTCGATACTCCGAAGGAAGCCTACACGAAGGCATCGTACATGAACCAAAACGACATGTGGGACCTTGTTTTCTCTGACGAGTTTCAAGTTGATGGACGGTCATTTTATCCCGGAGATGATCCATACTGGGAGGCTCCAAACCTGCACTACTGGGGCACGGTCAGTGGAGGCGTGTGGATAGATTGTATGAGACTAAAAATGTGGACAGAATGATTTGGAATGGTACGATCCAAGTCAAGTAACAACGAAAGGAGGCGCATTGCAAATCACACTGGAAAAGGCTGATCCTGTTTCAAACCACAATCTTACATATAGGTCAGGCATGGTAAGCCAAGATCATCTCGTTGTGGCATACTGAGGCATGTAGTATCTTGTAGGTCCAAACATGGTAATGAGTTCGACTCTATGCTGCCTTCGACGCTAATGATATCTAAAGGAATAAATTCTGTTTCACAGGTGGCCTCATTGAAAGTGAGCTACATATGTGCTATTTACTGCCGATATCTACTGACTACTGAGTTGTAGCTTCCGTTATCCTGCCGGGATCTAACAATGTCCAGTAAGTAGGCTGCTATAAGATTATTGTGTTTTGCTGAACACCTGCTATCAAAGTGGTCTTTGGCCTGCTGTGTGAGTCTGGTCTTTTTTATGAGAACATGGTTAATGTTTTATATCAAGCTGGACAATGGGAAATCTAGGTTGGTGCATTGTTCTCTCATCCCTTCGAGTGTTTAAACCAACCATCGCCAAAGGTCGTGCAGGCTTCGGTGCTAGTTTAGATGGATTGGTATGTGAACCTCTATCGAAGAAGTCATTAATCAGACTATTTCAGTGGCCATACTCATACGACAGTTGTGATGTCGGCACGTTGCCAAATCAAACTTTTCCTGGGACATCCAAGCCGCTCGCTGCTGTACAGAATGGCGATCCTGAGAATGGTGACGTCTTGGTCAGTTCTCTGCACCATTTGCCTTTCTGGATCTCCATTCATATTTTGCAGTCATATTTGCCTGGTCAACGACTGTCTGCTTGTACCTGCCCTGGTGAATCACATCCTGGTCCAGTCCGTACAAATGGCAATTATGTTGGCCGTTCTGCGCCGGAGATCGATATCTTCGAGGCGACGGTTGATGGTGGGATTGGCAAGGTTCGCTTACTCCAAGTTTCAATCAGCATTGACTCATAATAAATTCATGAAGGTTTCACAATCAGCACAATGGGCTCCTTTCAATGTAGGTCTGGATTATGACCAATTGGGCTGTTCTTGACACTCTCAGGCGGGATACCAATGGTTGAACACTTCCGACAATCTGCAGATTTATCATCCAAACATAACTGTCCTGAATCCTTACCATGGAGGTACGTGCTCATTTTTCATGCCAAATTCGTACCCAACAGTTGCGTTGCAGGAGCGTATCAACAAACTACTAGTGGTCTCTCACTCACTGACCAAGATTGCTATGAGCTTGATATGGGTTGCTATAGCGTCTACGGGTTTGAATACCAACCGGGGTTTGCAGAAGTCAGATCACAATCGATGCTTTGTGCTCACATATCTCCAGGTTTGACGCTGGTTACATAACTTGGATTAGTGGCGGCGAGGCCGTCTGGACAGTCTATTCTAGTGGACTAGGGCCTGACACTGAGACCGAGATTGGTGCCCGTATCGTCTCTCAGGAGCCCATGGTATATCATAACCACTTTTTTCGCAAGCGAGCATGAAAATATTGACCACGCTATGTAGTATATCATTGCCAACCTTGGATTCTCACTCAATTTCGGAGGAATTGATTTCGGGGACCTCCAGTTACCTGCGACCATGTCGATTGACTATATTCGCGTCTATCAGCCTTCAAATGCGCACAACATTGGGTGCGATCCCCCCGACTTCCCGACTGCCACTTACATCGAAACGTAAGCCCCTATCCCAACCAAGACGTTCGAAGTTTGCTAAATATTCTCAGGTACAAGGAAGCTTATACTAACTTTAATCTCACTGGGTGGAGCTCCCCGAGTTATAATCAGACAGTACCTAAGAATAGATTGAACGGAGGGTGTTGAGCACTTTGCCATTCGTACATTCACGACTTGCAGGATCATTGCTTATTGGGACTTGGGTTGTTTCATTGCATATCATTCTTGCATCACACGCATTTTACTGATGGTTCTTGCACATACCCGGATCACATTCACTACTGTTACTTAATACTTACCTCGGGTATATACTACAGATGCTTATTCAATAAATTGTTGATATCTGATCACGTGAGTAGTCGCGTCATGGTCAGCCGCTAGCTTATTTATCACTACCTGTGTCATATTCACCACCATCCCCTCACAGCTACTTCACGTTCTTTGAACCTACAACATCAATCATTTTGTAATGCCTGCTGTCTCACGGAAGCGAAAATCTCGTGCTCGTTCCGGATCAAAGCCATACGAGCGGCGAGCTACCGTCACTGTGCATTCTTCCAGTCCTGCACTGTCCGATGACGGTAATGAATGCCCTCCCTCACCAATCTTAGATATGGCGGACAAACCTGGATTTCCTACATACACTCAATACAAACGCATAGAGACGGCATACCTGCAGTCGCTGTCCCCGCGGAAGCGTGACAAGGCCCTCATATCTCAGTGCATGTTCGACAAGATCTGGGATGTACTACACCAACCGGACGCATGCTCTATCGGGACACCACAGTTTCGTTTCTGGGTTCGCAAGATGTTCACGCTTAGTATGCCCGCCACAGAAGACGATGACAGCGAGGCACCAGTTGTCATCCTCCACGAGAACAGACCGGTCGCCGTTCAGGAGCAGCTATATGAACTCTTTTGTTACTGCCATGAAGAGTCTAACCACGGCGGTCGGGACAAAACCTGCGCTGTTATCCGCCAGCACTACTCGTGGGTCCCAAAAGAGCTTACTGCGCAGTTCGTCAAAGCTTGTCCAACATGTACTTTCAAACGAAGCGGGAACCCAGAGCTTATTGCACTAGTCCAGAGGAAGTTATCCTCGCACGAGCTGAAGGAGGAGGAAGTCGAGGGATTCCAAAGTTCGCTGTGCCGCCGGTCGAGTTCCGCTGAGACAGGCTGGCAGTTTTCCGGAGGCCCACTTGATCAAACTGGGGATATGGCCCGTTCCATTGACTCCCCGTCCACTCCTTCACCATCCTTGTGCTTGCGAAGCTCTAAGCCACTCTTGCATCCAAGACCACCCTTGCTTGATTCAGCGCTACAAGACCTCAGCGACATACATTTGAGACAAATTCGCGTCGGCTTGGACCCATTGAGTTTGGACCTCGGGGGCCTGTGCAGTCATCCTAATGCAAAACCAGGTGATTTGCCATCTCTAGCAGAAGCCTACCAAGACAACACGAGGGATGACCAGTACAGGTTGACCGCTCTGTGGCCCGAAAACATTTCAGACTCGCTCCCCCTGAACTACAGCGTCTTCAACTGTTGAGCCCAGTTTGTACTCAGAACGTACGAATTAACCAGATCGACCCTGCTCTGCTCATCAGGGAGGAGCAAAATGACAGAGAAAGAGAAGGCTACATGGAAGAAATATCTCCCCTGCTATCTTATCCACCATCGGGCTTCAGCGTGTCGCCTAACTTCAGATTCCCGTCGTCTCCCGTGACTCCCGAGGAGCAACAGCGTCACAGCCTGTATGAGGATTGGACGCCTTCAAGTCTGGGGATCAATCCAGTGTCTTCTCGATTGCCGTTTGGCGACATGTCAACATACCTGGTCCCAGCGTTCGACTCTACGATGGGCAGTAGGTCAATGACAGACTCCGAATACCATATATTGCCCGTTGATCTTTCGCCGCCATTGTCACCCCTGACGCCATTCATTGGCGATTCACCTACGCCTATTGAGGAAGGAGTATTCGGAGACAAACCGCTGAGAAGAATTTGATGATGATGTAGATGAGATCTCAATGATTATGCTGCCAGAATTATGTACATTGTTCATTCCTTCAAGGAGACTGGTCCGGATCAATGCTGCATGCACGTAAGTATGTTGGCCCTCTTTATCGACAGGTTGGGCCCACCAGAGTGCATCAACTCGCGGTGGAGACGAATGACTGCCCTATAATACATCCCTTGCGTTATCATACTTGCAGAAACGCAACAGTTGAGGTGTACGCTACTAACTCTTCGGTTCGTGCGACGTGAACAGCTTTCAGGGAAGAAGTCCATTGATTGAGAGCGCCTATACACGACGATGCACCTTCGGGTACCAAAAAATGAATACAGAAGCCGTATTGAGGTACATTGTCGCTTCCATAAAGACCATCTGAAACGAGGGTGTTCTCAAGTACCACCTACCGAGGATGGTATAGAAAAGTTTCGGTGGTGGTAGCATAGAGTGCCTTCCAAAGAGTCCAACGTGCCCAAAGACTGAATGCATCTAGGAATAGGTGACCTGGTGATCTGTGGTGCAGACTCTGACAGGAAGGTCTCTGCGCATGAAGAAGGAACCACGGCTTCGTGCGGAGAAGCTAGGCAGTAGGAAGGGGGATTCTCCTCAGTGCCATGTCGGCACTTTGAATATGGATGTTTGACAAGCTGCTCTGCTGAAGCCGGGTGGTTCGATACTGCACGGACACGTTCCTCAGAGTATGGGTTTGTAGATGCGGAAGAAACAGGAATGAATAATTGGACGACATGATAGCCATATTGCAACTTAACTAATGGGGTGACGAAGAAGAAAAAGAGCAGCAACTCATCGAGAACGATGAGAAATGTTAGGGGGGGGGAGGAAGATATGTTAACCTGTTGAATTGTCAACGTAAATGCAGTGCGAGGGGCATATAGATGTCAAGACCGCACAATCGTATGGGGCCAGTGAAGATAAACATACATAAGAATATGGTCAGAAAAGATAGCTGGGCACTGGATTCTGCACAGCAAGTGCTCAAGCTGTACAGTGAACGAACAAAAGAAGACACACCTATAATTACTAGGATGTGCATCACACAAATCTGTTGACAGAACTTTTCCGTCCTGATGGAGCCACTGCGCACAGGGAATGCACTGCTTGGTTGTAATTATGCCGCGTGTATTTCAGGCGGAGTTCCTTCCGAGTCCTTTCATCCGAACTTCAGTGACTGAGTGCTTCCCGAGAGTCGAAACCCGTCGAATCCGAGAGTCTCTGTCCAAAATCTCATTTCGTCCTGTGTGTTAGGCTCGTGAAGACTGGTTACGAGTCTATCTGTGTGTCGCAAGCACGTGTTCTTAGATTGACATTGACCCGCCATAACTTTTAATTTATAGATAACGGTTGGACAAGGTCTCAAACCTCCTTGGATCCCCTTATTATCGATCTCTCGGATGAGGCTGAAAGTAAGAATCCTCATTGATAATAGAGACATGTACTCACACAAGTTGTCGCTTAGCGGCAGTATGTGGCATCCATACTAAAACCCAGTAAAGCATGCACGGCTTCGAAGTGCGCAAAATGCATGCAAGGCGGCCAACCTCGTCAACGTAAGCGTTGCACTACAGTAAGTAAACATTCAAACAGTCGATGATCAGTCCTGATGCGACTCGGTGAAGGAGGGTTGCAAATGTCTATGCCCGCGATATATTGATATGGGCCTGGCTCGAGCTACTACTAGTAGTAAACCTCCCGCGATTCCTGCAACTACTCAAGCCCCACCACTCTCTGCCGCGATTCCTGTATCTGCTCGAGCTGAACTCTCTTCCACTGCAGCTGCGCCCAGTGCCCCATTCCGAGTGACTCGGAGTCGGAGAACACGCCTTACTTCACCACCGGACGCCACGTGATTCAGAGCACATGTAACCGCATGGCTCAAGTCACTAAATCACCTTGCCAAGCAAGATCGATGACAGGTATATTTCTTCGTCCCAGGATAAATACCCACAAATTTCCCCTTCATAGTTTTTTCACGTCCTTCGCATACCATGACAATCTTCAACTTTCGGCTGATGGACTGCTCAAGTACTTACAAAGTTACAAAGACCTTGAATACTGTCGATCAGATTCTCTGAGTCTGGTCTTTGGAGACTGTTAAAGAACTGTCCATTTATACAAGTTGACGTACACGATTCACTGAGATCGCGCTTCGGCAGGTGTTTGTTGGTTCTAGTATATAGCATGTGTATTGTATGGGGACAAGCTCGGTTCAGGTGTCGGATTATATTATGGAGATCGTCATGATATATAGAAGCAGAGCAGTAAGAGTATCACCGATACAATGTTAATATTTGCTCGGTGTGCAATCCAAGTGCGGCATTGACACAATAATGGCAGTCACTGTCAGCATTATATGTTCAATGCAAATTGTCGACTTGCCAACCCAGGTAGGTGCTCAGGAATGAAATAAAAATTCCGGACTTTCCGGGTTTGCAAGGACATAGATTTCAATGAGCTCGATGGCAAGCAACTAGTGAAGCTTGAAGTGTGGGTTTGAAATGCTAGTATCGATCCTAGACTGCAAGAACATACTGCAGCTAGTGGCCGGCTACAATCAAATCAATTTGGAACCCCTCGACAAGCTAGTAGCAATGCTATTGTCAATTTCTCTCACTGGGCTTCATTTGTAGTCTCTACTGCTTTCATGTTTTCACTTCCCATCCACAAAGAGGACATCCACTGTCCGATCGGTGGTGTTTTAGCTGCCCACACTGGCCAGCCAATAAACCCGACCACGAGTAACCAAGCTGGCCCCACAGTGCACCACGTCGTGACATCGGCAGATAGGAAAATCACCAGCGACAGCGCTAGGAAAAAGAAAACCATCCTGCATAATTTTGATTTGTCAACGAGAAACACTCACGCAGCGCTGTGTAAACAGTGAAGGTACTCACCCCCAAATAACAAGGGCATATGGTAAGCTGAAGATGATGGCAAGGTTCTCTTTGCCATGAAGTGACTGAGTCATGCGCGTCATGAATGCCGTCTTGACCAGCTAAGTCAGTCGTACGATAAAGGAATAAAACGTTAAGTGTACTGCTCTGTTTATACTGTCTTTGTTCCCACCGCTCTGCGCAAGAAGAGCAGAGACGACCAGCGAAGCTACCGAGCAGAGCGACGAGATGTATAATGCGATTTGTGCCGAAGGTTGTTGACCGATCACTGGCACTGCGAGGAAGCTGATGTCCACAGCCAACATGACGGTTGACTGTCCATTTTCAATGCTTACAATAGAAATACTATTTAGCTTCGGCAACTTACATAGATTGCTAGTCCACTCCACTCGCCCGTCAACCTATTCATGAACATTTTCCAGCGCGGGCGGTTGACAGATTGGTCAACCCAGACGCTGTCAATTTGTTTAACATGCGTGGACGGAGAGCCAAAAAGGACGACGAAGTTGAAAAGCTTGACTATCGGTCTTCTTTCCATAGAGTTGTCGTTGTCACAAATGTGATCTGTACCTAGCCTCGTGCCTATTTCACCGTAAAAATTAGAGAGCCTAGCCCGAGCTGGTAAAAAAGGTCAGCCGCATCTGGATGAAGGCGTCCATGAGACCACCATACTGAACATTCGCATTAAGCGAGCTAGAGGCTTATTGTAAGAAAAAACAGTATCAAGAAAGCAGTATCCGCACCGTATGCCCATATGTATTGGTCATTTGTAGTTGAATCAAATCCATCATTTGTTGCCGAATCAGATTTGTTAACGATGCCTCAACTTGGGATCAAAAAACATGCCCAGTACAATATATGAACAGATATCACCGTTTAAATAATCGACAATATTCAGAGCTCGCTGGAGCTCGTCTGTGTCAAAAGGAGCTAATGATATTTCTGAAAAGATAGTATCTACTCGACAAAGCTGTGAGTAAATATGGTTAACACGTCGCGAGAGACGCACCGGTATAGGCATGGAGGATCATTGCCTGCAGTTCGCGGTGAAGTTCAGTAGTTATCTTGCAGTCGCTCGGATACAGCTCCCGGTGCATCCTGAACCTCATAAGTGGGAGGAATGCGTATGATCTGAGGAAAAACATTTTAGGGCTGTTCATTTGCGGCTGGTGAAAATATTACCTCAATCGCATAGCTCACCAAAACTCAGCCTCCATGGCATATTCTATACAATGGTTGTGTAGTGTCACTAGAACAAAAGGAAAAAAAACGCACTAATATGACCGCTCGTAATGCCTTTGACCCCGCCAAACAAATACTTCGCCTCAAAATGGTCTTCCCAAAACAGAATCCGCCGATCAGGTGCGACGAAATAGTACTTGCATTCTAGTTCCCCACTATCGTTTGTGTATAAATCAACGGTGAGCTCCATGAGGATGCCTTCAAGGTGACCTGCGAGTTGCGCTTGCTCAAGGAGCGTTCTCACACAAGAAGCAACTGCATCAGAGTTCGACTGTTCGCGTACGTCGGCGTCTGTGTACACCGTAATTTCAACTTCGGTTGTCTCCATATCCGCGTCTTTCCACATTAACTGAGGGAGTGAATAAGCGAAAAGATATGTTGGAGACAAACTAACCAATTCGCTGGAGAAGTACAGAGTGCCATGCGGATGAATCTGACAATTCCAAGTGATATCGCCTGCTGTGAAATTGTCTGGACTGCCGGAAGCAAGTTGGCATTCATGTCGCACATTTAGACGGTATGTGAATTGACGTACAATACCGAAAAATCCTTTTGGCCTGGTGAGATCTGGAAACCTGTATCTATCCTCTGCCGATGATTTGCGGGATGAAGTTCTGGATGAGATTTAAACGAACGTTAAACTCAAGGCTTAAATTTGAGAACGAATTTTTACTATAACGTTGAACATCACTTGCAGTCATCGGCTTGATAATGAGGGGGGTACTGTCCTGCAACGAAGGGGTAATGGACACAGAAACATGGTAAGACTCGGCTTCTTCGGTAAGCGAGTCGCCCGCGCGAGTGTGTACCGAGTGCTGGCTTGCTGAGTGTCTGGACTCGGAGGGGTGGCAGAGGCTTGGGAGGATGGCTACTGATGAAGTATCAGCGTCACTGCACTGATGCCTATGCCGACCAGTGCTGCTACTCGCGTGTGTATCACTTGAATGCATAAATTTGGAAGTCAAAGTGCCAATTATACGCTGCAAAACATAATATGGGTGTAGAGTTTGTCTGGAAAGCCTGATCACCATGGTTCGAAACAATGCCAGCAGTTTGTGCAGAACGTAGCATACATGGCGCATGTTTACAGTTCACTGTGAGTGACGCCTGCGTAGCTTATCTTGCTGAAGAGGAGTCTTGGTGACAATTGAGCTTGAGGCTTGAACGAGATTCGGCACAAAATGCGGATTCGTTCAAGTTGCCAAAAAGTCGCTCGCAAAATGCTTGCGAGCTTTTTAAAATTGGTTAGCCCAGGTCTGGCGTCCGTAACTGTTCGTTTTTGGTAATGTTGAACCCTGGAATTGTGTTACGTTGGACCGCGACTTTCACGCAAGCCGATCTCGTCCGCATCAGTCAGGCCCTAATGTCATATTTTGATGCATCAAAACAGGCTTACACAACCAACTTGCCCACGATCATAGTGAACATGGTGATCCGTCCCCTATGTGTAGTGAAGCAGAAGAAAGCGCCAAGTCACCCGTGCATGCGACGGAAGATTCAGAGGCTTGCGTGCCCGTTTTCTAGACTTGTCATATTTTCGTGTCGTCTAAACCATCTATTCACGGGCACAGCGATTCAGTTCTCTCAGCAGGCAAGCAATTGGACTAGATGTACATATGATTCTCTTGGTGTCTTGATGTTCTAGTCTTGTTATCATTTGGTGATCAATCAAGACTGTAAGTGAATGCATGACTCGGGACCTTGTCATCGTATGATGCTCGATGCTACACTTGGCTAAAGACATATGAAACTCGTCGAGATCTTGTTGAGGAATTTCCAATCAGCCAAAACATCGCCGACTTATTGATATTGTGATTGAATCATACAAGAACGACGCTTCATTGTCGATGTAAAACCTCTTGAGTTACTGGGCTGCCAGTAGACGATCGCTATTGTGTTTTAGCCACGACACAGTTGCGCGAATGTCTCACTCTGAGGCGTAGCGAAACATTGCAGCGAACAATGAATCAAAAACAATACATTCACACCTGCGATACGTATATAAGGTCGCCACCAGCATAACTTGTGAACCCATTCACCTCCGACCCCTCTTGCTTCATTCGACCTACCATTTGACCTATAGGAGTAGTTGAGGATGATTGGCCGTGGGGGAGCTTGTGAAATGGAACTATTGCAAGTCCCCTCAAGGACGGTCTTCTCAAGCCTCCGGTACTCAGACATCGCCACAAATAGTATGTCGACGTGGGAGTGATCAAGCTTTAGGCGTCCCTCGGGTGGTGTGTCTTAAACTTGATCAACTTCGCGCTGGCCGCAAACTTGTAGTTGCTCTATGGTTTTCCGAAGGTAAATGTTATATATCATGTTAGTGAAATATAATCACTGACTTACTGTGTGCTGCAGGATATAAATTCGAAGAGGGCCGGCCTTGTGCTGAAGTGGGTAGATCTGGAAGGTTCATATTTACTCACTTCAAAACAAGGCCGGTCCAGTCAGGCTTCATTATCCTCGTTCTTGATTTTGGGATGGAGTCAACATTCACAGATCTAGAACGAGGGTAGGTGGAGGGTGCCGTGATCCTCAACGTTCTAATGGGTTACCTGCAGGTAAATATTGTAGTTTGTCATATCGTATGACAATAGCTTACCATGTGATGCAGGACATTGTGTACGTCCTATAACGGCGACCTTACACCGACATATGTGCACATTGGGCTAATGTTCGCATTTGTCAGTGCAAGCCCGCCCTGTCAGGCGCAACTTGGACGTGCGAAACAAGGCATCGCACATAGCATGCGCAACAATGTCTGCAATAGCTGCGACATAGGACTTACGTAACATGACAGCGCAAAGCTAGTCCTGTCCGTAGCCCCGGCGGTTCATCGTTTGTTGAACATCCCTATAGTGATTGATAATGATAAAATTTAAGAGGAGTCAACTGCCTGGGTGAACAACGGTCATAGGACTAGAATATATCCGAAGCACGATCATGTCACCCACAACAGATGCAACGATAGACGTCTGAGAGATGATTTTTTTGGTGGCGGAGGGGGAAAATGCCTTAAGCACCACACGGTTAGGAGACACCTTCCCCGGAGTATGGGGAGCTAGAGCCAGGAAATCAGGGAAAAGGTTGGAAAGGTGTGAACAGGATTGCCATTTGGCTAGCGCGGTGACGATGTCTAAAAGCATATGTGGGACATTTGGGGACAAGGATTGCATAATATGATCCACTTGAACAGTGCCAGGGGATAGACACCAAGAATCGAATTGCACCAGTCACAATATACAGGAGACTTGGTTGAGAGCAAGACTGTGAAACGCAATACTGAGAGGCCAGTGGAGAATCTGGAGATCAAGAACTTACTACGCAGGAATGCAAGCTTGCGGGATAATATGACAGTGATGCCCAAGGATGAATTGTCATGGTTATGTGCTTGATCTGCACAGCCAGTGCTGAAGCTGTGAAACGAAAGCAACGAAGACGCACCAATAGAAGACTTGAACAACGACCTCCTGACTTGTATCTTCATCAAACGAAACGCACACTCCATAGTAGCTTTTGTCTTTCTGTGTATGAGTCGAGTAGCATCTGGATTCTGAGTAAGTGATCGATTTGTACGGTAATTGATGGCAAGAGCTAAAATTGTGATGCACCCATTAAGTGAAACCCGAAACCAAAACCGTGGGGCATCCAGCTCCTGCGAAGCACAAGAATTCAGCAACAACGCCTTACCGAAAGATCACAGTAGATACCAGCATCGAACACATCCTACACTTGCCCGGTGGACAGCGCGTCGTCACCTATTCCTTGGATGGGTCGTTTCAAATCTGGGACTTGAATGGGGGCACGCAGGTCGGGGAGGAATGGAAGAACAAAGAAATAGGAGTGCATCATCAGCGAACGTATGAGTCCTTGAAATTGTACCCGTCGCAGCTGTAGGATGATGTAATTCTGCTCCTACCGAATATGACTATGTATACCACGAGAAATTTGACTTGATCATACTTAGCCATGGATGGTCACCAACATAGACTTGCTAGATGAGACCGTGACAAAATCGTAACAAGCGGCCTTCGCAGCCAGCAATGGGCGGAAGCTCACTAGCGTTGACGTCGCTGATCTTTCTCAGTTCCTATCAAATATTGCTTTGATTTTAATGTTATCTAAGACTTTCTGCAGGACAACGGCTTTAGCCCTCGACAACAAATAGAGATTGGCTTGACGCTTAGTAACAAAATTGTAACACGCTATCTTCGTAACGAGTAAGGGACGGAAGCTCACTAGCGTTGATGTCACTGATTGTTCTCAGTTCCCATCAAATATTGGCTCGATTATAATGTTATCGAAGACTTTTCGCAAGACAACGGCTTTATGCTTCCGAGTTCGCTCGTCGACGTTTTACCCGCAGCAACGCAGATATACTGTGGCTGTGACACTTCTTATTGCGTAGATACGCGTCGGTATCTGCGCTTTCCGTAGCTGCGAAAACGATGCGCATCAACGCTGGTGTATGCTTTTCAATGCATTGACTACTGGATAGAATTCCGTAGATTTGAATATAACTGTGTATCCCTTTGATATTTTGCTGGCTTCGACGCAAATATACGGAAATCGATGCATTGCAACATGACATACAATACAAAACATGGGAATAAAATCTACCCGCGCTCATTCGCGCTAGCTCCTCCCTCTAGGATTGTCCTACCCCGGTGCCCGGCTAATGAAACGTGCCGCTAGAGAACTTTGCAGGGACTTTGACCGTATTTGCGGACGACATGCGGTCAGTAACCTAGATGGAATACACAAATGAGCATACATTAATAGGAATAGGATGAGTACTTACCAGATTCGAAGCTTCAATGTCATAGTTCTGTAACAATAAGAATAGAGCACGATGAAATGAATGAAAATGATACCGCTTGACAGCATTCGTGGTATTTATTGGTGCCCGAACCATAACGAGCAGAAGTCCTCTTGATCCAAAACCTAGGCTGATAACAGATCAGTGAATCAGAGTAGCAGTACTGAAAACGAATGTACTGGTGTGGCACGAGACATGTCAGGTACTAGAAGATTGAGTTGAATGACTCGGAGTGGTTATATGCGCCCTGTTTCGAACGTTTTCATCTAGTATTGACACGACCAAGGCAAAAAAACTCACATCATTTGAGTCGTCGTGACGAGGAAGAAAGGTATGAGAGAATTCAAGGTAGGCGGGCGACGAGTAAGTCAGTCGACAATAGTAATAATGCACTGATGATGGTGAGAGGAGAGTTCATTAAAACTCTGAGTCGCAGGCAAGTGGACTTTTGAAGTTGGTTCGAGTGTGGCGAAGTACGAAATACTTGAGCAATAAGATATATATTACGCACGGACCTTCAATTGAACATGTTGACAGTTGAATTGCACAAGCTTGGATTCTTGCAGTATTGAGCATGCGCTGTAAGGCTGCTCAATTGCAAATCAGATTGTTTGACTTAGATTTCCGTCGATGAGTCTAGACACTCTACTGACTACCCGGAACTTACAAATCCGTCGACCTCCGTGGAAATGGCCCATGATGTCGGACTTTCACTGGGGTTCAGTATTAGAGACACAGGATCGAAAACACGTGCATGACTTGAAGCTTGAAGAGAGACTGTCATGGTGATGGTAAACGTTTGGCTACCGATACGTCAGATGTTAAATTCTACGACATACTAGGCGTCTATCTGGCAAGCATGCCAGTTCTCCACAACACTGCGACATATCACAATCACTCAAGGGAACGAAAGCTACTCCAGATGTGCTGGTTTCGTTGAACTACTGGTACAAAAATGCTTACATGATGATTAGTACGGGCAGACGACGTGCTTTGCAATTAATATGTCAAGCGCTCCCTGCTGCGCCAGGCTCATATTGTCGAAGCGCTTCTCCAAACCTGTGTGATATGCCTGCCAGTCATCCACAACAAAATCGCTGGCAGTAAAGATGCCACTGGAGCGCTCCCCCAGCGCCCACTGGAATATAGTGCCTGTCATCAAGAACAGCGGTCGCAACTTGTCGCGGGTCATGGGGACGCCTTTCCCGAGGTATCGATCGTACCCGAATTTGCTGTCGTAGGTGATGTACATGATAAACTGCAAAACGGGGGTGCTGCCGAATGGGACGGTGACGAAGTCCCCATTAATCTAAAGACACTGCGCGTCAGTTTGATTTCAGACGGGAAACACATCACTCACGTTAACGGTAACGTCGAGGAACTTCTCATCGGTGATGAGGTCAATGGTTTGATGTGCACGGACTTCAACGGCCGTGAGGATCTCCGTCGCCAAAACGGCGCCGCCCAAATCGTACTTGAAATATACGAAATGTCGTCCTACTTCTTTCAAATCGTTACGCATACTTTCAACTAAATTGACGAGCTTCTTTTCTCCGGCAGCAGCAGCGTTTCTTGCGAGATCCCGGAATTCAACTGATTTGAACGGAACATTGTGAGCACGACTGTCCGGCGGCAGTTGAAGAAGATACTCACCTGGTTGGCTCTCGACGGTAGTGGTCCATGCAGTCGTCGCCTTGGCGGCGATGTCATCTTTTGCGGGAAACAAGGACGACCGTAAGAGTAGTGATTTCATCGTGTCTTTCGCCTGCGACGCGACTGACGTGGTGTTGAACGGTACTACACTAAGAGTCGGTTGCACGGGCGTCGTTGTGAGAAGCTGAGTGTTGAGTTGCCTTGCGGCTTCTCCCCTTTCTATTCCTGTCCGTCTGGACATACGCGAGGTCCTTGAGCGAGTTGTCCCGCTGGATCGTGCCCTGCGGAGGCGAACAGACATGAGGGGAGCGTGAGATTGACGTATTTCGTCATCGACGATATCTGATGGAGGTGGTAAGTAGATGGTACCGAGCGGTGCGTGGGGTTGGGCCGAGTCCGCGTTGGCTGTCTCAGGAGTTCTAGCGGGTAAGTGATGGTTGAGTAAGGTGGCGCTGGACGATGGCACGGGAAGTTGAGACAAGTTCGGCGATCCGTGACTGGAATCAACGGGATCATGGTGATCAGAGAATGTGGGGTGCCATGCCTCAAGGAAAGCTCCTGGAGTAAGATCGTCTTCATGAGACTCCCATGCCTCAGCGAATGCAGGCGGGATCTTGGATTCATGAACGTGAAGGTAAGGAGGGGGATATGGGATGGGAGAGTATAGTATGCCCTGACCTGAGGCCTGATAGTGCTGATCAGGGAGGTTGGGGGGAAATTGGCCAGCCCATGGAAAACCAAGGTTCTCGCGATGAAAATCAAGAGTGTCGTTAGTGGTTGGGGATGCTTCCTGGTCGCGATAGGCGGCCAATGTCGAGTCCCAAGGTTGGACATCAGTGAACATGCTGATAGATGCGAAGAAAACAAGTGAAAACTCACCTTGGACCCATGGCACGACGTGGGCACGTGCAATTAATCACTGAATCCTTCCAAGTCGATCTTTCTGCGTGCGGCAGGAAGCAGGACCGTTTAACCGCGCAACCGTACATCACGTGATCGTGAGTTCCGGCTGCCTTCCAAGTGTCCATTTGCTTGTCGTCGAGCTGGGAGCGTATGATAACGTCGATGAAAGTAACGAGGAGTATTGGCTCATTGACGACGCAGTCATGGTTTCCTTCAACGACGACACCTAAGCATGGGATGTTGGACACAGCCATAGATGATGAAGGTACGAGTACAACAGAAGAAGCTTAGTAATACGTAGAATAATGAGTAATGTAGGGAATGACTAATCACCGGTAATGTCCGAGACGGACATTATTTGTCATCGACTCGCGGACTATAGACAAGTCCGCGATTACATATACACGGTCCGGGTACTTACATTTAGCGTACCTTATTATAATACTGTAGCATTATTTCAAGTAGAAATTCAGTCAATTTAATTATCTCAAAGTTTTCATTAAATCTACACTAAAGTTTACATGGGGGGCATTTCCAAGGCAAACGGAGGATGCATAAGTATGTAACACATTACGGTGTCGAGCGTGAGCACGACAGTGCCTCACTTTTTTGTCTCACGAGTAATCGACTGACGTGATGTGTCGTAACTGACTGGAAGACTCGAAATCGAATTACTGAGACGACAGGCAGTGTATATTAATAGAATAATACAACAGGGTAAATGATATCGTTTGCAACTTACATTGCTGTAAAATGAGATAAAAATCTGAATGGTCCTAATATACACCAAAATCCACGCACTGTGTTGAAGCACAGCTTTTGCCCGTTCTCTCCTTCGGACATCATCCAGAATTCCCATAACGTGTCTGTCTAGCATGTCGACGTACGGCTTGAGACTTGTATGCTCCCAGTCTGAATCAAAATGTAAGTGAAAACAACGGGCACAGTGACAAGCGGTGCACTCACTTGCACCCTCGCCTGCCTTGTCAAGCTCTTGAAGGAGCTGCATAACTGTGGGAACTGCATTGGGGTCGAAATTTTCCACGCGGTTCGGGTCAACGGGGACGCAGACACAGAATGGTACTTTGAGAAGATGGTTTCGGTGCTTGGATACTTCGGCATCTAGGCGTGGATTGCAGAATGATGTCCTCAAGAGTGGCTAGATTTCGGGCCTATGAAGCGTCAGTAATAGCATAGATAGTAAAAGTGAAGTGTATACAACATTACCCTGCCTTCAGCTCGTTCCATTTCTTCGACGATTCGATACCGGGTTATTTCTCCCATCGCTCCTCGAGAGTCTCGACAATTTTCTTGTCCGGAACCAGTTTAAGCAGCGTTCGCCAGCCGTCCTTGGATAGGAAGCATTCTTGATTATCCAACAATTGATACCACATCCTACTCCCTTCATCGCGTGCATGTCACAGAGGAGGTGGCAAATCTCCGGGGTGGCTCTTCGTGCCACGCCTCTTACATTCACCTTCTTCGCCATCTCCTTACCTCCTTCTATCACAGTAAGCGCCCCAACCACAGCTCTACATAGTTCGTCGGTCAGCCCCATGGCCTAGTCATCACTGACCCACAAATAGATGCCGCGACGGCCCGAGTATACCCATAACAAATGATGATATCCAAATTGCGTGCGCAAGGCTGAGTCAAGGACGCGCACGGCATTGGCGATGAATGCCCAGCAGCGTTTACATATTCCTGCTGATGTGCAGCATGTGCGCACGCCGTCATAATCAGTCATATCGATATCGAACACCAGCTCGCGCTTTAACGGGGTGAAGAGCTTCCCAGACTTTACAGACCGCGCCAATTTCCGCTCGCTTGGTTGGCATGTTGTCAGCGTAAGTGCCAGGCAGATTGAAAGATAGCTCACCCGAGATGAGTACATGGGCCCGATCTCGAAACGCGTCGGATTGAGTGCGCCCAGATGCAAAAAGATTGTTGCTGTACTCTTTG